CATTATCTTAAAAAAGGATCAGTGATCTGAATGTACGATGTTCGCATGATTCAACGTCAATTGCACAAGGGAGAATTATGTCTACAATCTACTGCTGAATACATTACATTCATGACGGACGGCCTTTGTATGGTGTGACAATCTAAATCTACATCGACAATCTAAATGGCTGCCAAATGATGAAGAGCATTAAACCTCCCTCGTGCTGTATGCGTATTGTGAAATCTGGAGAGGGTCATGACGCAACACACCATGTCATTGGGTACGAGCAATTCACTCGTACTCCCTGAGCAGCAGTTTTGCTCTGTACAGCAGGCGGATATGGGTGTCAACTATGCAAACTGATGTCAATAATTGGCACAAATGCTGACAATAATGTAATGACAATAAACACAGCTTGCATTTCATTTAAGTATCAGGAAATAAAGTGAATAATTTCAGTCAGTTGAGTTGATTATTCTTTTCATGTTTAGAAATGCACTGCTAAAATATTAAACAAACACCTGTCGCAAACGTGTTCTTTTTTTGTTTTTTTAAAGGTGGTGCCCTCGGATCGTTACATGACCAAGTGTTCTCTGAGGTGTGGAAGTAACCTCAAAAATAGAAAGATGTAGTTGTTAACCAGAGCGAAAGTAACACTTTTACACGACAAACAAGGGACAGCCACCACACTAAACGCAGACTGCTGGAATAAAAAGTCACAAATATTTTCCCAAAACTACGGATGGCGATAACAGTTGATCTGCTGAAGAACGAAACCACCAATAACTGGAAAAAGATATGCATGGCACCCAGAGAATAATTACATGTCTTCATCCCGTTGCTGATATTATAACTTTTCTATATTTATACTACTCTCACATATTTAAACTTTTACCGCTGTCCTATGACTGTATAACTGCCATAGTCCTAGCATATTGGGAAATGCACTAATTTGCTCTCTAGCCAAGAGTTAAATATGACGATCAATGCTTATGCATTAAGTATGAGGCTAAAGTAGAACTAGGAGGGAAATAGCTTAGCATGGCATAAATAATCTCAGCAGAAGAGAGCAGCTGGTTTAGACGATATAACGTGTTAATTAGTGAGCTTCAGAGGTGCTGGATTAGAAACTGATGGTAAGATATCAATATACTGTATATACCCACACATACAACTCAGTCACATGTTACACTGTGAAATCCAGTGTATTGCATTTCATTCATTTGCCACATTGTCCCTCCAGGCCTCCTCTCCACTTCAACTCTATTTGCATGTCTAAAGCAGCAGAGTCATTAAGAGGCAACCAACCACAGCGACACCGTCTCAGAGCTCAGTGCCTCACTGGAGCTACTGAGGGATCGTCAGCCTATGGAGAAAGCGAATCACACAGTCTCTACAGGTCCCCTATGGGAGGAGAAGAGAGCTCTTATTCTAACTCGGTGGAAAATGCCTGCACCCACGGGGGCTCTGTTACACACAGCTGGGATAATAAGTATCACGGGAAGAGCCGGCGAACCACCGGCAAAGTGAGACCAGCGCATGGATTTCTTTATTCACCGTTGCCACCGACCTGAATAATCCCCCCAAAAAAGCCCATGAATGTTTCCCTTTGCTTTAGAGGGGGGCTATTTGAATGTCTGAATCGGTGTGGCATGGAAGGCTGAATGGGATCTATCGGACCCGAGGGGAAAGCGGATGGGGTGAAATGGTGTGGGGCCATGGGGGGCACTCTCTGGAAAGCCGGCTTGAATTGAAACACTTAGGCAGACGGACGACATGAAGCTTCCACTTTGAATTGATTACGCTGCTGTGTACTTAACACAAAGTGTCAGTGGTGGTCGTCGTGGCGCAAGGGGTAGAGCGGGTGCGCTGGGAACCGCAAGGTTGGTGGTTTGAGTCCTTGCTGCCCCATGTCTCAAGTTGAAGTGTTCCTGAGCAAGACACCTAACCCCTAATTGCTCCCCAGGCAAAATGTAAAAAAGCCATGGGGTTAAAGTGTAATGTAAGTCGCTTTGGATAAAGGCATCAGCTAAATGACCTGTAACGTAATGTCACTTTTTGTTTCCAAATACGTAGCTTTAAGTCATCTTATTTCCTCACGTTCCAGAGTTATATTGCATTCTAGATCTACATTTACATGTTATTTCTTGTACAGCATTTTACACATATTTCTAATTTCTATTTCAAATATTTTCATTCTCCAACAACAGGCACAAATTTTCAGTCTATTGAGACAATCACTCGGTACAGATGTGTTCTTAAAATCATAATGATTGAATTGCTGAAGTATTCGTCATTAAGGTGATTAAATTACTTTAAGTAGTGTGTGGATCCGCAACGATCACATTAGTCGTGGTAAAGATATATAAAGCTAGCATTACTTTGATGCAAGGACAGACTACTTAGCAAGAGAGACTTTACAGTGTTTATTTCGTATGCTCCTAGAGACATTAGCACGTAGCCTTTGCTTTATTAGGCATAACCCACGGGAAGACCATGAAAGAGGAAAACTGTGCACCTCCCTAACACAAAAGACCTGATTCACCTGAGGCCCTTCCGCCCTTCTGCCCGTCCCCCTTCATTCAACCCCCTCTGCTTTCTGCCTCTGTGGCATTCAGTTTAGTCCGTTAGCGTGAATAGCTGTGACCGAATATAATGCCTAAGACCTGCTAGCAGCTATGAATGTAGCCCTAATGGCTCAACCATTACAGCATTCGGTACAGACTTGGCTTTAGTGAATGCGTTGCTGCAGGAAAACGGAGGTGATGGAAGGCAGGAGACGAGGGGAGTGCGGGGGTTGCAAGGCTCCATTAGCTGATTGAATTGGAACCCTATTGACTGGAAATTCTTTGTCTCGCCTCAAATGCAACTGAGATGCAAACACCTCTGTTAGTGTGCTGAGAAAACTGTCACAGGAACCTGACAAGACTACTTCAGCAAGCACCAGTAACACACAAGTAGTCTGTTCTTCTAAGTGGTTGCTCTTGCACGGTTGTTGTTTCCTATCATCCACGGCATGTTTTTTGTAAGGCAGAGTGAAGGCCTAATGGACCGTGGCGTGCTGCGGTAGCTGGCCGCAACACATTTAACGTTAGGATACAACATTTTTGCAATGTGAGATCTAATAAATGATATTTAAAATATAATATAATGTAGGTAGTGATGTGTGAAGAGGGAGTGAGATGAGATGCTTTGCAAAGCTTGTTTCATAAAGTCAAGGCTTTTCTGTACAAAGAATTGGGGAATTGTTTTAGGTAAGGGTTGGTTGTGGTGCATTGTTAAGCTCACAGTGTAGTACAGCATGGAAAATACATGTTTCTGAGGGACGTTGCCAGAAAGACGAGGGATATTTTGGTGCTATATCCAAGCTATATATATATGTGATTAGAAAAGTTTCCTAATCTGAAAAACACAATCTGTTTTGGAGGAGGCATGAATTTATGAGTGTGAGTGTGTGTGGGTGTGTGTGGGGGGGCCGGATGCGACCCACACATGGAACTTGATGGACCCAGGTATAGATTTTAAGCAATGAACAGCAGAACAGTATTCAGGATTAGAGGGGCGTCCGAGAAATTCAAACAGCATATGAAATTGCAATGGAAATATGCTTTGCACATTCATGTATTCAGTCGGGGATAAAACAGCGTAACCTCAGTTTGCCCTGCGTTTGCCTGTTAAATCTTCCCGCTGACACGGTAATTATGCACTTTGCGCATGTTGCCTGGGAGTTTAACAAATCCCTGCTTGCCGCAGGTTTTGTTGTGATTGCAGCTACGCCGACATTTGCATTTCAGCAGCCTGCCACCTTTTGGAGATAACTAACCCCGGCGTGATCCCTTTCAACGGTCGCAATGTCTCACAACCTGAGTGAATTATTACTCAACCTAAAGACAGGAATCATATAGTGTGTGATGTGATCCGCCAGATTCCGCTTTTTTGACCTTTAGATTCTCAAGGATTAGTAAATTAATAAGCGGAGGGAAGCGAGCAGTAGCTCACTGACACATTCCGCTTTGGATGAAGCCTTAGTGACGGAGGTTGAATGTCATCAAGTCGAACTTTGACGCTGATGTTACCCGAGAGAAGGTGATGCTGTCTGCAGACCAAGGTCATGCTCAGAGGAGGCCCAGTATATGCCAGTTCATTAATGAGCATATACACTTGATATATATATATATATATATATATATATATATATATATATATATATATATATATATATATAGCGCATCTATTGTGCTGCCACCTTATATGTATTATCAAAATCTTAGTTGTCCAGAACATTTAAAGTCTTGTTAGCTTCTCTTTATGTCAATCTCCTTCTCTGTAATTTTTAACAATTTAATTAGAACAAATCGACATCGGGTGGTGGGTTTTAAATCATGGCTGCAGTGGATGAAATGGCGCTCAATGTTTTTTTGCCATTGCTTTATATGTGCTCAGGATATTGATCTGTGTATGATACTACTGGACAGCTAATGTGTTTAAGCAACAACACTTTTGACCTTTCATAGAGGGTCGGTATGGAGGAGATATAACTGCATCAAACACAACAAAAAAACACTTTGTAGTTTTAACAGGACAGGCCATGAGGTTAAGGTTGAAAAGATGTGTGTAGTTCATTGTGGCAATAACAAACCAAAAAACAATAAAGTGTTTTGGATCTCACTCGGTTATCTCTGCTCGTACTGCCAGGGTGCCTGAAGCAGCTACCACAACAAAGTTGATGTTTGCAATATTGTATTGTTCTGTTGATGTAGGGGCTGACAAGTCAGACTTCATTTTTTGTTTTGTTTTTGCTGCCTCATGGTAGAAAACAAATTGGTTGTACTGTGCTGCAGATAATGAGTGACTCAGCTGAACATGCTGCAGGTCATGTGTGTGTGTGTGTGTGTGTGTGTGTGTGTGTGTGTGTGTGTGTGTGTGTGTGTGTGTGTGTGTGTGTGTGTGTGTGTGTGTGTGAAGGCACCTGGCACACACACACACACATACATAATATATACACGCACACACGTATGCACAGGCGCATAATAACCCAAAACCAGGTGCATCCGTGCACAAAAAGCCACTGCGCGTTTATGTGACTCCCTCCAGCCGCACACACCTCTCCGTCCACTGACCGTTCCTCTCGTCGTTTCACTTCATTTTTTTCTTCTTCTTAGCCTTTATAACTCTTGCGGGACTCTTTGTCTTTCGGAAGGGGGTGGGGGGTGGGGCGGAGTGCAGCCGGAGTCGTCCTCGTGCGGTTGGATGCTGGAAGCTGTGTCCGCGGGTGACGGAGGCGGACGCGGCGCTCCGTCTGCTCTTGTGCAGCAACCGGGAGCCGAGTCGCTCTCCAAGGTGCCGAAAGTCGGAGCTTATACCTCCCCGACGATGAACCGGACCTCCGCCGAGAGCCACGCATCGAACGATGACTGGTTTCCACCTCGTTTGGTTTAATTTTTCCTACTCCAACTTCCACCCCTTTGGATCTGGGATGTTTCGCGCAACCGCTGGATGTGTGCAACAAGAACACGGCCGCTGCAGCTCTCTAACGTTCACCTGCGTCGGTGGGAAATACTGAATTGACTCCGGATTCTCAGGGAACGCTAACGGAGGGTTTCTGTTTTTTTCGGGCTGTTTTTCCTCGGTCTGTCTCTCGCTCCGTGCCGCATGCCGCTGGACGCGTACAGTTTGTCTCAAACAGGTGAGTCCGATGGGGGAATCACCATGAAGCAGACCTACTTTTACGCGGATATCGTTTTCTTTCCACTGGAAAAGGGGGGGGGGGGACCACGGCTGCTGTTTAATTGCTTTATTTAAAAACCCATCATCACGACCGTGAGGGAGGATGATAGTGTCGTGAGGGGTCCGGGGCGGGGGGGATTTACCCTGTGGATAAAGTGAAGTTTCCGATAGGCTAGGCGACCACCGTTAATGTGCTGTAACCCTCTGTGTGCAGGGCTGTCTGGCTTCACACTGGATATCAAGCTATTTGAACGCGGTGAGTTCTGTGTCGTATGATGTGCATCCCTGTTGTCAATGGCATTTCGATTGATCCGTCGAGACATGCAGTATTTTTTAGAGCAAGCGATTCCAAAACATTATTTTAATCTGGATTTTGCTCTGTGTTTGTCTCCTTCCGATGGTGTGATGCATTTTGTTAAATCTTTGCGCATTCATGATTCGGGACATTTGCATGTTGCATGGCTGATTAAGTGGGGGCAGATTGGTGCTAGTCCGCAGTCAGAATAGTCATTTGGTTAATAATTGGCTTCAAAGCAAATAGACTAATATAACAACCTGTTGTCTATGGCCGCTCTCCTCGAGTCTCCAGTTGTATACAGATAGCTGATAGGTTGCTGTTGTATTAAAGATGGACAAGAGGACTGTGAGGAGTCCACTCCACCCAATTCAGATGTTGTAACCTTTCCTTTGATGTTTGGTTATTGCTGAGCTTTTGCATGAAGAATAATGAAGAATATTGAAAGCGAGAGAGAGAGATATGAAAAGAGAAACGGAAATGATCCCTATAGTGACAAAAAATGCTTCTGAGTACAAATGAACCGGATATCCTAAATGTGACGTTGGCTCGTATATGAGAATGTGTAAAACAATATCAGTGGAATCATCTGCCATTCTATCATCTCTCATTTCTTCCACTGCAGCCCATTTCCTCAAGTGATGATGATGATGATGATGATAAGAATAATGAAGCATAGGACGGATCTGGAGAGGATACCAGGAGCCTAGGGATGACATCAACACAATTTTGTTGAGCGTGGATGTGGATGTCAATGTCGCGGCGAAGGATGGGCCCTCTCCTCTGGGCCGCCTTCATCCTCCTGCTGGCCCCGGGCAACGCATCTCCGGCCTCGGTCGGTAACCCCGAGGATTACACGGCGGACGAGGCGGAGCGGACCGCCAGCGACAACATCGTCTTCGACGACTACCGGGGGAAAGGATGCGTGGATGACAGTGGCTTCGTCTACAAACTCGGGGAGCGCTTCTACCCGGGACACTCGAACTGTCCGTGCGTGTGCACGGAGGACGGGCCGGTGTGCGACCAGCCCGAGTGCCCCAAGCTGCACCCCAAGTGCACCAAAGTGGAGCACAACGGCTGCTGCCCCGAGTGCAAGGAAGTGAAAAACTTTTGCGAGTACCGGGGAAAGACGTACAAAATACTGCAAGAATTTAAGGTAAGATCTGGTTTTCTGCTGGAAACAGTGAAACAGCCGCTGCACGGCTGCCAACTGGAAAAACTAGAGCAAAATTGGAGCATTTGACTAAAGTTGCCATACAGTTTTATGTTTAGACTCATTTGAGGGCTATAGTGGCCAACTGATGCTTGATGAGTTGGTGCCATCTTGCCAGGTTGATTCATTCGGTCACGTCATCTCCTAGATGCCACAAAAGAAACCATCTTTCTTACAGAGACGTTTGTTGACACGTGTCATAAACAGTTACGTGAAGAGCCCTAACTAGACCTACATTGCCTTTTCAAACACTGTACGTTAATTCATTCAAACAAAACAAAACATTCTGCCGTCCATCTAAATCTCATGGAGAGGAGAGAATATTAATGGTGGTTGACCGCACACACCCACACACATACTTTTGGTCTTGCGAATTGTGGACAGCAATAGACTTTAATGGTGTTTAGAGTTAAAACATAGTGGTGTTCTGTTGTTAGGTTTGGGTTTGTGAAGTGTGAGTACACCGTTTGGTGGACAGTAAAAGTATGATGAAAACGTGTTTATTGACCAAGGGCACAAAGATGGCTGACTCCCAGAGTGATGTCATCGCCTCCCCCCTGCACCATCAACGGAACATTCACCCAGCATTACTAATCTGACAGATGCTACCGGAGTATTTGGTGCTTTGGTTTTTGGACACTCGGCCATTGCTAGCTGATTCAGTTTCCTCGTCTGTCCTCATGTGAAACAAAGTTTCTAGAACAGTGTCTGATGGGTTGCTATCGAGGGTGACAGTTTTGCCTGATTAAATGACAAAAAAGGGCTGCATTTAAATTGTTGCTGCTCCGCCTGAAAACTCATTCATATTCCTCACAAATGATTTGAATGTCATATGAAGCAATGCTTTGCAAACCGTTGTTTTGCTCTATTTTTCAACAAGGTATTCCGTCATGTTTCCATTGTAGTTGTGTCTTCCAAATCTACCTTTGTTGAAGTCTTTCCCACCCAAATGATTGTCACCTTTTTCTGGATTTCCATTCCATGACCTTTATCTAGTGATCCCAACATTTGAGACAACCAACTGGTAGAATGGTGGCATGGCCAATATCTTTGTAGATTTTTGGAATTTTAAACAGTTAATTAGTTTAAAAAAACAGCTTGGTGACTAATGGGTCCTCATATTCAGAAGTAGGAAGGATTTCTGTTTTTCAATCATCTATTTTGTGCAGCCAGCTCACATGATAGGCACTTGAGAACTAGATTAATTCTTGAAAGTAAGCTTTTCACATCCGTTTCAACATTAACTATCATAGACTGTGGAAGATTAGCAGTGTTCAACTGTTGCAATCCACTCTAGAGATACCAGAGATTAAACAATATGCAAATCCGAATAAACAATTGCACATTTACAATTAATGAGAAGACCTCTTATTCATACATGTATGCAACATTGGTCTGTAATTATAGGCAAATGTATGCAATTTGCATATTACAATTTGCAGTAAACCCAGATAACAATTCTGAGCTCTAACTCTTCTACGGCTTCTTCTGAGATGTGAGAGCGTAAATATTTTATGCACCCAGAAAGATATATAAGACAGAAATAATGTAATTATTTCGTTATTTAGCAATAACATTGCAAAAAATGCATTGAAAGAAATTATCAGGAACTAACCTTCATGGTCTTATCTGGAAAACATTCAATGCCTATATTTTATTATTGGACACTGTAGTTACAAAGTTTATATAAGTAGCATCTCATTGTGGTATGGTTAAGGTCTTCAGAACTATAACATAAGGATTTTTTGCTTCTCATTTACTGATCCAGAGCAAGATATAAACTCAACATATTATCACCCCTAGTGGTGAATGTGAGGCATTCAAATGTCTTTCCTCCAGATAGCCTGCATCTCTTTTTGCTCTGCTTTTGGTCTCTTCCAGCCCTCTTGGGAAATATTTGTCCCTTTAGCTGCTAAATGCTGCGAAACTAGTTGCTAACTTTGCATTCTAGCGTTGCAGAAGAAGCAGTCACTTGATTTAACAGCTTGATTCCCATGAACCTCTGTGTTAAGCTAAAAGTTGTCAAGCCTAAAACTCAAACTGAAAAGCTGAAAATACATATTTCTAAGATATTCCGTAGAGCTAAAAGGACCCGCAGAGTCTGTGATTGTTGTCGCCTCAAGCAAACTCTTTCACAGTAAAGGTGGTTGTTTGAGCCATCACGTGTAGATATTATCCATCTTTGAACAATTAATATATGCTGTTGTGTATGGATTCAAATTAAAAATCAATTAATTGAGAGTGAAGATAATGGTTAGATGTGTCCATAGCATATAGCTATGCAGATCTGCATGGCGGTGACATACTGCAGTGGTGCTGTTCATAAGGTGGGAGTGGGCACCGACTGGTGTGTTTGCACATCAGACAGCGTCAAGCTCAGTCCTGCATTGGGATGCAAGCCCACAGATTGTGTAAGGGCCACTTTGAGTGCATAATCCTTGCAGTTTGGTGGGAGATCAGGTCCATCAATAGTGCAGATCACCTTAACTGGAGGGCCCAGAGAGGAAGGACATTCTTTGTACTTGAAGGAGAGAAAAAAATAATTATTTTGTTCTCATTGGCCTATTGAGTATTTAGTACGTAACAAAATTAGGGGGCGAGCAAATCGGTGAGGATCAGCCTCTCCTATCAAATACCACAAGTAACTCTAAAATATGACATCCTGTGCGGTTGAGGTTTCCTTATTAAGGACATGAAAACTCTAACCCGTTGGAAGGCAATCACAGGCTGTCAGTGTCCTATTTAAAGATGATAACGGGGTAACCTTTGCTGTGGGCCTAGTCGGCATTTTCTTTGCGGTGCCTGTGGTAGATTCTGCATATGTATTTATTTATATTAAGTTGCAGATGATGGAGGAACACAAACGTTTATTTTTTTCGGGCTTTTGGGATGAATAATTAAAGTACACATTGCTTGGCCATCATCCAACACTTAATATATTTCTATTCATTCGGTTCATTAAGCTGGAAATTCCATCCTGGAATACGTCGGTCATTAAGTCCCATGCAAGTAGAGTCGTTGTCGTGCTGGTGGTGGCGGGCATTCATTCATCACAAAGTAGCTGACCGCAGTGAAATGTCAGCCTGTCATTTGTTGAATCGAATGCTGGTATAACTCACGCATCAGCAATCTGACTGACAGGTGAGTAGTACGGCCCGATACGTTAACGAAACCCGGAGAACCTCTGATCACAAAACACGGATCGAGCCGGACTTCATTTTCCGCTCAGAACGCCGTAACTCCACGACATCTTTACATAACAAATAGCTGTTTGCTGCTGCATTAAAGCTCTGAGTTTGGGACTCCAGCCAATTTTAGTATTTATATTTAGCAGCACGGTATTTAATAGATAGATTAACTACCAGTGGGTGTATTTTGCTACTTCTTTTGCTATGTTGCACCGTGAGAGCGTCATGCCACTCAACCTTAGTAGGTGTTTCACCTCCAGGGTTCCCCATCAGATGAGGAAGGGACCAGTCCGCCCAGCATGGCTGCCGGCGTCCCATTGTCCCCAGCGCAGCTGCAATCAAGAACCAGGAGCTATAGGGTGAGTTCAGATCCCAGATCGTCAGGCTAGGGCTGGGATGTGAACTCAAATGTGAACAATCCCGTGCATCCAGGGGAAGGGATGCAGAGTAAAACGAAATGGTAAAACTGGCAGGCTTTATACTTTATGTCTACTCACCTTTCCTTAAATCCCGATGAGACTGGTACTAATCTATCCAGTGCAGTGCAGTTAATGCCGACTACTGAGGGGGGGATTAAATATTGAGTCACTTTCATTTCATGATTCGTCTGCTTCACGTGACATTTCATTGTTCTCTCAACACAACCAAAGTCTTTGCAGAACTCGCTGTATCGTAATTACTGCTGTGAAAGCGCATGTGCAGACATTCACAGCAGTGAATTGAACACAAACGCACACTCAAAGCGACCGGCACATTGCACACAACAGTAATTAGTGACTGTGCTTTTCAGCAGTGACACCTTTGAGACAAAACAACCATAAAAGCTGTTGCCCAAATAGGTTTTTTTCAAATCAAATTTGCCAGAGGCAACAAGGGACCTAATTATGAGATATGATTGAATAAAAACAATTGGGATGAAAATAATTTTCAAAAAACTTCTCGGCTCCCGGAAACGAGTTTCTAAAGGCGTTTTTAACTTCTCTCATCCGCAAGCCCTGCTTGCTCTCTTTATTATTTGCCCCCGCTAAATGTTATTTCACTCTTCACCCCCCCCCCCCCCCCCCCCGCACTCAGTCCCAGAGAGGGTCACAAAAACAAGGCGGCTGAATCGAACTGGACTTACTCCTAAAGAACAGGGCCACCAAAAAAATATTCCTCCCCAAAACGTCTGGCAAGCCACGCATAGTTCGAGGGTGGGGCGCCACTTACTTTTGTGAGAGGGGGCTAAAGACTGACTGATCCTCTTCTCGGTCGAGCACACTGAAAAGGACGCCCTGCAAGCCTCACGGGGATATGAACGGACTCATATCACTGTACAATGAGGAGGTTGTGTCTTTCAAAGCACATCGTTAACAGACTTATGAAATACAACATTTTTAACATACTTGTTAAAAATGTTGACGATTATGTTAGTTTTTACCGGTATGCAGCTCAGCAACAGTTGATCTTCAAAATGCTCAAATGCCTCCAAAACACACTTCTCGGGATCCCGTGGTGGATTTGAACTGCATTTAGGTATTTACTTAAGTACAAATTTGACTTGTGGGCCTATTTTTCATCTGGTGCTTTGGTTTACACATCTGCTCCAGCACTTTCCCATGTCATACATTTTATTGTAATATATGTATCTCCACTATAGCTGACTCACAGCTTACTTTAATATCCAGATTGTATGTGCAACACATATGAAAATAGGCATTTTGAAGAAAATAGTTCAGATGTGTTGTACCTGTTTATTCAGATAATGCATAGAAGGCAACACATCTGTTCATATTATAAAATAAATGTAACACTTTGAAAAAATCCATCTGACAAAATGAGTATTACATTTGTAAAATTAACAGTTAAACATCCATTCATCTAATGAAAAAATCACCCTAAAAATCCACACGTTACACTCCCATGTACCGATAAGGTTTATTGGATTTACTTAGTTGGCATAAACAGACTCCATAACATCATAAGCAATAGTTATTCTTTGGTTAATTAAGTATTTTTAAATTATTATTTCTAGATCACATTCATTTAAAAAAATGAAATGAATGCACTGCCACAAACCACATAAATCATTCCTCATGTTGAGTTTAAATCACTTCATCCCTGCAGATCCCCAACAGGCACTTTTTCAGATAATACACTCACTTGGAAAAACAAGCAGGAAATGCTGCAGCTTAGTGATGCATCCCTAACGTGTATTTTAAGGATGGATATATGATTTCTTCTTTATCTTCTAAAGATAGTAATATCTCTTATGGGGGTAAAGGAAAACTGTATCCGTGCCAGATGCAGACTGCAGTCAAAGTGTGTCCGATTGTTTCCATTGTTACGTTTTAGAGAAACGTCTCTATGTGTTTGCCGCGCATCAAATATTTCTCAGAGCTGGAATGAGCTGGACTCTTAGAAGCGTCCACTGTACTAATTATCTCCACACTGGAGTGAATTCATGATACCGCTGTGCTTTTACCAATAATCAGATACTGTAAACTAACATGTAATCAACCATCCACAGTGAATGCTGTTGTGTCTATTTCTTCACCAAGAGACTATTGCACGTGTTTGTGTTCGTCCTTGTCATGCTGCTTTTGTAATGGAGGAGTTTCCATGGACACTACTATCATGGTTTTAAGTTGTATCCTTGCAATGATCATATATTGAATTCACAAAGTACATGAGGAACTTGGTCCTTCCAATCGTTTTGTTTCAGTAACAACATGCAGGTTTCTGAATGTCTGCACGAGTCTGTTTGACTCCTCCATGTACAGCCACTCTCATTTCTGTCCTCACTAGGCCCTTTTGACATTTAAGATCTGCTTTGTGTTGGTGGCTTCCAGAACTCTGCTGCACTCTGGTTTTAGTTTCCAACATCTCATCAGCCGTAATAAGCAGTTTGTCTACACTGGAGTTTCAGACTTTGTTGTTAGTTGTTCACTTGCTCTTCGGATATTGTTTAGATGTGTACAGAGTAGTTCATAGACAGATATGGTTTTGTATTTTTCATATGGGCTGAAAATACGTGGCCTAGTTCAGTGCGGAGGCCCTACACAATACGAACGTGAGTGGAAAGACCTTTGGGGCAATCTTAGAATGCTTCCCACATCTGTGTTTTATTGACTGACATCTAAATAATTCATCCCATTCTTAAAATAGGGTCTCATTTTTTACACGTAGTGGGATTGAACCTTCATTTAAACAATTGTAAACACAGAGGATGAAGCTCATTGGTGCAAACCGCTGTTGCTTTAAATCACCGGTGAGACAAATGTATTACTACCCAACACAATTCTGACTTACTTAAGATGTTGTCGATTTTATGTTTTACCCAAGGTCAAATCATGGCATCCTCACTAAACCCAGAACACTTATGGACAACAGAGCCAACTGAGCTTCATACATTCAATTACCGGTGCCGAGGCAAAGCGGAACCTTCCGGCTGGAGAAACACACAGAAACATAAACCTGAAATGCAGCCGTGACATCTTGCAGCGAGAAGCGTCAGACACAGCGTGACTGCTGACCCCGAGTCCGCCTCCCCGGCCCCCACAGATCAAGTCTGTCGGGTTGGCAAAATGCGCTCCGTCTTCCATATGTATGAGACAACATCTTGCTGTGTAATTGGTGTATTTCTGTATGACTGCTCAATCTGACGGCGGAGAAGATAACTGTAAGAATGTTTAACTTTGCTGAAGAGAAATACTTTTGGTTTATTTACATGAGCGCACTGCTACATGTGCGGGTACGATGTGAGAAGAATTTCTGACATGAATTTCTGATAAGAGGGTTGAATTATAGAAGTTGGGATCTTTGTGTGTCTTGCTTAAAAGCTTTCATCATTTCCTCGCAGCTACACTTGAAAGAGGAAAGGCATGTTGAACATCGACGAGTAGGAGCTCTAAAATATACAACATGCACAATGGATAGGCAGATCAAATCTATCCTCAGGGTGAAACATTTAAATCAGAGACACAGAACAATGTTTTTTTAGATTGTTTTTACAACAATGCTTCTGCACTTTTTTTTACAGTTTTGTTCTGTGAAAATATCCGTATGTTTACCGGTTTTATTTTTACTCTTTCTTTCTAATCTTTCACATTAAAGCATCACTTATTATGTTATTAGCACGGCCCTTTCATTTCCTCTCATCATTACACTTGACTGGACGGTGAAAGCGTTCTTGTTGGTACGATTCATTCGAAGCAGGTGGAAATATGGCCGTCTCAAAGCTGTCTGGGAATAATGCACTTTGGGATAGGTGATGGCATAATGACAGAAAACATTAATTCCACAGCACGACATCCAACATAGAAAGGACTTTTATAAAAAGTACAACAGTCTGGGTTATATACTTGTTCCCTTTACTCCTCAGAGATTGAGAGAGAGACTTAAAGACTTATCAATCTCGTGGTGCTAAATATGTAGCTGGAGACAGCAGCTGGCTAGCCTAGCTTAGCATAAAGATTGGAAACAAGGGGGAACAGCTACAGCTCTCACCAAATGATGATCTATTTTATTTATTCAATCTGTAATAACCTGTAATAACAGAATTAGTTTATTTTGACATTTGTTTGATTTCAGTTGCTGCTTTCACAGTTTTCACCAAATGTGTCATGCATTGTAAAACCTATGTACCCTCAAAGCTTAGTACAGTAACCACTGACTTACTGGTGGAGCAGACGCAGAGCAGAGATGCGTGGTGGATGGAGTCGAGTGGGTGCGCTGGGAAACGAAGGGTTGTTGGTTTGAACCCCGGCTACGCTTCCTGAGCGAGACGCCAATCCCCTTGTTGCCTTTCCGGCAGCACGCTGCTCCCACTGTGTGGGACGGGTTACATGCAGAGAAGCATTTCGTTGTCTCGGTACCTGTATTCTGTGCAATGATAAAAAGTTGAACCTTCTTCTTCTAAAGAATGTTTGATGAGAGCAGTAAAACTAATATTAACACTTGACCTTTCCAGATTTGTATTTCTCCACCGCACGCAATTGCATTACGGTTCATTTTGCAGTGGGCTGACTTTCTAGAGATAAGAGAGTCAAGTGAGCTGCATAGCACTGATTTACATGTTGCAGAGGTGGGGAGACGAGCCTCTCAACGGTTTCCCCAGGCGGTCCGCGGCCGACTGCAGCGGAAATACTCCAACGGTCCTGTTGGTTATTTCTGGTGACTTTATTCAAAGTCAGCTACAGGCTCTGTTTGTTAAGCTACACTGAGCCTAATGAAACTGGCTTTGTGAATAATGTATTAACTTGTCTCGTTGTTAATGAAGACCGTATGAGATGCATACAAAGGGAATCTTTTTTTTAATTGGGGAAGCACCAGCACACGAGCGGGACGTCAATTCTGGTGACCCGGTAGTAACCGCGTGCAAACTGAAGAAGGGTGGAAACTTACTGAATCATCTAACCCGAGATGTCTCCCCCCCTCCTCCCCCCTCCTTCCCACAGCCGTCACCTTGTGAATGGTGCCGCTGCGACCCAAATACCGAGGTGCACTGCGTGGTGTCGGACTGCGCCGTCCCAGAGTGCGTCACCCCCGTCTACGAGCCGGAGCAATGCTGCCCCATCGTTAAAACGGGTAAACACTTGGAATACAACCCCCCCCCCCCCTCCTCCTCCACCACCCGCCATTACATTTTCATTCAATCGATGACTGCAAGTTTGTCTGTGGTATCACCATTTGGTGGCAGTGCCCTCAGAGGTTGAGGATGTAATTGATGTTTTATGAATTAAAATTATTACCATGGGCCCAGAGGACGCTAATGAGCAGCACTAGTTTTAATTATAAATGACACACTAAGCAGAGTAAACATTAGCCCATTGATTAAAGGTGCGGCAGGAGGGACTAATGGGCCCTCAGAGAGCTTTTTTATCTCCCAGTACCCCGACGCCCTTGTCACACACAGCCAATTCCTAAATTAGAATTATAGGATTCCGATGGTTCACTGGCTACTTACAAAGCAAGGTGGGAGATTTCTCTTGGCCAGCATCAATCCTGAGGGACGTATGGTGCTTTATGAACAAAGTACAGGTAATGTTCAACTGCAATGTGCGCCGAGCTGCAATGCCCGACACCAGACAGCCCCTGTGGTTGATATCGAATGCTGTAACAATACAATGTTGTATTCTCTATTTTGTCATTTGGCTGAAATGTAAGATTGAGATTATTTGAGAGATGAAAGACCATGGCAGAGAAAGTATTCCTGAACTCTAATGGAAAAAACCTGATGAACAATTAAAGATGCCCTCTCATGACCACCGCATGCTTTATTTACTTCAATCACTTCATTTTGTTGAGTGCCACCCCAAAATGGAAAATTTATTCATGAGTATTCCTGTTGAAATATGCTCAAATAAATGGCCTGCGATCATTTTTTCCATTTTCCTTTCCAGCAGTGGTTGACCTATGAATGTGAGAATAGGAACTTTGTTTGAGGCGGATGCTAAAAGGCTATTTCACAACAACTACCCGCATTTGCTTTTAGCCTCTCACTCATTTCTTCATCATCTCCCTTGCTCCCTTTTTTTATTTCAAAACACACACACACACACCCACACACACAAACAGCCACACTAACAAGGCGGCAGGAGCTGCTAGAAGAGAGCTAACGCAGGCTGACAGGGCACAGTGACACACTTGGTATTTCAGGGTAGGCCTGCCGTTTCCCGGCTCCCCAAGGGTGCGTGGTCAGGCTCTGGCAGCCAGTTAAATCTCTTTGGGAGCTGAAGGCCGTGCGGAGAGGACAATGAAGAACGCTCTTTAGCTCCCATTGTTTTTGGCCAAGGGACGGGGAGGGGGAGCAGGGGCGGTGGGCTGTGAAAGGAAGACTTATGGACATGCAATCGGCGGAGGACAGTCATGCGTTTGTCGTCTTCACCTGCTGCAAGTCACTGGTTTCAAGTCATCTTGTGGAATGAGGCCGACCCTTTCAAAATGTCAACGTGTCTTCTAAAGAGGGAACAATTATATGACTAAGGACATGAATAGCAACCGTCCATGGTTTGGTGCGGCGATTGTGCCGTCTGCTTAACAAATCCCATTAGGTAAAACTTCAAATGAAAGCACCCAGCAGTACCAGTTCAAAAGATTTCCAAACCTAGGAAGAAAAAGATGACCAAGTCTGGAAGACAGACAGCTTGCCCCTTGCGTCCTCCCTCAAAAGCAACTCCCCAAATTATCAATTATGAAAGAAAATCCCAAACATTGTTGGTACTCAGAGCCGATGGGCTTGTGGGAGACTCCGGTGATCAGTGTGCAACAAATGTTCAGATTTAGGACCTTTTTGTCGGAGTCTTTGATTTATTCATTACTGTCCAGACGGAATAAGCAATTAGCAAATATTAAAAAAAAATGATTTTGGAGATTACCGACCCTGCTTTTAACAAGGCCTTCTATCCATGCTGGCAGCAGAGCTTTGAGCTTCAAGGGGCTTGCTTCAAGTTTTGAAATGGCTCCCGAGACGGCATTAGAACTGTTCCAGCGCAGCTAAAAGACCTGCGTTGGACCAGAGGAGGCTCATTTAGTGGGTTTTGAATTAATTAATCTTCATCTCCGAATGTCTTCAAGGTTTGTGGAGGCTTTTTGTCAGAACTCTGAAACAGTCTGAAAACAGCAATAGAGAGCAGAGGGCAGCACAATATCCACGTTCATTGAGTCTGACTGATTCAGTCCTTATCATGAATTATATACTGTAAATATACACTGCCTGGCCCCAAAAAAAGTTGCCACCAAAAAAAGAGGTCACACACCGTAATATTTCGTTGGACCACCTTTAGCTTTGATTAAAGCACGCATTCGCTGTGGCGTTGTTTCGATAAGCTTCTGCAATGGAAAGATGTTTTTCCATGTTGCATTAATTTCTCACCAAGATCTTGTATTGAGGATGGTAGCAAAAAGTCTTTACCAGCACATCCTAAAGATCCTCAATGGGGTTAAGGTCTGGACTCTGGTGGCCAATCCGTGTGTGAAAATGATGTCTCATGCTCCCTGAACCGCTCTGTCACGATTTGAGCCCGATGAATCCTGGCATCGTCATCTTGGAACATGCTCGTGCCATCAGGGAAGAAAAAATCCATTGATGGAATAACCTGCTCATTCAGTATATTCAGGTAGCTGACCTCATTCTTTGAGCCCATACTGTTTTTTTTGGCCAGGCAGCGTATCAGGAGATGCATGTAATCGTATAAATCTCAAAACGAAAAAGATAACTTGAAGTTGGCTAAAAATGGCCAGCATTATCTCCCTTTGAATGTATCAAGTCACCTACTTGTCGGCCTGACAAATCGTGGACTTTTAAACAGTACAGCCGGCTGACGTTCAAACTGGCGAAGCTTGCCATTTCTTTGTGAATGAAAAACATCCGGCAGAGGAGTTTGTACGGAAGCATTTTCTCACCTCAGCGGGAAGCGCTGTAATCATTTGAGCCGTAATGAGCGCTTAGATGCATTCCCTCCTGAAGATGAGGGGAAGTATGATGTACTGGGACGGCTTTGACACATGGCAAACGTTTCCCGACTTCTCTGAAATCGTATTGGCCATGAATCGATTAGCAGCTGGGATGGGTGACAGCGTGCCCTCCCAACGGTAACAGGTAGCTGAAGCTGTGTCCTTGTGGCCCAAAGTCTCTCTGGCAATAAACAATCACGCTTGGCAGCCACGACCAGTCGTCCCCTTCCCCCGCCAACCTCTGCGGAGTCCGTCCTGCAGCCTGTGCCAGCTGTCCGGAGGCAGATCGATGGAAGTTAAGACTCGGCAAACGTTTTCAGTGTCTCCTCTAAGCTCACGATCAAAGGGCTTTTTATCGGGTGCAAAAGGAGCACAGGACCCGTCTGTAGAAACAGAATGATTTATATTTCTACCGCACCACATTCGTTTGACAGCTTTGGTAACCAGCTTACATGTCAGGTTAAACATCTGCGTACCCATCCTGTGCATCCCCAGGTGTTGTTTTTGAAGATTTGCTTAAACATTAATCCTATTTAAGATGATCATCTGGAAAGCTCATTGTCACATTACAGGAGGAACAGGGCTGTTTTTTGACTTTAGAGAGATGCATGATTCTCACTGGAGAGCGGTATGATCTTATACATATGGAGCCTTGCTGTTGATAACGTAACAATATTTAAAGTGGCAAAAATGAGCATACGTCATTTTAACCACCTTTTTAAGCCCAAATGGAGACATCTACAGCAGAACAATCTAACATACACATTAATGCTGCCGTAATAATCTCAAAATATCATTAATTACTTGGGAACCTTACGGAAATATTAGTAATTATGCTTTTATAGATCGAAGGTTTGAATACAACTTACTTGAGTTTTCAACGTGGTATGGATCATTTTAATTAATAGTTGGGTAAAAGATCTGACCTTCGCTATTTAATAACAATACAACGCTGTCCCGGTAAACCACGACTAGTCAATTTGATGCGCGGCTCCTCTGGTCCACGTACGGTTTCATAGCTCAAGTTGAGTTTGCCTGGACTGAAGCAAATCCACTGTGACCCAAGACGTCCATGAAAGTAAGACGTTCACCCTACTGAATTATGACACACACAAGCTTTTTATGACTCCTCGTCCAGTCTTGGAGCTAGCAAGTTTTACGGTGCTGAATACTGAGAGCAAAGTCACCGTCACACCACTTGAGCTGCTGATTGCTTCATCTAGATGATTACATTTTGCAAGAATTCCTGGCACCTCCTGGCCGCGCTCTCTCAAGAGGTAGACGGAGATTTACATCACTTCAAATTGTCACAGGGCGGCGGTGGGGGGGGGGGGGGACAAATCAGATTGAATTATTCCATGTGGTGTTTACCAATAACGAATAGATTGGGTCATCAGAGGTAGCAGCAGTTTTAGTTTTCCACGAGTACAGATCCACAGAATCCTGAGAGGATCAAATACATATGAGGTGTTGCACTGGTACACAATAACTGAGAATCAACAAAAAAGGGATCGGTGACAGTAAATCCTGCAGGGTTTCTTGGATAAACCAGCTGCCAAAATGAATCAGAGTTCTTTATTGGGCTCTGTGTGCGTGTGTGAAGAGAAATCACGTAAGGAATTACTAAAGAGTTCGGTGGCCTTTTCACAGAGACCGTAGTGATCAACAGCATCCTCCCTCCTGCCTCGCTCTGTCCTCCAGCCCCCGTGCGCTGCCGAGCCAGCGCCTGGCAGCTCCTCTGCTCGCAGCGCATTAGGATGCAAAGCGCTCCGTGTCGGGGGAGAACGGGAGAGCAACAAAAGCGCTTTAGTGTCGCAAAAACAAGCCCATTGGTGCATGGCCGTCAAAAGATCTGCACGTCTGCTCCGACTCGCCCAACTCCCTGCAGCTCTCTGCCGCACTTCACCACCCCCTTCCGAAAAAGGAGAAAGCCCTCAGGAGAGCCACATCCATTTTTGTGTGTGTGTGTGTGTTGTTCTCACTCCTTCTTCCCCGTCTTGTCTCCCCTCCCGCTGGCAGGTCCAAATTGCTTCGCTGGAACGACGATCATCCCGGCCGGAATCGAAGTGAAGGTGGACGACTGCACCATCTGCCGCTGCCACAACGGAGACTGGTGGAAGCCGGCGCAGTGCTTGCGGCGGGAGTGCCTCAACGGCCAGACGTTGTCATAGAAGAGACTCCGGGAGGGATTGGCGGAGAAGCTCAGGCACGGCCCTGCCTACTGCACCGTTTTGTATGATTGACAGGGCAGGAGCACAAACACCTGAGGAACCCGGGGAGATGCTCTCACAAGCTCGACATCGATGTAGCCACTGGGAAGAAGGCGCAGCTTTTCACGAGGCCGTTTCCACCCCGCAGTTTTAATCGGCCTATGTATTTTTCAAAAGTGGACTTGCTGCTCTCACAGACACACACACACACAAAAAAAAAGTTTCTATGCTCCTTGAACACTTTCCTAACCATCGGCGATATCGGATTGCTCATGCCGATTTCATGTACGTATGTCATCTGCTTGTTGTACTTGTCAATCACATTCACGCAGGTGTTGTAATATTCCAACAGCAGGAAAAACAAACTCTAAGCACACTTATCGCTGTTTCGTTTTTTTGTTTTGTCATAAGAAGATTGACGCCTGGATGCTCGAGTTTCAACACTTTACTATTGAGCTTGTTTACAAGATGCACATCCCACATACATGTTTGTCTCTTCGTAAGTATTCTGATTGCTGTGGCAGGAAATCACCCCCAACTGTCAGATGATGCAACCCAAGCGCAGATGCTATTGCTCACCCAATGGTTTTCAGTCATTTCTCAGCTTCGGAATTTTGAACTCTAGAATAAAAAAATAAAAAGAAGCAGATTATACATTTTTGCGACACTCCATCTACACCACAACGTTGGGCAGCCTCTTCCGGCTTAATTGTCGCTACTGTTTTCACTCAGAGGTCCGTATCCTCCGAAATATCTCCTCTAACTATCTGCTTGAACTTGTCATGAAAAGCAATTAGCGAGCCAAAAGCGGCCTGCTTTAATTCATCCTAATCATGGCGGATTCTGTGATAAAGCGTCCAGCTGGGGGTCTAAGTGCTTCTAGGCAGCATTCACGTGCACAGTGTCCATGTGAGCATGCACAAGCACGTCGCTCCTCCATCGCATAGCCACAGTATGAAGATCTGTTCCTGCAGTAGCAATTCAATCTAAAGGTGTTTTATGCTGTTACATTATCCCACTGCTATAGCGTGCAATAGATTTTCAGCCTGTCCCCCCTCCAATATGTTAGAAAAGCTCTTCCAATGTTGTGTATCTATATTGCCGGTGCAACAACATAAAGACAAGCTAATATATTGCGTTGCCATTTCCCATGACCATAGTGGTCCTCAAGTGGTCCAGTCAAAAGGAAAAAGCAGCCAGCCGGGGCACAAAACCCGACATTTTTTTAGATGATGAATACTAGGCTTGAATTCTAAGGTGAATTCCAGTATGCTCGTGCCATTCATCACTAGAATTTCCAGAACATCCATTCCCGTTAACCTTTTAGACCCTATTCCTGGGTGGTGATGGATGGGCTGCTTAATAGCGGCTCGCAGCACCCTGTAATGAGACAGAAATGAACATAGGATAAAGACCAATGAATAAAGAGGTTTATTACCCTCAAATGCACTAAAATTTAATTTTTGCAAAGTCTGCTGCATATTACTGTAAAGCTGCAGTTGATGGATGAATCACAGAATTTAAAAAGTTCAAACCTTGGTGCAACAACGGAGACCGAGCCGTTTTCCTCATTGACCCAGAGTGATTAGTGTGTCTTAATGTGAAAAGACAGTCCTCAACCATCTAGCTGGAGATCTGCAGACTCAAAACAAAACTGACACCAACTGTTTATCAATCACAGCCTTGGTGCTCCAGATCTTTTAGGATTAATTTTGTTCTGTTTTTAAGCACCTTCTTCCTAATTATTTTTGATGCCAAATAATGAATTATTCCGTTCATGCATCTGAAAATAAGTTGGCATTAGACTGAAGTGAGCGTGCTAAGGCTCAGAGGCATTTACCACCACCACCGAGGCCTTATAGCTTCTGTTCCAGATAAGATTCACAAAGCATGGCCTTTGGTTTTATATAGTGTGAAGAGCCCAGACGGCTTTAAGTGCTTTTGTCTTCACACTGCAATAGTGTAGCGTTATGTAGTACCCACAAATAGTTGTTTTCCTCCTCCAGCCGGCTGGGTGCATTTGGAGTAATGGGGTAAGGACGGAGGAAAATCCATCTAAGAATACACTTCACACAAGATTTCTAGTTTTTTTTTTTTTATAGAAGTCAATGTAGAAGATGATGCCTGACAGAAGCATCAAAGCATATTGATCTAAACAACACGGCTACATGGATTCAATTTCCTTCCATGCTTTTAAAGTCTATTGCATTCGTTAAAAATAATCTGGGGTGCCACGGCTGCTCATCTGCTTAATTAGTCGGCGACCAGCCGCCGCCATCAACTAGACGTGAAGGTTGGAGTGGAGAGGTTCAACTTTGTTGTCAACGCGAAGCCGAAGACAAGACATCTCGCTCAACTGGCTTTCCAGAAGAGCTCAGTCGAGATCCGGGCTGCTCGTGAGCGGAAGGTTAAAGAGAGATGTGAAGTCAAATAAGCAAATGATATATTCAGAGCAGGTGCAGTGGTGCAACACCATGCAAAGGGTGTTTTAGATGATTAGAGACCGTAGTAGGGGATGCATCTATCTGAATCTGCACTGTAAGCAGGTTGAGACCCTAAACAATTCGTTTAAACTATTAAAAATTGGAATTACTAATAATGACTAAACCTGATAAGGATCCACGCAGTGTATTTGTGTGTACCATTAAAAAAAAAAAAACACAGGCTGTATTTAATGAAACAGTAAAAAGGCATTTTGAAAAACTGTTTTTGAGCAAAACTACATCCGAATTACATCTGTCCTCCCAAATGTGCAGCGCTGCAGTTTGGAGGACAGACCGGCAGCGCAGTCCGTCTTTGATCCTTTTCTGCCAAGAAACCAGAGTCTGAAATGACCCCCATCCTTCCTCAAACCATTCAAACCGCAGGCTTGTACATGAGCTTTTTATAAAGTTATACCATTCGCTCTCCATGAGACACCGACTTACTGTAGCTGGAAACAAGATTTTATTTGTCCTTTGTTTTTGTTCTTTTCAGCAAAAAAACTGTTACATAAAGTGTGCCTGACAACCAAGACGGAATACGAAGAAAAGAAACACTTATTATACAATCATCTGTATACGTTTGTGAGACAACACGAGTCTGTTCACGAGGGACATTTATATACACATTTGGATTTACGGTTTAAATGAAGATTGTATAACGATTGTATACGACCATATGCTCGCACAGGTTCACTCTACACTACAAGAAACAAGGAGAAACGTTTTTAAAGTTAAAAATGATTGGTGTTCCCCATGTTGTTCATATGTAAATATTTTCAAAGGTTAAATGTGTATTCTGAAATCTGAGGTCGAGTAAAAAAAAAAAAAAAAAAGAAAAGAAAAAAAAAAGCATAAATGACAAAATGTGTATTATTGATCGCGACAAAACATATTTTGTTAAAACAGATTTAAAAGTAAGTGTTATTTGCAAAAGTTGAGTGTGGAATTTCTTTTACACGTAGATCCTTTCTTCTCTGGATCAGGCGGATGCTTCAGGACACGGCGAAGGAAAAGTTGAAATAATTCATTTGAGCCTCTGCGCAGATGTCCTTGAATTTTACCCATTTGCTTTTCTTTACAACCAAACGTTATGAAACCTTACGGCCCGACCCCGAACACGCCAAAGCTCCAGGTGACCTTTCTACGGGCAGAACAAAAATTCCCCTGGAAGCTGTTGAGACAAAATAAGAACCTCCATGTCCTTTTCTGCTTCTGTAAAGCTCAGCGAGCCCAAGGACGCGAAGCCGGGGTCCATTCCAGCCTTCTATTTCATTACACGTCACTCTGGGCTGCTATCTCCTCCGCACTACTAATTGCCTTCTCCCACCACCCGCCGTGGACGAGGAAGGGGAGGCAATTTTATGCAGCACACAGCAATCAATAGCAATTAGGTGCATCCCAGACTAATCCCTTTGAAAATGGCATATTGGGAGATGGCCAGTAGAAGGACTCTTAAGGCCGGCCGGCGTTGGCAGTGGGGAACGTACACTACACACACACAGACAAACAAAAGGCAGGCACAGTGCGCGGTAGCGAGGTCAGAAATAAATGCTTTGTTTTTTCCTATTCCATCCTGTTCCCTCTGCATCGAGCTTTTTTTTTCGGGGGAAAAGCGCTCTCAATTAGGCAATTATCTATTCTTGGTGAACACCATGCAGATTATGGAATGCACTTCCACTCCGAAAACCACAGCGACTAGAGGGAACGGAAAGGCACAATCGGATTCATGTTTAAGTCAAGAGTTTCATGGCGAAGCGGGAACAATTTACCAGTAGCACGTTCTAACCTTGACCTGCGGCCAACAGCTTTGCTTAATGACCGAACGAATCGGATGAGCGTGAAGCGGCTGAAGGGGAGGTTGAGGGGGGGGGGGGTTTCCGTCGCAGTGCGGCCGGGCTCACCTTTACGAATACACTCAGAAGGACTCCGGGTATCTGAGCGCAGAGATAAGTTGCTGCCCTTTTTGCCTTGGATGGAGTCCATTACGGTGGTTCGGGGCATCTGTTAAGGATCCCTACTGAAGCAGTGAAAACCACGTAGGACTTTGAAGCTGATTTTTAGGACCATACAGTCTCAGAAACGCCTGATTCTGATGTTTCTCAAAGCGGAGAGTTCAGAGGAAGTGATCGAGCTGATCAGCTCACACAGTATCCTTTAAAATATGTATAGAATTTTCCTTCAATCTTAATGACTTTGTTTTACTTTCATTTACAAACCGTGAGCACAGTACCAGTCAACGTTTGTACACACTTTCTGATTGATTTGAATGAGAAAATGTGTCCAAACCTTTGACTGGTACTGTACATGTTGGAGACATTATCACACTCTCGCCTCTGCAAAACAAATTGATAACAAAGTGTTTGGATTAGCCCTTTAATTTCAAAGTTCTAAAGACATAATTGTTTTCATGTTTACGTGATTGGTGTTGACTTAATCCCATATATTAAAAAAACGACACACGGAGGACATTGAACATATAAAGGATTGCTCAGACCGGAGTCTGACAGTCGGACACGGGGAGGAGACGGAAGGCAGTGATGCAGTCGAGGAGCCAGGTGCAGGGAGCTGACCACACCTTCCCTCTCCTCACCACTGCCGGCCTGTGGGGGCCCTGCGGGTCAAAGATGATGTACTGGGTGCAGAGGGCCTGGTCGGAGCCCGGCAGCGCGTGGTAGGCGGCGGCGCTCAGGGTCTGCGTCACATCGCTGTCGGGCTTGGGCTGCCGGCTCAGGAGTTGTCCCCCTCCTTCCCGCAGCAGCTTGGTGAGCTCGTCTTTGGAAATCGCCTTGAAGCGGCCGAGCAGGAAGAAGAAACAGCCGTCGAAGAGCGGCGGGAGCTACGGAAGATCAACGGCGAGGGATCAGATGGAATTAAGTCGAAAGAAAAAAAAAAATGCTCGGCCCTTTGTGAGAACAGCGGCGAAAAAGGATTAAAAGTCACCCCATTGTGTTGATAATAAAGTTGAATGCAGTAAGATTCCTTGCCAATGAATCTCGGCTCTCATCTTACCGAGCGCTTTGTGCCTCTTTCTTTGAGCCAGGAGACATTTTCATCAGCACCACTTCACATGAACGGGAATTTGGCCGCTAGAGTTTCTAATAAGCACATTCGTTGACTTTGGCTTTTCCCTGGATTTGTCTTATGCCTGCACACGCTTGTGTGCCTTGAACTTCAGATTAAGACGGAGATTTCATTATTTAGGGAAGCAACCGGGATGAGCCAACAATCTGTTAAATAGGACTAAACTGGAAATGATTTCGTGGAGGAATCTTTGGCAGCAAGTACAACCGTGAGCGTGTGTAAACGCGTGTACGAGCTCAGACGTCTACACCTGCCTGTGCATCTTAATTCCTCCGTGTGAGACAACGAAAGCGTCGGCTGGTTTCTTTGGGACTAGTGAGGGAGCCGATATCACGACTCCCGACATCGCCGCTGAGAGACATTTATGTGGTTGATGTTTGGGAGACACTCCTGTGCGGCTTTGGCTACATCCTCTCCCGAAATGACAGCTCGCTTACAGAATGCAGCGGGTTTTACACCCGGACACTGCTGGCAGTTTACTGCATTCATTTCATTATCTACTCTACCTTTGGTACGTGTGCCCAATTATCGTAATGCACAACCATATATAGATTGTACACAATTAATGCCATTTTAGTTTTTTTTGTGGTTCTCCCGATGAGTTTCAAAACATGAAAAAGACAAAGCCAGTCCTCATCGAATGCCACTCAACGACGCTGACCCCAAAAAAACCCACACGCGAACAACTAATTTATGTCAAGGACACATTCCTCCAAAGCGTTTGTCATTTACCAAGCTACGTCTGTTGATGCGACTCCGCTGGGCGCCTTCGCCCGCCTCGTGCTCGGCTTCGGGCGTCCACTCGCCTGCCTGCAGACATGCCTCCACCCCTGACATCAAAAGGGAGAGAAGGAAATTAAAGCCGCAGCTAATTATGTTGACTTGGAGAGAGTGTGACAAGGAGATTGCAAGCGGGAGGATAACAAAGCTCGTGTCAGTTTTAGCACAAATTGGAAGATTTCAAGTATCGGCGGAGCTGCAGTTGTTGACCGAGAACGACGCCCGGAGCGTGATGGAGTTAATGATGCAACCCTTGTTTTGAGTAGCTCTCGCTTAAGCAGAAATCTGCCGCTATCTCCACGTCTCTTGAGGTCTCCGAGTCGAATTAGAACGATGTGAAAACTGGCATCCCGGCAATGTTTAGTTTGACAGTGTTTTTTTTTGTTCTTAATCCTTAAAAAAAAAAAAAAAGTAGATAAAGAGGCGGAGAGAGTAACGCGTTTTAATGACCCCCAACTGTGACCGATAAGAAAAAGAGAGGCCTCCCAACGTGACAGAGGCCAAGCCTACTGTTCCCCCGATGACGTTACGCTATTGGAGATCATGTTTGTGGTATTTGGAAAAAAATTAAAAGGTTGCAAATCTAAGCGAGATGGGTGACACTACTGCAGTGCATCGAGGATGAAGGTGAAACAGTTTGGAGCACAAGTCTTGGCTTGACTAACAATTTTTATTGACAATTTGCACCTACATAGCTGCCGGCTACACTCGCAGGAACAGATTAGACTGAATGAGTGTGTGTGTGTGTGTGTGTGTGTGTGTGTACCCTGGCACAATACAGCACGTCATAAATTAGCATATTTGCTAATTACGTTCACAAAAACTTCTCAAACCGCCGTCCTTCCTTCCTTCCTGAGTCAGTTAATGAATGAACAGACGGATGAAATCATTTCCTCAATGAACCATGAGAGCAACTGGAAGCGGCGCTGTCCTTTCATTACGAGGACAACAGCTGGACGCTATGATCCGACTGATGTGCAACTTTGGAGGCCCGCAGTCACGGCTTTCCCATCGAGACGGGGAGCGATGGCTCACTCTGAGCCAGTGACTCCCTTTTTTTGCCGCGTTACACTTATTCGCCTGCTTTGACAGAAAGGGATAAAAAATATGCATTACGTGCTCACTTGCTGGTTGATTAAAAAGAGGGTTTAAGCCATTGTTTGATGAAAGCCTAGCTTATATTATTAGCGGCACTGGAGCCCTCTTAAGCGGAATGAAGATGATTTTCAAAACAATGAAGCCTCCCTTCGATGAAAGATATGTTGCAATGACCGACAGAGGGTCACGGGTGTCGTCGATGGCGACGGCGTATCGACGTTGCTGACATTGAGAACACGGGCAAAACAACGACAGTCAGATAAGATGCCAGAGAGACCGTCACGACGGAGACAAGCTGTGTCAAGAGGCTCAGCCTGCGGAGACGGGACGAATATGATCCGAACACAAAGTCTTTTGACAGTGAAACAACCAAAAGCCATAAACACACACGCACACACAGACACACACACACACACACACACACACACAAACACACAAACACACTCAAACTGGCTTCAAGAGGGACAAGAGTGCAGGCTGCTTCATCCCACTCAGGCAAACTCTGAATGCAGCGATGCTACTGACGGTCAAGGGCACTCCAAGGAGACGGGAAAAAAAAGTATTTTTTATTCTTGTGACGAAGCAGTCGTTCCCCGATAACTGGTTGACTTGATTAAAGGAGGCCAGGGAGACATTTTTCGGAGAGTTTTTTTTTTTTTTTTAAACCTTTTTCCGTACCATTTTTGCCCGATGGTCACCTTTTCATCGCTGGTAATGTTAAGATGTCGAGGAGCAGTGAGCGTGCGTAGGTAACTCCTTAGCTCCTCGACCAGCGATGAAAAGATGTAACTGAAAATTGCAGGATGTTTTCGAGGACGTTCCAATGTTATGAAGAAATAAAGAAACATTTAGTTGTAGTTTAGGGGGCAGAGAGGATTGGGTGTACACGTCTCACACTAACTGGTACTGTGGAGGAATAAACACTGGGGCTTGGGCAGGAGCTCCACCAGATGACTGCACCAAAGATTTGGTTTTATTAATTATCCCAGACAACAAGTGTAAGCTTGTCACATAGACAGATAGCAGGTAAATCATGTTTGGGGAAAAACCCCATCAAAATGCCGATACATTTTGTACTGTGGGGTCCAATATCAGACTATAAGAGTTGTGACTGTATTCTATGCCAAGAGTCACCTTACTGCAGCAAAAATATCTTCAAGTGCAGATGGAACTGGTCAGAGGCCCCTTGAGTAGCTCAGTCAACTGAATACAAATGTGAGCTTGCAGGAAGGACACCAACGACACCATTAGAATAGAAAACCGTGCACTGCTGATAATGTAGGGTGGTTATTTTTTGTCGCTATATTGCCATGAAAGACAGACATTAAGGCAAAGATTTTTATACTGAAGATATTTGGAATAAAATGATTTTCGGTGTCGCTGCAGTCGGGACGGTTCCTACTCACAGCTGAATTTGACAACCCAGCAGCCAGCAAGAAGACCAAGGAGGGTGGAGCTGGTGGTGGGGAGGTGTCCTACTGGCACCACCACATGGCTCACTGCAGGGAGACACAAACAAAAGGCCTGTTGAAAGCAAGTACAAATGAGTTGGGAGCCACACAAACACACAAACAGATGCTGCCTGTTGCTGTCGCCCCGGCTTTCAATACACAATCTAGATACTGTATTGTAGAGATTGCTTTGAACGTCGTCCCAGTCCAGGTCAGGTGAGCACAGAACATCACCTGTGTGCTTCCACGGAACACCGAAGGGCATCCAGCCTCGTTTCTCGACATGGAAACAAACGTATGCGTCCTTATTTCCTGATCCTTTTGTTTATTTTCCATACAAACGTATTTTTACCAAGCTGAATATGCAAGTTTAATCCCCGACATGTCAAACTGTTCACGGCAACACAACAGAAGGCCACGCTGCAGCTTATTTCATAAAGCGCTTCAGACGATAATTATAAGATAATTAAAATTTAAATAGATGCTTATTGCCTCTTCATTTAAATGCAAGCATGGTTGACAAGTACAAAATGCACATAATTATATCTGCAGGCCAAAACCTTCTCAGTTTGCTTATTGACTGTGCATTTGAAGCCTTGAGTTCAAAATGAGAAAAAAAACCTCCGAAAGCAGCAACTTTAACCCCCTCCGGTCCGAAGCGGGCGAGTGGTAAGAAACACTTCCGTTTTTCATCCGTGCTTATTCACCACCCAGACAGTAACTCCAAACACTTTATGAGAAATGAGTTCAATTACTTTTTCTCTGGTGTTTTCCGAGTGGTTGTAGCGCGGTGATGTATGCGGCTTTTAAAGCACTCGTTAGTTTCTCTGGAAGCTTCGGGAGTGATCACGCTCCAGCATCTCTGTCAATTGGTGAAGCCTGGGAAATTTGACCATGTTGTTAAAATCCCATCCCCGTGGTGCTGGTGTTTCTAATCATAAAGGACATAACTAAGGCGAGGCACTACCTCGTGAATACAGACCCTTATCATTTATACTCGCATACGTCTTTCAGTAGAACGGGGCATCCAGAAGGGCGGTGGACAACTGACGGGCGCTCAGCGATGAACAGACGTACGAGTCTTGGACTCGATGCGGCTCAAAGAACAACATAAAAAATAAAAAAAACCTGGGCTGGAAAAGGTGTCCGCCGTCCTCCCCCCCAGGAGCTCTCCCAGTTTGGCCACTAGAGCCCGTTCCGGCTGCGACAGCCCGCTGGTCAGAAGCACCACTGGTTCATCCCTCCCCACGCGGTTGCTCCCCTGCAGAAGGGAGGAGAAGGGACAGAAGAACGTGGTTTAGAAATGCACAAGTCTTAGTAGCGCGAGGATCGCCTGGCCGTACCCCGGAGAGACCGCTTGAGGGGCTTGGAGATGCATTTTGGGTTCCTTCTGGGGCTTCCCGGAAAATCGCCAGCATCTCCGGACTCCCTGCGTAGTCGGCAGGCCGCTTTCCGTGCTGATTGCTTTGGAAGAAAAAAAGAAAAAAAAAAAATATAGTCAAGTCACTGGCAGGGTGCAAACATGTTTGTCTTCATCAGACCACCTGGGGGCCGACGGGAGCAGACTGTCCAAGACTCTAAATGTGGGATTAGGTGCTGTTGCCAGGTTGCACGTATCTGTTAAGTGAGTTAGTCACAGCGGAGATGTTTTTTATCTCTGCCAACGGGACAAAGCGACACAACAACCCAGCGTCGTCGGAACTCTTTGACGAGTCCAAAAGCGATGTCTTCCCGACAGGACGACCATTCTGTCATCGCATCATCTTCAGAAAATGTGGTTGTTGTTTTTTTCTCAAACCGCCAAGCAACCAAGTAGGACAGAAAAATTTGAATAAAATATAGATTTGGCATTCCAGAGCTCGGAGAATAAAAATGTTTTTTTTGCAATGTTCTGTGGCACTGTGCACTCGTACGTGTTATTAATTTGTTGGAGCACACTTCATTCACTGCAGGCAAGAGAAAAGCTCACGGCCGCGTGACATTAGCGAAAAGTGACGACCTTTTAAGGAACACGGTTCCTCAATTCAATCACCAGGTGAGAAGACGCCACCTTTGCAGACTTAACCACGGCACACAAAGACGCCGGAGTACAAAGTGAACGTGACGGAGGATCGGCGGCATCATAAAATCCGCGCTATGCAAAGGGACAGAGAGCCGGGACAGCTCCCCGGTTACGACAAGTATATAGAACAAGAAAAGCGTAAATCTTTTTGAGTTTGAAAGAGCTGCATGAAACAAGACGGAGGGCACCTTGAGGAAAAAGGGACGAGAGACAACAGAAGTACACACAGGAGGAGAGGAGATGGAGAGAAGACCCAAGCCCAGCAGGTCGTCTCCGAAAGATTAGGCGTCAGCAAAGATAACACCTGGGGGACAATTAATAGGTCCACTGGTCCATAAAATATTTCATTTGGATTCATACCCTCAACTTCATACACAAACATAAACATCCCTGCACGAATAATCATGCACACACACACACACAAGCTGGTTCATGCAGCTGCATGTGAGAGGAAGATTTGAAGGAGAAGAATAACGCGTGTCTCCCACAGCTGAATTCACAAACCCGCTCCTGCGTATTTGAGGTAGACGCGTGGGAGGAAGGCGGCGGTGGCTCTGAAGGACGGCCGCTGTAGCCATGAAGGTGGTTCTAACCAGGAGGAGATCCACGTCTTCATCGAGTTCAGTTCAACACAACAAAACAATCACTGACTGGGCCTTATTGCATCTCCCCACAAACTGCTACAATGTATATTCTTGGGATTTAAAAAAATCTCCATATCCGTCTCCAATGTACTTGTCCTCAACCATGCAAGCTCTCTCACACACACACACACACACACACACACACACACACACACACACACACACCTTTTGAACGGCGACTGCTTGGCCTCCATCTTGAAAGGAGTCATAAGTCTTATGATGGAAACGCATGGCAGTCACTTTGTTTGTATTGGTGCATATAGGAAAACTCTACTTGCAGTGACCTTTTTAAATATACAGACAAAACTGCCTAATCCAGACAATATACTAGGTATTTTGTTTCTTCAATAATTAGTAAGCATTTGGAGAGCGTCATTGCTTGTCGTTTGAGTCAGAGAGCGGTGTAATTATACCAGAGGGCTGGATCGGCTCACGTGTGATTAATACATTCATTTCAATGCATTTGAAATGACTAATCGTTAATTAATGCCTGTATGGATTCAGTGCTTCGGGCACTGGACTGTCTTCAGGACTGAGCCCATTATCACCTTCCTTTAAGTTTGCCGGGCTCATGGTGGCTGTCCAAATGTGCCGCACTGGTATTTAGGCTGAGGCACTGCTGTGCAGCGTCTGAGAAAATGCTTAAACCGGTTGTTTTTTGAGATAACAGGGAATCAATGACTGTATAAAACAAATTAGTATTCACTGAACAATTTGCCTGACTTTGTTCAGTGCTTCTGATAACCTGCACGGCAAGCCAAATATTTAAACATTGGCGTTCGACAGAAAGTGGACTCGCATTCAATGATTTAGAGGACACGTCCCTAATAAACAAAGTCCCCTCCAGTCATTCAAATCTAATGAGCTCAAACACAAACATCTACAGGGGGACAATGAAACTCTGCAAAACCTGCACTTCCAAAGCCCCCGAGGTGGGTGCCAATCATTCCATTAGGGATTGCTTTGGCAGATCCTTGTCTCGGTTCCCTCTTCTGTGAGTATATATGTGTGTGTGTCATTGGAAGCGTTTCTGTTGCAGCGTCCGGAGAGACCCAGTGGTTGCTTCTTTTTTTAACATGCAAACAACTGAAAATGCAAAGAGGTTTTTTGAAGAGAAAGCAACACCCAACGGCGTGGAGTGAAAAAGGGGAGGAGACAGAGAAAGATTGGTAGGCACTAACCAACCAACACGCCGACCTCGATCAACTACTCTATTGATCCGCCTTGTTGACCAGTTTCCTGCACCTCGCCGTGTTGATGTGTATCAACACCGCGGGCCAGAAACGCTGATACGGCGTCAGCTGATCGACCAAGAACTAATCAGCGCCAGTCGATTTCCATACGTCCACCCACAGACTTCCGCTGCCGGCCTTTGATAATAAAAAGGGCCGAGTGAGCAGTGCTTCCGTTCCCCTTCCAGCCTGATGGTGGAGAGGGGAAGATTAGATTAGATTAGATTCAACTTTATTGTCATTGCACAGGGTACAAGTACTGAGGCAACGAACAGAAGCACTGGTCCATTAAAACCCCAATAGCCTCAAATATTCGGTTTTGGTCGGCATTTGAGCTGGTCTGACTCTGCGGACGGCGGCGGTAACATTTCTGTCGATCCAATATTCACACATATTGCAACCGTAGCTTATGGCGAAGTGTTCTATGAGGTGTTTGTGGGAATAGAACACAAAGCACGCGACCAAAGTTTGTTGTTGCACTCAAAAAGGGACTCACAGGACGTGTCGAGAGGCTCCGAGCCGCAGCAGCTGTTGGACGATGGCCGGGTGTCCGTTCCTCACGGCATCGTGGAGCGGAGAGTCGTTCTCGTAGCCCGGTGTGTTCAGCAGGGCTCCCCTCGAGACCAGAAGCTCCACTACCAGCAGGTGGCCCAGGTTGCATGCTTCATGCTGCAACAAAAAGAAAATAAGTAATGCTCAGAGGACCCTATTTGGTTTGATCAGCTTTCTATTTTCCTCGTAGTACAGCCTTGTTCAAGGAACGCGTCCTAGATGGACATCCATCACTTTAATTCATTTCCAGTATGACAGGTGAGGTCGGTGATTTAAGTTGAAATGATTCTTGGGAGTTTATATAGCAAACCATATATCACAGGTTAAGGTCTAGATCATACAGCACTTATTGGTAGCTTTAAAAAAAAAAAGTTTGAGTGGAGCATCTTGTCAACGAGGAACCATGAAAAGTGCTGCAATATGATCCGGAGCAAAACACTCAAAGGAGCAAATGTCTTGGGCAGAAAACCACGGGGGAATTTGTCAAAAGAGCACAAGACATATTGCATAACAAATGATGGATTGTGGAAGCCATCTTTTCTGGCTTGAGCTATTGAATAGAAAACGGCACAATGTAAAGTCAGTGTGTAAAAAGTGACGACAGCTTGTGTCATTTTATCCGGGGAAAACAAACAAGAACTGTAGAAAAACAAGGCTCATATAACAAAAGCTGATTTGTTGATTAAAACACTTTGCCGGAGTGGTCACAGTAACAGCTGTTTTATGTGTCCCTGGGTCTCACCAGAGGTGTCCACCCGGCGTTGTCCTTCAGGTTGGGGTCAGCCCCCTGGTCCAGCAGCGTGTTCACAGCCTCTACGTCGCCCTGCGGGAAGCGGAGACAACAAGCAGACCTGAGCCACGACTCGGACCTCGGAATGCAACCCGTCAAACACTGCGGCTGATCCCGGGGTGGCGAAACGCTGCCGTTTAGCAATCACACTCCACAGTGGGCCATCGATTACCTTGCCTTACATCATGCTGTGAGAGTGGGATTAGCTCCGTGTTTACAAGGACTACCGCAAGACGTTCGACTCGACGAGCCAAAACACGAGCATCTGAGGGCTTTGCATTTTAGCTCTGTGCGTTGTCACTACATTTTTTGCAGTGTGCATGTAGAAATGCAACAGAAAAAAAAGGAGATGGAAGGTGAATTATTCAGAAACCTCTCGACCTTTATAGCAGCCAGATGCAGCGGGGTCTCTCCCTTGTGGTTCTTCTTCATAAACGCAGGGCTGCCCGAGGTGGGTCTTCCACCAGATGCCACTGGAGTACATGGAGATTTTTCGCCGGCGGCGGTCGGACGAGACGGGCTGTCTCCTGGCTCCCCTCTTGAGTTCTCGATGCTCTCATCACACCTGCGGCTATCTGAAGGAAGAGGGTTATGCACAGCTGGAGACGTCTGGGATTTTCTCCTCTTCGTCCTCTTCCCCGGGGAAGCCCTGGGCCTTTTTGGCGTGGTCTCCAACGTGGCAACCTTCTCCTCCACTCTGGCTCTTTTGGAGGAGGGCTTCAGGGGAGACGCGTCCGCCCGTCTCTCGGGGCTCTTAGTTGTGTCCGACATGCTCGAACCAGGCTGGGTCGGCGCGCCCAGTACAGTGATGGCACCTTCTAAGGGACTCCTGCCGGGGCCGAGTTCATCCGTACCCCCCTGTGGTACTTTGGGCTGGGGCTCCTTGGACGTGACGGCGGGGCTGAGGAAGGAAACTCGTTTACTGGACCTGCTCGGCTCTTTTGCACAGGGCTTTTGCTCCTTTTCTTTTAAAGCGTCCTCCTCCTCGCTGATCCCCCACTGCTGGTTTATGGCCTCCAGCCTGTGCTTCTTCAGCTTCTGCTTGGTCTTCCTTCGAGTGGTCCTCGTGGCTCCTTGCGCCGACCCTTTCCCGCGGACAGCGCTTTTCTTGGTCGAGCCCTTCTTTCCGTTTGCATTTTTGGACCTCGGCGAACCGGATGAGCCAGAGTCTTGGGAGGACGAGGTGAAATTGAAAACCGACAGGTCCTGGCATTGAGCAGTGGAGGTGTCCTGCTGTTCTGCAGCCGTTTCCCGAGGAGACGGGATCTCTGGTACTGGGTCTTCTGGATGTTTCTCCACAACGCAGCGTACCTTGCGGCTGCGTGGGCTGAACCAGATCTTGAAGTTCTTCTTTTGTTTAAGGACAGGGCTCTGGGGTGGTGTTTGGTTTTGGGCTAGTGAGCAATCTGAAATGAGGTGTGAGAAAAGAAAAGAGTTTTAACAAAACAAAAGTACTATATACTGTGTGTGTATATATATATATATATATATATATATATATATATATATCTTTGTATTTATCTCACATCTGTTGAGACTTTGTTGCAGCTAACAATTCAGACATTTGAAATAAGTGCCCAACTGACTTCTTCAGCTATTGTGGTTGAATGGAGACAGCCTGCAGATGCGTTCACGTGTTAACGACCCTACAGTTCTTTGTCAGAGCTGAAACCTACTTGTAAAACTAAACACTACCATGGTTAATTGAATTGCATAATTACTGTCATTACCGCGATGCTCGATGGGCGATAAAGATAATAAAGCAGGGGAACACGCCACTAATAACATTATTCAGAGATTAGATCGGCAGAGGAAAAATGTTAAATGTTTCAGTAAACAATTGACAGGAGGGGGGGGGGGGTGTAGAAAGGTAATGCACGAGACGCGTGGCTTTGAGGAAGAGAACGCGTGAATTCCGCCGTCGAGCTGCTTCCCGAATGGCTTCCATCTACCTGCTTGTTCTACGGGATTGAGCAGGACCTCCAAACCACAGAAGAGCTGTATGATGCTGCTGAGCTGCCTGTTGATCTGGATGTCCTTCACCCAAGCCGGACTCTGACACACCACACAGCCGTCTCCCGCCCGGGGGGCCGCACAGGACCTGAGAGCAATAAACCATGTACTCTGGATTAGGAGCTCAGTAAAAAAGAAACACAATTAGCTTATCGATGTACCCTTTAAGGCCATTCAGTCAGGAAGAGAAGGAATAGATTGAGGCCGTGGTTTATGCCCATAGGGACGTTAATTGCCTATAAGAAAACCATGCATTGCCGGCTATTTAGTAATGTATCTGTATCATATGGATGTATAAATAGAGCCGCTTATGTTGTCATTCCACAGTCAGCATCGGCGCTACCTGTCAATTGCCAAAAGTAAAAGACTTCCACCAGAAGACTGGTCATTTAGTCAAAGGGAAGTGGACTTAGATTACCTGCACAGCAAATGCTCGCACACCCCGAGACACACCGGCTCCGTCATCACATTTGAGCTGAAGACACAAAACAAAAAAACAACACATTTACAAGTAGTCGGCAGTCACAAAGAAGCACCTGCACCACCCACTTTATGTTCATCCCAAGGTGTCAAATCCACATCCCTTCGTGCAACGGTCCCGCACGCGGGAACAACGTGCTGTCTCTGGACTTTCCGTGTGTTTTTAGTGTTGTGCAAAAGTTCCAATTGTGTTGGCTTGAAAATCGACGGGATTGCGAGGATGCAGCTGTACTATGGGACTGCGTGAGGCTGATGCAGCTGGCTAAAAAAACAACAACAACAACAACATGAAAACACACGCGTGGCTGTACGCGACGTCGATAATGACGCATAGTTGAAATCTCCATTGAAAATAAACCGAGGTCAGTTTGACTGTCGGGCGCGTAACGTGTCGTTATATGGTGTTAGCGTGTAGCTCACCGCGGCCAACATTACTCGCACTTTGGTAACGTTTGACGTCACGTACCATTTGGAGCAAAGTAGCAGCCGTCGAAAGTTCCTGACGGCTTCCTTCGTGTTCTCCCAGTCGTGTTTCCGTACCAGAACGTCGTTATCCATCATTAGGGCCGACGAGTGTGTGTGTGTTTCTTTCGGTGATGATTCTAAGGTTGGAAAACAATCCGAGCTCGCTTCCGGGATACTTGCATCTCCCGCCGAGAGTTTACGGAAGTAGTGTGACGGTCAGCGTATGACGTCAGATTCGGCACGCCCCCTCCGGGCATGATGTTAGGAACTTTAAACATTGGGAATTGACTGGTTGTGCATTTTTGTAATATTTTAATTGCTTGCCCGGTAGAGATGTGAAACATAGCTCAATGCATTATCCACAATTTGTGTCATATTTTACACAACGGTCAGGTGTATGAAAAATGTTGAGTACATGTACTCAACATATTTTTCAAAAATATATTTGTTTTTCAAATTGCATGAGGGTCAGTTTTAATGCCATACTGTGGCCTCAATGCAAGGCTTCAAGGAAAGGTTTTATTTGAGTTTTCAGTTTTTTGATATCCGTGTCACTTTGGCTTTTCTGCAATACAGGTTTGTGTGATAGTTCTTCTATGTTGTCTTCATCAGGACACTGATTTCAGGACACTGAAAATACAAAGATTTTGAAGGTGATCCAATGCCAAAATATAAGCATGCAAGCATGTACAATAAGAAAAACACAGCAGTTGCATTTGATATATATCTTTATTAGATAAATAGATAAAAATATGCTTGACACATTCGGTTTGGTTGAGAATTGGCCCATTAGATGGGGAAGGTCTATTACATGTTCATTATACGAATTCTAATAGTTAGGTGCCCAATGGCAAGTTTTATTGACTTGAAAATCTGCATATTGAGGATGTTTTGAAACGTTTTCTTTTGCCAAATTGAATCCGCCATGCATTTTCATTAAAGAAATTAATTTAAAAAATAATTTATATATTTTTATATTTAATGTGAGTGCTTTAAGGTGATGTAACATTAAGGTAAAATTAATATCATTCTTAGTTAAAAAATAATGTGTTTTTGTTTTCAGTGCCCCAACCAAAGATAACATCACTCCCTATATGATTAAATCATTATAATTCTTCATTAAATCATTATCATCCTTCATTAAAATAAAATCAAGAGAATTAAAGGTAAACATGTGTGTGGTTTGACAGAGAACTTAAATGTATCACCTTTATCATAATCAGTATAATTTAGAGCAGAAAGTATTCTTTTTTTAACATACATGGCAATTGCAGATTTAATACAGACAGATATTGCATTTTGTTTCACAATAGATATTGACAAGAAATGGCAAAGAAAAGATTGGCATTTAGTTCTATGTTTCTTCTGCCTTGATGGAGTCCAGGTCATAATGTCCTCCTTCACCGTCCAGGGATATGGATTCCATGGTGATATTTCCCATGGCAAAGTTGATGAAGACCTTTGAAAGTTCAGCAATATTCATTAAGTGTCATGCTTATATAAAAGACAATTATTTTTCTCATAAGTATCATTTTTATTAATCTGCTGTTGTCCTCCACAATCCCCCTATCTGTATTCTTCCAATGGTATCTTCCAATCCCAAAGCCCCAGAAGGGCAGAGTAGTTGAAGAAAATCAGCATTGGCTGCATATAAAGATGATGGAGTCTTTCCGAACCCATATTCCATCCATGTTCCTCCAGGCACACACCCTCTGTCAGCTTCCATCGGCTGCTTCTAAACTTTTTACACTCAAGTCTTTCACTCCCACTCAGCTTTGTTCTGTCCCCGCTTCCCCTCCCCGGTCTCTCATCTCCTGTCCCCGTTTTCTGTCCCTCGTTGCCACCCCCCACCTCTGCAAAGCCTCACGCCAGTCCCCCACCCCTTCTCTCGCTCTCTTTCTCTCTATGCCCTGTTTCATATTCTCACCTCATCCAGTGTGGTCTGGCTCACGGAGAAGTGTTTGATCTGCAGGGAATTCTTGTTTGACTCCAGCTGGTCAAAGATGTCAGCCACCCCCCCTGGAGCAGTTGGTACGTGGTATTCCACCATGTTGGAGTGCTGGTCCTGTGTATTGAGACAGAATGCATGGAGGAGGGTTAAATAATACATATTCTGTTTGTGTTAACAGAATTTCGTAGAACGGAGTAAAAAAACGTCCGCACCGATCCGAGCAAACTCGTAGCCATGACTTACTGCTATAGCTGGGACTTTAATAATAAAAACGAAGACTCTTTAGAAAGAAATGAGTTATCTACCAAGTACTCTTAACTACTTTAAATTGCTGGCAAAGTTCACCTTGAGGTATGTGCTGTGGAATCGGTCTCGCATGAAGCAAGTGATTGCTTCTGCGTCACAGGAGGCATCGGCCAGGTACATCTTCACGGTGAACCCGCTGCCAAACCTGCACAAAGGAGATTTGCGAACAAAGCACCGTGTCGTTACATGTCTGACTGTGGAGAGTCCAATGCAAGAAAGGACCACAGAAGGGGAAGAATAGGAGGTTATGGGTGTATGGTGGGACGAGCAGAGGTCACTAACCTGTTCTTAATGTGCTGCAGGGAGCCCAGGCAACGGAACTGACCTTTCACCATGATTGCAAGACGGCTGCACAGTGCCTCACACTCCTCCATGCTGAGAGATAGAGACAAAGAGAGATAAATAGAAGGTCACACTAGGAGCCTTTGAGCATACAATACAGCGATTAGCCATGAATGTTGACATATAGAAATAATAATAATAATACATATAAACATACATTTGGTACACTACTTATAAACACCGATTCATAATTATCAGTCTATTAAAAATACACACTAAATTAAAAAGACTAACCTGTGAGAAGTGAGCACAACGGCACATTTTCCTTTCACTTCTTCAGAGATGATTTTCCAAAGGTGACGCTTGGTGCGAGGGTCCATGCCAGAGCTTGGCTCGTCCTGCGGAGAGAGAAGGGATGAGAAGAGGTTATTAGGGTGTGTGAATGCATCAGTGGAAGGTTGAAATCGAGATTGTGACAGGAATAGGAAAACAAGGAGTACATTAAGGAAGCCAGTGTATTTGCAAGCAGTGTGCAGTTCATAGGCAGGGAACTGTTATGGACAAAGCAAAAAGAGCGGGACGGTAAGGAAATAAATAAAGTATGGAGAACGAGAAAAAAAAAATGAGCTGAGGGCACAACTAACAAAAGAGAATTTAATGGAGACCTGTGGTAGAAGAAAAATTGAAAGCTAACAGGGAAGACCTCCCTTGGGTGAGCCTGTAGAAACAAGCTAATTAGCCTTATGAGATCTCTCAAGTCTAGGGGATCAATATCTACTTTACTTCAACGGTCCTTCAGGGGGAATAGTTGTACATAGTTAGTTTCATATTTGCTGTCAGGTGACGAGTTAGACAATTGAATGGGTTACGAGCAGGTGTGTCCTCACCAGGAGTAGGATTTGAGGATGTCCGACGAGAGCCAGCGCAGTAGAGAGCTTCCTGCGGGTGCCGCAACTGTAACTATCAGTGATGACGTCTCTATGGTAGATTAGCTCCAGCCTCTTAAGGAGGTAGTCCACCGCCTTTAAAAGAGAACACAAAGGAGGATTATACACGAGCTGAACATAATAACAAACACAACATGAAAAATATTTGCAGTTTGATGTGATATGAAAGGTTAAAAAGATTAAAAAAGGGACAATGTTGGCTTTGTCTTATTCCAAATGAGTTTATATGGTCGGCGATCGAAACCATTCACCTACTGCAAACGGACAATCAATGTAGTGGAAATGTAATAGTCCAGTGGTAAGACGCTGGGACTTAATGACCGCTCTGAATTCCACCGACCAGTATGCTGCTCTCTGCTCTCAATCCTCCAACCAAGGCTGCAGCCGATCTACTCTGAGGATCATTTCCCGTCCCTTTAATCTATCAACTGGAGGATCTCTCTGAGGAGGAAATCCAATATCTTCATACACACCTGATCAAAGTATAGGTGGATTTGCACAAAGCTTTTCTGAAGGGAAAGGGTGGCCATTTTTTTAAGCAACGTATTGGCTTAATGTTATTGGCTCCTCTTAGTTGGTCCAGCCGCCCCCACATGACTGAGGCATCTATCGGTCACACACCCATGCATATTTAATCACGTATATATTTAACAACAGTGATGGTAACAATGACCTTGTAAGTTTATTCTGTTTAGGCGCCGGGCTGTCTTGGGGTATTTGTTGCATATGAATATATTCTAAGCACATTGAAAGCAGGAATTAACAAAACACCTAAATGGCTCTAAACTATTTCAGAATATTAAATGAACCACTCTCTCCCATTAGTCACTTAAAATATTGCGCTGTTCATTTTTAAATAGCTTTAGGTGATTTCCTATCGGTAAACATTGAGGAACGTTGGGGAACCAAGATCAATAAGGAAAACCAATGCATTAGATCGCTCTGTTCCCTTAGGATTATCTGCTTGTTCTCTGTGAGAGGATTTGCCTTTATTGTGGGTTTTTTACAACATACTGTAGGACATTACATGGGTAAAATATACAGTACCATTAGCTGAATTTGAATTATTGGCACCAGTGTTTTCCCCTAGGTTTCCTGCTTTAGTAGCGGGCATGCGGCCAAAGTGGGGGGTTCGTTGTCTGTCCGCGGGGCGGAACTGCCGTGCGTGGGAACAAAACAATAATAATTTAATTCCAGACTTTCTCAGGGGGCGTGGAGGGGGGGGGTATAATGGTTGGGGAAACACTGAGCACTGGCAATATATCATATAATGGACTGCGTCACGTTGCAATATAGTATGTTGTTTTTATGTTCTCTCATAAAAGCCGCTTTCTATCACCTTTGATGTAACAGCTCATTAAGCCTGACAAAACCACGTCAATGAGAAATGACCCCATTAAGGCTTGTCTCATTATCCGCAGCTAGGGGACTCTCAGTGGGACGCAACATAAGAGGAACTCTATATATAACCTCATCTTTGTGAATTAGCCCGACACCGATGCCGCGGCCATTGTAACCATTGTTGTCACTATCCTCACCAGAGAAGAGGGGCTATAAAAACAGCAGCAACGCCGATTCGAGCAAAACAGATCCATTTCTGTGCTTCACTGTGTCTGTGTGCATGACTCTGTAACATGACTGAGATAGTCAGAGAAAATCAATGTTTTGTGGTTCTGGATCCTAAAATGTATAAAGGTCTGGAGGGAGAGACAAACAAAGTGTGATGTTTTTTCTGCATACAATTTAGATTCGCTATGTCCTTACATCTTTTGGACATACATATATACAGTATATATATATGAATGAGAGAGAGAGAGAGAGAGAGAGAGAGAGATTTCTTTTTGGGTTCTTTATTTATGGGGGAACGATGTTCATGATGGGAAATCAGAAATCACTCATCTGTGATTGATTATTCTACGGATTCCTTTAACGGCAACAGCAGAAGTGAAAGACAGGCACACTCCGTAATCACCAGAGATGCAAGATTGATTAGCTCTCAGAAAGATAAATGAGAAGAACGGTGCTAAAGTGACACGTCAAATGAAATCCTCTCATCATCAAAGTATCGTTTAAATGTGAATTTATCTGCACTGAAGCATACAGCATCAGTTTGATTGTGAAGTTTGAATTGCACCAACTGACAACAAAAGCTTTCCCATTTTGCACAGCATTCAGCACACCTCACTCAACATGTCACACCCTCCGATTGGGGATGCAAGGAAGCATCAACATTTACATTTACTACTGCTGTAGTTGGAGTGCATCTTTGAATTTATATCAGATCCCGTAAAACTTTGTGGCCAGTGTTGCCGCTACCCGGAGCTTTGAAAAGCAACTCAAGCGTCTGCAGGGCTTTCTTACCCCGTCTATCTCCTTATTTGAGATGCCTCGGATGCGAGCGTAGAAGTACAGGTGCTCTTTTCCAGTGAGCAGATTGTCCAGCGCGTCGACCTGGGGACAGTAGCCGATGTTGATTCCCTTGTTACGGCACTCCATGATGTCCACCAACCGCCTAGGGGAAAACACACCAAAGAAAGACACATTCTCTTAAATGGCATCAGGGCAGATGGAGGTGTACGGAGTTCCATCAGCCCTGATGCCTGCTGGGAGTACCCAGAAAACAGCTTAACAACAGAGCTGTTGTAGGCGGGCAGAAAAGAGAACAGTTTACACCTGTATAGGAGAGTCTGAGATATGGGTACTATATGAAGTGTCTGCTTGCTATAACCCAAACCACTCACTATCACGTTGTGGCTTTGTGGATATTTGCTCCATGCAAATATAATTAAGCACTGTTTCATTAGACAAATACCTATGCACCTGTAGAAAAGCAAATCAAATATGGTCTGCAGCCAGCTAAATTTGAATTACAATAATATAAATGAAATAATTTTTCCCGTAAAACCCAATCTTTCTGTGTCTATGGTGCAGGTAAAAATAAGCTTGGTTAACATTTTGAAGAAAAGGGATAGCAAAAACAAAGTTCTTACTAAAAAGGTACAAGTTTTCATAATATCCAAAGTAGATTTCCCCCAGTTTTGCATTGCATGTATGTGATAATTAACAAATAATTGAATGATTAGCTTACCCATCCCAATCCCTGATCTGTGCTGTGCCATCAGTTGGGCTGACATCTCCAGTCAGCATCTTAAAAGTGGTGGTTTTTCCTGCTCCGTTCACTCCCAGCAGACCAAAGCACTGCAAACAAACACACATTGCTTAGTGATCCTGAAACCTTTCAGACAACAGCTGTAATGGCCAATATTGCAATCTACAGAATGGCACAAAAGCACTTGACGAGTACCCAGCCCGCCACCCCGCTGAGGGATGCAACCTGGAGTCATATTGCACAACTGTGTTGCAAGTTAGAAAACACCAACAGGAAGCTGCATTGTAAGTTAAGCCTTGGCTATTCTCTTGCACAAAGCGACAAATGATTTAGATGATTACAGAATTACAGCTATTATCACAAGAGGTTGATGATAGCCAGAAATGGCAGGATTCCCTAATCACCATCTAACTGACTAAGATGGATATACATTATTAGGTGTAAAGGCTTACCTCTCCAGCAGGGATGCCCACAGAGAGCTTCTTGACGGCATGGACCTTCTTATTGAGGTGTTGATAGACCTTAGTCAGCTGGTTGACCTGCAGAACATCCGTGCTGGCCGCTCCAGTGGACACACGCAGGCGCTCAGTTGCCACATCTTCATCTTCCTCCCCACAGGCCACCTGTGGTACTGGCTTACTGGCCCATATTAGATCCCTGCAAAATATGTTCAATATTTTATCTAGTGCGTTTGTGAGTAATGGCCAATGACCAATACTTTGGGCTTGCATTGTTTTTTTAATAAAAAAAGAAACACTTTAGTTAGTTTTCTCAAATTATTTTTAAATGATGTATGATGCATTTTTCAACACGGTTGGTTGTGTACCGCCAGAGTTACCACCACACCATCCATTTTTCTCACCTGATTTTGCGTTTAAGAAACTTGTTGAGTAGGAGGCGCAGCGTGAAGAACACCAAGCCCTGGATGAAAGAGGAGAGAAACATCCAGCCCAGGCCATCATCCATGGAGAACGGGTTCTGATAGGCGTCAATGCCGTAGCCACTGAGCAGCTGGACCGCCATGTTCTTCCTGGCTAGCTCCATCAAACCATTCCCAAAGTTGAACTGGGGGAAGATGAGGAAGGCTTGGCTGAGGCTGTCGAAGATCCCCTTGATGAACTGCAGCATGGACACAAAAACACAAAATATATAGACAAGAGTGAGAAGAGAGGACATGAAAACAGCGTCTGCAGTGCTGACAGCTCATCCTGGATTCTAATCCTCTCTTTTATTGAGGTACGTTTGCCCTTGTCTCTCCTCTGCTACTTCATATCAATGCAGGAACAAGGACTGAGCAGTCACACATTTGGGTTCGAGTGTGTTTAACTACTTCAGATTTTCAGTTGTTAACAAAAGGCATCCTCACATACTCTGGCAGCTCATACTGACCTCATGGTTGTGTCTTGAAATTTCACTCAAGAAGAACAGGATGGAGGTGGACATGATGGTGTTGACACTGATGAAGAGGTTGATGCACACATAGGAGATGAAGGCCATCTCTGTGTCCTTGAAGATGCCGGATAACAGATACATCCAGGGGAATGTAGACCACCTGAGGGATTGACAATGACAGGATACTTTAAACCCAGCATCAAATAAAAATAACTTCACACACGGCCACATTAGCATAGCCCTCCTGTGCTCTCTCTTCGTTGCTTCCAAACACAGACAAACAAAGTGGATATGAAAAATCCAACCAGCCTTCCTCACAGGTGCAACATCTAATATGACATGACCTTAAACTTTTTCCTTTTTTTACTGAAGTGAATCAGGCCTTTCACAGACTTAACAGGGCAGCCGTGAGCTTGATGAAAATAGGCAGAATAGTGAAGAGGAAGGTTTAAAAATAGCACACCGTGAGGAGGGCAAACATTAATTCATGACGCCAAAAGAGAGGTAGATTAACTACTTCCCTCTTTATTCTCCTGGTTGCAGAACATCCTTTTTTTTATTGTACTAAGGAAAGCCAGAGAGCGAGGGGAAAGACAAGTAAGGGGAAAAGTAGGGTGGGGAAAGAGAGAAACAGAAACAAATAGAGCCAGACAGAGACGGAGCATGCCATGCCCCCCCCTCCAAAAAAGTTGCTGGATAGGCAGACTGCGGGAGCCAAGCCATAACGAACAGAAGCAAGAAGGCTGCAGAGCGGACCAGGTGAGCGCCAACTGACAGACTGTAATTATTCATTGCTTGGGAGGGAGACATCTGTCTGATAAATGCGAATCAGAGTGCTGACTTGGCCTCCGCGCACACAGGGCTCAGGACGAGGTCTACGTGAGTAACCGGAAAGATATGAGACTACATTTTAGCGACTTGAAGGGAATCATGGTAATTACAACAATCCAGCTGTGGGGAAACAAGCCGTCTCATTGGTTGGGAACCTTTCCCAAAATGTAAATCTCATTGTTGGATTAAAAATCTGGGTGTTGTAAGAACACAATATGTCAATATTGTTATTGTCACCGAAACCGTTGGTGCCTGATCCCCTTCACCTCAATCTCCCGCTCTCTGGTTGGGTAATACGTCCTCTTCTCACTCAGAAGGCTGCCCGGGTACTGATTCAGGCTCTTGTCATCTCACGCCTGGACTACTGTAACTCCCTCCTGGCTGGTCTCCCTGCTACCGCCATTCCACCTCTGCAGCTCATTTAGAATGCAGCAGCTCGACTGGTCTTTAACCTTCCGAAATTCTCCCACACTCCTCCACTCCTCCGCTCTCTTCACTGGCTGCAGAGAGCCTTCACATCTAAAGACACACCTCTTCAGACTCTACCTCCACTAAAAGACTAACAAATTGTAGCACTTAAATTGTACTTATAACGCCACTCATCTATAGCAAATTGTAAATTAGCTTATTTGAGGAAATTGCAATTTCTTGTTTCTTGTTCTTCTGAGTTTGTACCCTATGGTTGAATGCACTTATTGTAAGTCGCTTTGGATAAAAGCGTCAGCTAAATGACATGTAATGTAATGTAAGAGCATGTTACAAGCATGTTGGTGGTGTTTTTCTATCTGCCATTCAGTACTGCCATCATTTGTTTGCAAGATTTTTTTTTTAATTGAGCTGTGCTTGTGTTTGCAGAGCAGAAGCCTCCTAAGGCTCAGTGATGTAAATCACAAAGTAACATACCCGGAGTCTATAAAATAGTATATTTAATAATAATAGACAGTTTAGAAAACTTGAATTGATCAAATTACCCTGAGCATTTATATTGTCCTTGGGTGTATGCTAAGGATTATTGTCTTACTTGAAAAAAATGTTTGGGTTAAAAGTAGTTAGTACAGTGATTTTGTCTCTGAAAGGCTAGATTCATTTTCAGGTTCTTGGTCAATAATGTCCTGAAAAAAGACCAATAATAATACTAGAATACGTTATTATATTCAGAGGTTCTGTGGGGCCGAATCCCTCACCCAAAGAGCACCAGAAGCACGGTGACAGCGCCCAAATTTTGCCGATCTGTGAATGCTGGAACCTGGAAAGCTGCAATCACGATTATAGTCAAGGTCACGGGGATCAGATATATGATCTGTGGATTAAAAAAAAACAAAGGCACGTCATTCACTTCAAATCTGTTACCAATCGATAAAAGTATACTTTGATGAATAAATTCATGAATACATTATTAGCCAACTATAAATGTTTAAAATGTTTTTGCATGTGCTATTTAAATCTGACAATGACATTAATGAGCACACTTTTGAGAAGCAGGTTTTGGGCTACATTCGACAGGTTGTTGTTTGGCTCTCCTGTTGTGTGGGGATTAGAGGACGTTACCATGTCATAGAAGAAGTTCACAGCCCAGTATAAGGGTTCGCTGATGCCGGAGATGTGCTGGAGCTGCTTGGAGCCACTGTGGTGCTCGTTGACTTCATAGATGGCGAAGCTGGCTGTCGTGATGGAATAACCCGTCAGCACACACATAGCCACCATGATCTGGAGCAATCCCTGGATGCTGTGAGGAAAAAGTACAATCGTTCACACAAAAAGGGACAAAACTGGCATCAGTAGCTGTCAGCCACGTCCTTTGAACTAGTGAACTCTATTGAAGTCCATTATATTCCTGCATGCTAAATTTGGTCGAACTGCTTTGCGTTCCGCTACGAGGCTGCAGTACCACAGGTTGAGACACAAGGATGGGAACAGCTATCATGCCGTTCCCTGCATGGACCGGACTCCTTTTAAACTCCTACTTCAAAAGTGGCATTTTGAACAAACAGCTTTGTTAAACGCAATGCTCTGCCCGGCAACTCACAAGATAAGAACTGTAATAAAAAAAACACTTCACACTGCGATTGCTGCGTAGTCTGTAATCCAGTGCTGCTGCTGGGAGGCTGCAGACTGCAGACAACCAGCTGAGAATTAGATGCCTTAGTTACACTTCAACCCAGAGCAATCTCTCAAACTTTCTTCAAGCCGCTACCTGTTCACCCCCCAAGCTCTCTTTCCCACCCTACATGCGGATATAATACTTCCGCCTCTGGCCGGGGCCCAACTCACACGACCAAACGGAAAGAGCAGCAGCTGTGAGGATGAGGATGAAGCTGGCCGTGTCATCAAGCCGGAAGAGAATAGCAAAGCGGGACATTTGGTGGGCGATTGAGGGCAGCGCTAACTACAGAGTAGCTACTGAGCAAATTTGCCAGCAGTAACCGTAGTGTAACCGTAGTGTTTTTAACAAAGTCAGAGCTCCCGTGCTAAGCAAATAGACATTTTAGTAACAAGCCTATTGTAGCTTCATGCAACTCAAGACAAATCAACGCACCAGTGAGGAGCACATGTGCACATGCATCCGCTGCAATACCTAAGAAGGCAAATAGCTGTGAAATTACCAAACATAACTGTTACACCAAATTAACTGAAAAAATCAAGGAACTAGGTAGCGAAATGGCTTCATGATGCCACCATGTCAGCTCAATACTTGTGATTAGGATTTCTTGGATTATTATCTTCTGCATTATTATCATCCTTACATGTTTGCACATATACAGGCAAGCAAACACCGAAGCACAGATTTTGCAGTCCGGGTCTCTAAAACAGAGTGTGGAGTATTTAAATAAACTCATTTTGGGAAGTGGGGTAGAATCAATCCACCTCTGTGCCACCTTCAGGGTAAACACTCATTATATTGGGACTCTGATCAATAGTGCAAGCTCAGGGAAATCTATTTAGAAAATCAAATAGGGGTAAATACCGCTGTCATGTACCTCCATGCCCTGAGTCCACCCTGACTGGTACAATGACTCAATAATTTAACTTTGGCTCAAACAATAGTCATCACGACTCAACTAACGTGGAAATATTTTTACCAATTAGAACGCTAATTAGATTCTATTTTGCAGATGTAATCATTGTGATATTGCTGAATACTGAGAGCCAGCTCGGTAGAAGGAATAATCTAAAGTCAGTCCTTACATTGAATCTTCATCATCTGCCCGGCCAAAATAGGGATGACTGGAAACGGAAATGGCTGTAGTAGAAAAAACAAACAAATACCGAGTTAGAAATAGAAACACATGAACCAAATGAGCAAACATACTCTCTTATTCAGGGACAGTCAATTGAAAAATTTATTGGAAGATTATGTCATTTGCCAGAGCACACAAGGGAAATTGAATTATCTTCATAATTTTTTCAGGGTCTTCCAGATGTTCACAGATGTGAACTGCCTCCCTACATGTCTCTGCTTACATTTTCTGAGAGGAGAGGGCGAGTTAACCTAAAGCACCAACATATTGGGGTTGATCCAAATTAGATCTGTAATCATAACTATTATTGTTATGTGTTTTACTACCCAATTCATGTGCGGATTTCTTGAAAAAGTGTTTGGTCCAAAGGTGCTTAATAAACAGTTGAGTAACCATGTGTTTTCTTGGGTAGATAGATTGGGAGACAGAAATTCAATCCAAAACATTATTGCAGGTGAGAGTGATTAGAATCTCCAGTGTGGCCAGCGGGCAGGAGTGAGTGTCATAGCACATCTGGCAGTCAGCAGCCACTGTGAGGGTGGTATTAAAAACGAAAAAACGTCTGATGCCGACCTCCAAAGAATCCCAACCCAGCTGGTGCTGCAGTAGTGTGAGGGTTAGAACTTCACATTTGACTGATAAACCATCACCTTGAAAAGCAATCTCCTTGGATGTGCCCTCCTCACACCGACGTGAGTCTGCAGGAAACACTCACTCAACCCTCGAGCACTTTTATTTGCCTTTGTGAATGAAAGGTGTGCGTACGTGTGTGTGCTTCTGTGCATGCACTATATGTTTTTATGAGCACATTTACTTGTGTGTTTGTCAGCGTGTGTGTGCGCCTGCCCGCAGGCAGATGGTCAGGGTGATAGACAGCTAAAACAGTACTGAAAACGTGGGCCAGTCTCATTCCCAGTAAGCGGCACTCATCAGTATGCACCATGCGTGTGGATGTGAGGACACATAGCACCCCCTGGCTTTAATCTAGTGAAGTTAGACTATGAGTAAACCGTTTACAGCTCTTTTGATATGTAGTATACAACATGCACGGTCAGCATTGATGGACAGATACATTTAACCAATGATGATGTGTCTCATCCCTTTTGAAAAATCTCAGCCATGTCTGAGTGAAACCTTTGCCTCAGCTGGCATTTTTCAATAACCAGAGATTGTTGTGTGAATAATGGACAATAAAGGCAACAACTATGTCTGGAGACATTTTTTAAATAACTTACATATCAAATAGACCGAAAGCTCAGTTTACTAATTTAATAACCATTTTCATTTCAGCTCACCATATTTATGTGGATCCTTGTCTGCTGGCAGATTGGAGCGCAGGATGAGGTTGTTGAGGCTGTTTAAGTATGCTGGCATTGTGTGATGACCCTCTGGGTTGAACCACACCTAAACCCATGCAAGCACAACACCGAATGTTTTGAAATCAATGCTTTGCAGATTCTTGTTACAGTGGAACTACTTTAAGATGGGATGTTGCTTTTTAACTTTTCAACTCATCAGTGCAGCGGTTAAAGTAATAACAAGACCGGCAGCTGGGAAAAGGGAGACAAAGTTACCTTAGACAGAGTACGGTTTTTGGGTACCGCTATTAGGTCCATCTGTAAGTCAGAAGGGAGAGGCATGCCAAAGGCGAAGCCACCATACCTGAAACCACAGCAAAAACAATCCTGATGGTAAAAAGCATCAGAGCCCACATTCAAAGTCCGGGTAGCAATACATGAAGATGGAATTTATTGTAGTCAACGGCTAATTAGATTTTTTGCAAATCCTTGTTTTTGATACATTTTACTGTCCACTCATATATTATTTACGAAAAAAGGAAGTTAAATTGATACTAGAGAATCACTGTATTTTGTCATTTGGGTCAATTGTCAACTCTAAATTAAAATATATTGAGCTTGATACATTATTAGTAAACTATCCGAAACTAAATTATATAGTACACTGATGAAATATTATGTAATGCAATTAAAAGCATGGGAAATACTATGTAAGCTAACAACTTCACCTCATAAGGTGGATGCAATCCGATTCGCACTCCATGTGGCAACATAAACCCAACGTAAACACAGCTTGCATTCACCTGTTCCTGATGAAGTCATTTGCTGTGGCCGCAAGATAGTTCTCCACATTGACGCCACTCAGGTTATACACAGTGTGAGATGAAGGGATCTTCTTGTGGGGGGGCTGGTAGCTATCTCCATCACAAATCTGCAGTTAAGTGAAGAGAACAATGCATTACACTGACCCATTTCCACAGGAAACACATTCATGTAGAGAGACACTGATGCAAAAATAAACCCTCTCTGGCACGCACACACATGCGCACACACGCAAACACATGCAAACACACACATTTTCTTCTGGGACCCGGTCTCACCTGTTTCTGACTGCTGCATTTACAGACACTAAACGCTTTGGAGCTGTTCCCTCTGGAACTCCAGTTGTTTGTGCTTTCTGCGCAGGTCCTTAAAAAGGGGAAAATTCACAAAGTGAAATGGTGGCTTGGTAGAATGATGGTTGTCTGCGGTGCATGATAATGCCACATGGTTATAAAAAAAGACTCCACAACACATCTTGCATCAGTGCTAAAAAACATGAGTGCATATGGTGGCAAAAATCTGTAACCATTCATACAGCTTCTGTGAGCTTGTAGGATTTTTGTTAGGTCAGGACCTCACTATTTTCTCTGGTCTTAGTATTATTAAACAGTTTCAAAAGCTGATTAATATTGTGTGACATTTACTGGGTGACGTGATGTCCAAATCTCCCACATTAGGTTTTCTGCCAAATGCCTTCAGGGACACTTGTCGAATTGTGGAATTAAAAAAAGAGACCGTAATAACAGCCGTGTTACTGCCTGCTACTTCAGATCTAAATTGGTCAAAAACTATGGCCACAGGCTCGGGACCATACCAAACCTTTACTGTATATGTAGCATACAGCACCCTTACAGTCGTTGTCGTAATGTGATTATAGAACAAACATTATATTATATCATAAACAAAACACGCCATCTCCTTTGCATCTTGAGATATCTTTATCTCATTCACTCTCTCTCCCTTCATTTCATTTTTTTTTGGCAGAGCGTTTTAAAATGCCACTGAGGTCTAGTTCATGAGTGTCAACATTGATTTAAGTGCCTGTAAGGGAGAAATCTCCCCTATAAACACACAGTGTTTACAGAATACAAAGCAGAGTCCTGATGCAGTACATACTGTACGGCAAGAAAAAAAGAGAGGGAGGACCTTGGAAAGCCGGGGGGGAGAGACAGCGGGAATCAGACAGGGGAAGAAAGATAAAATGAAATGATGAGGGATGAAAAGAAGGACTAAGGGTGAAATGTGAAAATAACAGGTGAAAAAGGGTAGAATGCAAAGGGAAACTGAACAATGACAAAGACTCTATATTGTATAGGAAGGAAGGAAAAAGAAAGCTTGCGTTTGAGGTGAGATTACATACGGGTTGTCGGACTTGTCGAGGCAGGCGTTATCGATCCCAGGGAATGACATCATGGTGTCCTTCAGCTTGTTGGAGTCAGGATTTTGGTTACTATGGAGTCAAAGAATCCAACAGTCAACCTCAACTCAGAGGGTACACAGGTGTTTTAGTTACTACACCATAATTAAAGCAATAAAAAAAAATTAGACTCCAACATGGCAGAGCGGTCCAACTTTATGGATTTATTTAAATCTATTTTTGTTGGCCGTACATAGTATTTACCAACCAAATATTGCCAATCAAGTCACTGTGATTGTAACAATACTAGATTATATATAATTATTACATATAAAATATACATATAAATATTACATGGTTTTCTACTTTCAATTTAAGCAAATGCTTTTTTATTTTCATTTGACCGTTCCCTTTTAATAAAACCTCATCAATAAACATTCAGGTCATTGCATTTATATTGCTTAGAGCAAAGTCTGAAAATATAATTCTCTCTCTAAAATATAAGACAAAGACAACCTTCCTAATCACAAAATTAAAAAAATATATATATATTATTTTTTAACCACTTAAGTCTATCAAGCTCAAGAAGACTTGGCAGAGCGTCCAAGCGGCCTTTGATATGAATCGGCCCCTGAGCCTTTTCTCCCCGGCTACATATCCCTTGATCAAACAGTAGCAGACAGTAGAAGACATCTAGCAACCTCCTGACGCTCTTAATCCCTCTCCCTTTGATCTGACATCTCATCACAATCATCTCTTTTCCTCACGTTCTCTCTCCTGCCCTCCCCTTGAGTCTATATGCCCTTCATCAAACTGCAGCTTTAAATTCAATCAATATCAATTAAGAAAAGTTGTGCCCCGCAAATGATGAAGGAACCCAACGAAACAATCAAGCTAAAAGTTGCATCAAAGTTTTTATAAAACGCCAGAAGGCAGCATGCCAATACAACATCTTGCAAGCTTTGCCGCGAAACCAAGTCAGTTAAAGTATAAGATATATCACTTGAGATGCACATAACTTTGATGATTTGTTTGTAGCCTTTTCCATAATTGACCACATTTATACAGTAAATCATTTTTGGTATTTTCTTGCGATTGCTCAAACAAAATACGTTGAATTTAGCTCGGAAAAGACACATTTTTCACGGACACTGGTGTGATCATTTCTCATAAGCATTGGTCTGACCATGTCAAGTTAATTTAAATAAAAGAACAGAGTTCTATTGAACCCCTCTAAAGATTCTTGGTGTAAAAATCACCCTGGTTAACCTTATTTGCTTCTCTGTCCTCCCCCTCCAATGCTCCCTTGTCGTGTATCCGCCATGGGGACTGACCTGAAGAAAGAGTAGCTGGGGGAAAAGCTGTAGAGCGCCGGGCTGAGCTCCAGCTCAGGGTAGTGCTGCAGGTCGCTCTTGATGGAGCTCATACCCATGGCAATCACCATGAACAGAACAGGGAGAAGGATCTGGGAGATCAGGCCCTTCCAGTCTCTGCGGCTGTGGTGGAACCTCTTGATCATGATGGCTGTCGTCTGCTGCCATACCAGGGCCATGCCGCTCACCACGGATGGACCGGTGAGCTCTGCAACACGATGGTGAGGAGATTTTGACAGGATTTGATCAATTCGGTTGCGCCTGCCTTCTATCTCCAGAGCACACTGAGCTAAAGGTTAACGGGTAGATTGGATCGCAACAGATGTCAGTGCGGTGCATCAAAGTATGGAATATTGTGAACCGCTGTGGGTCAGCTAAGTAGTATACTTTAAATATTTGAGCGCAATGATAAAAATTTAAAACAGGTTAAAAAAACACTCAAAGCACATTCCTAATGATGTTACTGCACAAATACCTAACAATACGTTTAATACTAACTTTTAAATTAACTAAACAAGTGCCACCAGAGTAGAACTTTATTAAGGGATCATTTTGTTTGTTGCTGGGTGTCGTTTCAGTTTTGCTGATTGTTTAATGAATTTTTTGCTCCCACGGGCTGTGTTGGATAGATATAGACAGATGTTACTGCCCGATTGTATTTAAAAAAACGGCAGTTTTACAGCGTTATCCCAGCTTGCATAATTCTGCTTACTGATATTGTCATCAAAGTTGCTTTCACTGGAGTCTGAAGAGAAGCTGTCGATGGAATCATTGTCAGAAATTGTTTCTGAGATAGACAGGGGGCTTTGGTCAGTTCCATCTTCTTCTTCTGCATTCCCATGAGTCAACTGGAGGAAAACCTACACAGACAAAAACAAACCATGACCAGTATGTACAAAAAAGCATATCAGAATAATTTCACAGCTTTTAATTATGCTCGTATGACGATATGATCATAGTTCATGAGCATGAAACCCCTTTTTCTTCTCTGTCTGCGGCGTAAAATTGTTGTTGTGTATGCGCTGACCTCCTCCAGGGTGGTGTCAGAGATGCCATAGCCCCCCAGCTGTAGGGCATCCAGGTTGGAGTCCAGTGCGGTCAAGAGGGAGCGGTATGAAGGGGCGTTGGAAGAGGTGAAGGGGGGCAGGGAGTAGACCAGGTCGCCCCCAAGGGCCTCCTTCAGTCGAGCTTCTGGTACATGAGCTTGGACGAAGGCCTTCAGCTCAGCGTTGTCGATCTGCTCCGAGTTTTGCGTCTGAAGAGAGGAGAGCAGGAACACATTATGCGGTAATTCATTATCAACACTGCAGCGTTATTTCTCAAAAGAAAAAAAAATCTGCTTATTTTGGGACGTGTATTTTCCACCGTTCTACCCCTGCTAACATAATCAATTTCTGAATTTTGCTACACAGAGAAGGCACTGGCTTGAAAAACACAGCATTATATGCTAGATTAGCAAAGCAGTGTGAGAAATAGTGTGCTGAAAAAAAGTATGAGCCAGTTTGAAGAAGGCAGTAGATTATTACTTGTGTTTAATTCAACTTATTTAGCAGTTTTCCAATACGTCTAAAATAATTCACACTTTTGCAGTATGTACTGTAGAGTCTAATGTGGCAGAAATAAAACCAACAATTGAATTACACATGAGCAGGCCAGCTCCTCAGTTATAATGTATTGGGGAATGTTATCTCGAATGCTGACTGTGCATCTTCATTGTTCATCAAAAGTCTGAGTAAAATGCATTATGCATTATTTTAGTGCCTCACTTCCAACTTTACTTGACTTATAGTAGAATGTTAACATAGGGCACCAGGAAAACATTATTTTGACCAGGTTGTGTGCAGGAGGAATACCTTCTTGGTGAGAGTGAGCTTGTAGCCCTGACCCAGCTTGTCTTTCAGTTGGAAAGGGGATCCACAGCATTTTAAACCTCCTCTCTCCAGGAAGGCGATGCGGTCGCTCAGTACTTCAGCCTCATCCAGGTGGTGGGTGGACATGATGACGGTGCGATCTGCAAGACACAGACATAAAACATTCTGAATTATTTGTGTGCGGATCATTATACCATTCCCAAAGCCATAACTACACCTCAAATGGTAGCTAAAGGGCGTTGTGTGAATATTAAGCAAATGTACTGCATGACAATCCAATAATTCTATGTCAGCTGAATGCACATATTTAGATTTTCTTCACCAGCCACGGTGATCTGTTGAACTCTGTAGGAGTTTTGAAAAGGGTGGAAGAACAACACAGAAGCCATATTTAGATGTGTAATAAGTTATTTTCCATAATTTCCTATTCTTGTGACTTCATATTGGCATTTTAAGTTTAGCTGCTGACACACACACACACACACACACACACACACACACACACACACACACACACAACAACTCCCATCCGAATAAACAACCAAAACAACAGAAATCACAACAACACGCAAACTGTGTCGCACACATACAAATCATCAGAGGCGCACAAACAGCGAGGAAAGAATGTTTATTTATATTCCCCAGGCACCAAAATCTCATGAACATCTAAGACGGGGCCAATTACCGAGGAGATACAATTATATGTCATTTAGTCGTCTCCATGCCATTGCTGCTACAAATCAAACACAGCTTAAAGTAAAAGTACTGGATTCATTTTGATGAATTCTACGCTAAATTTAAAGTCGTAAACGTGAACAAGAAAAACGTCTCGGGGGTCTGCTACCGGTTCCTGCTCTTATACCGCCGTGCCTCTTAAGAAATGGGCAGTTCGAGGCGTCTTCAGTGGAAAACACTAGAGCTGGAGAGTTTGGAGGGCCTGGGCCATGTGATTGTTGTTTGCAATAGAGAAGACAGAGACTCTTCACAACATTTCGGTTGGAGTCTTCTGCTTGCAGAATAAGGAATCACAAGATGATACATATACAGTAGAGGCAAACACGAGGGGGGGGCTTAAAAGTAATACGCAAAATCAATTCTATGACAAATGGGAATCAATGCAATCCAGCCAGGGCTATTGAGATATGCCCTCCTAGTGTTTGTCAGAAGCCTTGCTCCTGCATTATGCACCAACTGTTGGTGAGTAATTGCAGCATGATTGACGCAGTAGTACATAATCAATTGTAGTAGTCACAGCGAGACTAAATTAAAGTGTTAATTAGGCGTGAATAACTTCAACAATGATTTTGGGGAGCCCCGGTCTGACAGAAGACATTTTTGGATTATATGAATATATGTAGCGTGTGTTGTTGATGTTTAATGTTCAATCTTTGATGGAAGCACCGCGGGGAATCCAGATTGTTATGATTTCCAAGACTGAACTAAAGTAACTAATAATATGGCCACGGGTTAGCTAAAACAGACACACGCAGACAGATAGAGACAAACTGGACAAAAGTGGGCCATGTGTTCAGCCTTGCGGGAAGCCAAAAAAGAGAATACTTGTTTTGTTTGGTCCTTTTTTCTCCACCTGCCATTTCTCTCTGCTTATTAGCATTACTGCTATTACAGACAGTTAACATTACGGCCACAATAGTATTATACCTTAAACTTCGATATAGAGAATGCTTTTTTAATGTTGAATGTGTGTGTGTGAGAGACTGACGTTTCTTGTACTGGATGACAATGTCCCAGATGTTGCGCCTGGAGCAGGGATCCACTCCAGTGGTGGGTTCATCCAGAACCACCAAGCGAGAACCCCCTATGAAGGCAATGGAGATTGAGAGCTTGCGCTTCATGCCGCCTGACAGGTCGCCCACCCGCTTGTGTCTGTGGGCGTGCATGTCGGTCTCCTCTAGGATCCTGGTAGGGGAATCAATGAAAAGCACATCAAGCAAACCGGATTGAATGTTATTGATTGAATAATATTGCTGGTCTAAAAAGTGTTACCAGGCACTGTTACCAGGCACTGGCTATTATCCACGGTTAAACTCTCATGGCCTCTGCCCCCTATTACCTTTTTGTTGGTGGCACATGACATTCACAAAGCAATGGAGGTCCATTTCATGATATTCTTTTATCAAAACTGGTTATAATAATGATACCGCTGCTACATTGTGCAGAACCCCGGACATAATCTTTATGTACAGTGCATTTTGATACCGAGCATGCTCGGTGTTAACGATGATCGGTCACTCACTTGCGGACTTGCTCATGCAGTTCCCTGGCTGACCAATGTGGAGCCTTGACCTTGGCGTAGAGCAACAGGTGCTCCTTGGTGGTCATGTGGTCAAAGAGGACATCGTATTGCATGCAAACTCCGAGCTCTTTGCGAACTTCATCGATGTTGGTCTCCATGTCTCTGCCGTACACCTCAATGGTGCCCGAAGTTGGTGCGAAAAGGCCAGTCAGCAGAGACCTAAGCACAAAGATAATTTACAATGAGTTATTTCTGATTTGGTTATTTTATGTTACATATTTGGGAAAAATATATATTTTAAAAACGTTTAAAAAAGTTTAATTTGTTTGTTTTGTACTTTCTCTACAGCACTTTCCTAATGAATAAGGATTTGTTGGTCGTTTTTAGCAGTGTTGAATCTTATTTACATACTGCGCAAGCTGCTCTGGACAGGAGCATCAGCAAAACTTGTCGAATTGAAAATTGTGCTCCAGTCAACAAAAAAAACTGCCAAGCTAGTCTCTACAATAGCTGTCCTAGATTTGGACAAAACAATCCACCTGTCAGCAGAAGACCATTTAAAAGGGTTTGTTGAATAAAAGGATGCACAGACTAAATTTAAAAGACCTTCAGAATAGGAATTGGATCTTATGCTTTTGAATTCGTTTTACGACCAGCCATTTACAACTGTGGGAATTGAGAAACACTGCGCCACACTTACATTGTGGTGGTTTTACCAGCGCCATTGTGACCAAGCAGGGAGGTGACATGGCCCTCGTAGAAGGAAACATTAAGGTTTTCAATTGCTGCCCGGTCGCCGTAGCTCTTGCTGAGACCGTAGAGAGAAACGCCCACTGGGAGCTTTGAGAAGTCCTCCCCAGCTTGAGAGGATAGAGTGCTCTGGCCTGAGAGAAACATGGAGACAGAGGCGAACTGTAAATCCTACTCTCAGGGAACAGGAATAAAATGAGGTGTCGGAGTTAGCAACAAAAACAAAAATGGCATTAAAAGGAAAGACATCATGTTCAATACTTCAAAACACAACACCGGAGGAGACAACATTGCTTTTTGTTATCTTCCACTAGATAGTACAATGTAATTTTTATTTCCCCCCGTACCTTTTCCCTTGTCGTCGTCGAAGACGGGCTGGTTTTTCTGCATGATGTTGGTGAAGAAGAGTCCCTTTCTCTCCTTCTTGTTTGACTTAACGCAACAGCACAAGTCGGCCCAGAAGGAGGCCTGGAAGGGGAAGTACCATGGGACAGGGAGGCCGTACTTCCCTAAAAAAAAAAGGCAAATGAGAAGACTTGAGAAGGAGACTTCTAATTAAATCATGAAAGATTACCACTGACTTATATCCTTCAAAATTTGTACAGGATGCAAGCGCTACTTTACTAATATACATAAACAGCTAATATTATCAAGCTAATGAAAATACTGTTGTGATATGTGCTGAACAGAAAAAGACGAAGTGACGCTCACTGTTAGATGGGCTAAAGTAGAATCCAGCAAAGTAAAGCTAATCCCCGAAAAAAAAACTGTTGGATGTTCTAAAATGAATACAGACCAACTAAATTCTTATCTGATTTTACAGTTTACCTGGAAAGACCATGCGGATGTAAGCCCCAATGATGAAGTAGAGGATGGAGTCGATGAGCAGCAGCCAGCACAGCCAACCGAACGAAGATGTGTCTCCAGCTATGGGCGAGGTGTATGCATTGCTCCATTGAATGCCTGCGGAGGTCAAAAGAACATTACATTTGCTTCCCACTGACTAAAATAACTTCAACATCAAAGAAAAAGAGATAGATGCATTCACATGTCTGTATACACATACCTTCTCCTTGGGACTCGTACCGAGACACATATTGACTGGCATAACTGAAACAGGTAGGGGAAAACAAACCCTGGAGGAAAGTGAAAGAGAAATTATAGTTTACAGTAAGAAAAGCTGCAAATAAAAAGACCTGACAACCTTGTGTAGAATGACATTTTGCTCAATGCAAACAAGGTTTTAGATGTGTGCAGTAAGTTAGGCCTCACCTCCAATTAAAGATCATATCAGACAGCAGAAACCAAAATAACAAATAAAAATGCATGAATTGAGTAAAATGCAAAACGTATGTCAGCATCAGAAGGCATGATGACTGTGCCTTACAAACATAGTAGTTGTAAAGTGTGAATTTCCCTTGCATTACAATGCCATCCATGGCAAAATGTAAAATAAAACCTCGCCATGGAAAACGACTGGAGGCGGAAGCCACCATTTATGCAGACATTTTCATAGAGGAGCTGCCGTTTTGAGGCTGTAGTAATGTATTTTGAATCCTAATGTCAGTCAAATTGTTTTATTGGATAGTTTAAATGGATGGAGCAAATACAATTTTTGGAATAAAACAAAATTACTTTGTGTCATTCTATATCCCTCTCTTCAATTATAAGTATATTCTAGGCGAGCTAACATTATTGCTTTGTCATTATATATAAATATCACAGTACTAACTTAATATGCAAGAGGAATGACAGATGGGGGTTTCTCACCAGAGCGGACTTCTGGGAAAAGGTGAGTTGTGTCTCCACGGCCACGACCAGAATGAAGGGGAAGAAGCAGAGGATGTAAAGGAGACTTGCACTGAGGCCAGCGATGTACGTCTTGTCGAAGAAGGAACTGACGAGGTAACTGAACGACAGGATGCTCAAAGCATAATCGCAAAGGTACAAGAAAAGGAGGAAAGCGTCACTGTTGGGCAGAATGCTGCCGTATTTCAGCACCAACGTCAGGGAGAAGACGGTCAACGACAAGTAAGCGGCGCACTCCAGGAACCAGGCGAAGAAGTGGCTGAGCGGGTTTACTCCCATCATTTTCATGTACTGGGGGAAAAGCAAGAATAGAAATGGATGGTAAAAGACAGAAAGCCGGTACACAACAATACACAAAAACACATGGTATTATAACAGGACATCTTGGAAAGCCTCAAGTCAGTGGCAGGTTTGACATTTTTTGAAGTGAAAAAAAACAAAAACCTTACCTCATGCAGCCTCAGCTCTCTCTCATATACCAGTTTCTTCACAAAATCTGCCACAAACAGCACCCAGGCTAACATCAACATGAGAGGGAAGACAAAAGAGATGGCCTCCAGGAACCTGGGGAATACAGAGGTGTGAGCTGTCAGTCAAATTTCTAGAAAACGTAACATCCCATCACTGTCAACAACCGCAGATGAGAAGGCCTATCATCCAGTCACTGGCCTGACAGAGGAGAGGAGAGGAGGGAGGGTTAAGGATTTTTGACAACCATTTTCCTATCCTTTTATTATTTAGGCCAAATAAATGCCTCTACAATTCCCTTTTTTCTTTTTTACTTATTTATTTCTGGAGCCTGATACATTGGAATTCATTGGTGTTTTTCAAACTATACAGCTATATTTCACAGCTCATATCAGAATTTTTGCTGACTAATACATCATGATGACAGAGTTTGGTCAGGAGGCTACCAGCCTGAGACGTTTATCCTGCAGTTCTCTTAGATGAGATACCAGCGGTCCAGGGCAAACCCAACCATTACAGTCAAACATGATTTGTTGTCCTTTTCTAAATTAGATATATAGTACAGAGAGGAGAGGTTTTCCTGAATAGCCCGAAGGCTGTTTCAGTGTTTGCATGTATGGTCTTCAAAGATGCACAATAAAAGTGAATATTCATGCACATGGTGCGGAGCCAATTATAATGCAAAAGATTCCTGTGAATGACTACTTCATCGGTCGGTCCCAAGTGGCAGATGAATAATAAGAGAGCATGCATTATTTCACATCAACGCCTGTGCTTTCCCCGAGAGACACTGAGGAACCTGTTCACGTTTCTATGCGTGCATCCACGAGGGAGGGTACTCATGTGGTATATGTATGTGGTTGTTTGCATGCGTGAGGGTGCATCGATGTAGTCAGGGGACTCACTCATCCCGATAGTGGCAGGGATAGGGGAAGGGCTGCAGCTGGACGGCTGGCTCTGTGACTCTCTGCCCGGTCTGGGTCTCAATGATGGCGCGGTCAATGTTCTCTTGCAGGTAGACAAAGCCGCGGTTGTAGCGCAGCGTCTGGCCGGCCGAGATGTGGTTGTCCTTGTAAAAATAAGGTTCCCGGGTTCTGTCAGTACGCATCACGTTGTCCATGTGCATGCGGATGGTGTAGCTGACTTTGGGAGGCAGGGAGGCTGTGGCGGAGGAGGACCCGGCCGGACGCTCATTTGATGAATCCTCGTCTTTGGGAAGCTTGAAGATGACACCTTAAAGACAGAGCGCAGCATCTCACTACACACACTGTGTGTTGACTGAAGAAGGGATAGTGTGAGGGGAAGGATTAATCAACATCAGAAATCATTGTGTGTTGCGGATGCACTGTCGTAATGAACCCTGGGGACTGAATGAGTCTCTTCCCAATAAAGCTTGTCCACTGTACCCTATATTTACTCACTTGCATAGAGATCACGGCTTTTGGCAAGTTCCTGAGCCCTAGTGTTGAGCTCATCTGCAGAGTCGTAGCCATGGTAACGGTCAAACTTGATACAGGAGGAGATGTTCACCATCAGGCTCGACAAGGTGGTGATCTGGTTCATTACGTCTTTGTTGTTCTCCAGCATGAGGGTAATGTTAGCTTTGGAAAAAAATATTGAAATTTTGTTAAAGAAACTTTAATCTCAGTTTTCAGATGTATTTCTCTTAAATCAAAACGAAAACAAGGACATTTGGGGTGTCTGTTGGATGTCATGGCCTGTCTGGTTATATATCGAGTGAGGATGAAATATGGCCTGACAATAACATGGAATCTAATTAAATACCTGTCCATCAAAGCCGGACCATTAAAAAAAAGACTGGCATGCACAGCCACAGTATGGAGAGACGTCTTAAGACATGCACATTGAAATGAGTGCTTGAGGCTTGCTTTAAATCTATGGAGCAGACCTATTTTCTAATTTTCTAGCGCGGATACTTTACAAGCAATAAAAGAGGGATGAATGTAAAGGTAGGCCTGGTGTGCTCACTCACAGAAGTTGCGGAGCGTCTCCTTCATTCTGCCGACATTGATGTCTGTCTGCATCTCAATGAAATTCTCAACAAAAGAATTGCTGAGGGAATTCTGGCAGGAGGGAAGAGAGAGCGAGTGTGAGAGACAATGCACAACATCTATATTCTGCTGCTGCAACTCGTCGCAGACTACCGTAAAGTTTATCTCCAGAATTTTGGCGAGCCAGGAAGAATAATTAGATATACAGGAGATCAAGTTGTTTTACCTGCAGCATTGGCAAAGTGTATGTGAGTATTTCGGCAGAATTCATGATGTAGTTGGAGGATTCAATCCAGTCCTCGGAGTACTTTCTGAGATTTGCAAAGTCCTGCAAGGTGGCATTGGCCTGCAAGGACGAGAACATGGGTATCAGCAAGGTTTCATAAACTGCTTGCTCAAAATCTTGTGTAAAAGAGGGTCACAGTAGGAGATGGTGGTGCATACAAATGTGTGTACACGTCCCGCAACACAGTATTTCGTGTTTACTGCAAGGAGACTACAAAGGAACCGATCGGAGAAGAGAAGGTAGAAATGGAGGTGGTAAAAAAACACTGTAACAGTCAGGAGAGGATTTTTGGAGGATTTAGCACACATAGTTCATAAACATCAAGGAACTAACCCTGTGAGTAGATGGTTGTGTTATGAGAGTGTGTACCTTCTCCATTATGGCCCTGGTGACAGGTGTGTCGGGGGTATACAGAATTTGTCCCATCAGCATTGGTTTGAGGAAGGCCCAGGCGATGGCTCCTCCAGTGGTATTCACCATGTCCAGGTACATGTTCATACAGAAGGGAGCTACACGACAAAAGACGAGGTGAAGAACCATTAGACAAACAAGTTTTTCAGGAATATATTCACAGAGTTTGATGATCATGGATTAGGATGCCGGTGTAATTTAATAATTTGATTTAAATTTAATTAATTGAAAAGAACGACGATACATAAATGAGTCTATTACAGCGGCAGCATTGGAAACACAGTGGCCTGGCACAAAAAGCTCATCCAACATGTCATTACGCTCATGTGTCATTTTTGGACAGCCTTATGGCACAAACACCAAATTTCTTTCTTTTTTTTGGTCAGCATTTCATTAATTGATTACTGTCAGAATGACAACTTTCCTATTGAGTCTGTAAAACTCATTCCAGAGCCCAGATACAAAAACTACTGTACAATGTAAAAATAGTCTAAAATAGGTTAATAAGTTTCAACAATACCGGACAGTGGCGTTTATGTATTTTCGGTCATTTATCGGGATTTTTTGATGATAAGAAAAAGCAAACAAAACAAAACAGTGAGCAAACTTTCGAGTATGCAAAGTTGGTGTTTTTCTCATTTAGGCTTAGGGAAAAGTATCTTTATTTACTTATTTGGATTGCGTATGTCGAGGTGATAAGATATAAATCGCTGAGAATGATTTTGATACCAAAGGACTAAATAAGACTGAATGACACACAAATATACCGTTAAAAATGGTTTCTGCACTTAAGATAACATTCAGTTAACAACAGCCCCGAGTGTGCCCTCCAACAAACATACTGGCATTCGGTGGAATGTTGAACCGCTCGATCATCTCCTCCCTCTGGCGCTGGTCGGGGAAGATGGAGTTTGACTCTGGCAAGATGGGGAGTTTTGAGATTCCGAGCAGAGCCAGGATTCCTTTACTGCACAGCGCTCGAGAGAGGGTGACAAACGTTGCTCTGCTGGAGATGGTGCTCCTCTTTCCCCTCACCATCTGGGGAAAGGTATAGAAACTTTTAATACTTCATGATTTTCATCAATTCCAAATTGAATAAGTGTCAAGCAAATGTGATGACAAAACGGAAGGTGCTCAAAAATGTAAACATACATCAGAAAGAAAATGTTTTGTTGCCTAAACCAGTTCCCTGTAAAGCAGTAATGGTCACTTGGATACCATTGAAACCGTGGCAAAGTTTAGTGATCACACAAGGACAGTTAACACAGACACACATTGTGGGTAAAGCACTGTACAGAAGCAAAGACTGCATACTTGTTTAAATTCTGGGTCGGCCACCAGGTCGAGGTCTTTGATGGAGAGCATAAAGGTTTGAAGCTGATCCACAGCAGGAAGAATTGTGTCCATAATGTTGGTTAAAGACTCAGCGATCTGGAGCACAACTCCCACCAGGCTCTGCAGTTCTTCAGACAAAACCATCTGAAAAACAGGGACCAGCATTTAAAAATGTGTCTACAGTTTCTTAAACGGTTTTCAGGTTAAAGAAAAAAAAGGCAATGCAGTTTTCTTTGCAATGCAGTTCTTTCTATTTGCAAATGTTTACGTGTTTCTTTATTCATTTCTTGTAAATGTGAATGGGTTTAGGAACCTGCAACAGGAAGAGACTGCAGTAGATGAGAACATTCTTCTAAATTCTGTTTGTCTTGATCTAATGTCAATACATCTCACAAGGCCTGCTGCACTGTCTTAATAGCAGAACCATACTTAGATTTTTGTATTCTGATCATGTTATTTGTCCTCCAAACTATGTAAGATTTAATGGGGTCAGCGGGGTCCCATTTGACGTCAACTGTGTTGCGCAGATCATCTGTCTCTATTAAGTTTTTTTATTAAGAAAATGTTTGTGAGTTCTGTGTGTTAAATGTGTATCCAGAGAATCGGTTTCTAAACGGTTTCAGGAAGGACATCAACTTGGCTACACGTCTTTTGGGGTTTCTCAGAGTAAGCAACATGACATCTTGAATCTCAATCAAATTCCTTATTGCCCGAGCTAGAGGTTGTGTATAGAATGCAGATTTAGGAATAGAATCCTAATCTCTCTCATTGTGACAGATATTTTTTATTTCACCTCTAGTCATGTTCTCTTGAAATGGAAATCACAGATGGCTGTTGTATTCTTTTTTTAATTACTGTATTGAGGGAACTAAATTAGTTTTGGGCTTAGTTTTCTTAGATCAAAAGGAAAACATCAGTCATGAAATACCTTTTTTCGAAATAGCTTTTTCTGTAAACGTGTAAAGGAATATTTTATAAGCATTACTCTCTTGTTTCCGTTAAAACAAAACACACTGTGGCATCAAAAGGTTTGTCGCAGCCCAACAAAAGTGATTGCTTTAGCCATTACATGGCAATTACGCACATTTAAAAAAGAAGAAAAAAACGTTTTTGAAAAATGTTTTTTTTTCTTTTGACAAAAGACTCCATTTGAATTCAGTCTTACTCTGTAGATGACTTTCTCCATGTTGATATGCCGAGCCATCAGCAGCGAGAAGCTGTACCACTGTCCTGAGGAGAGGGAGCAGAAGGTCTGCAAGATGGCCGCGTCCGTCGCTTTCATGTTCAAGGCTGCTGGCGAGCTGCAATGACGCAAGTTGACCATCCAGGACAGGATCTGTTTCAAAAGAATTACGAGTTCAAAAAAACATGAGAAAAGAACAAGAGACGCATAAACATTTATCAAGCCCTAAAAAAAAACCCTGATGCATATGGATGTCCCTGGCTTACCTCTACATTTTGTTTTGGCAGCATTGTTTCCATCAGGAGGTGGAGAGCAGCTTGGTCAAAGTCCATGTGTTGCTGAACATCTAACAGGAAGGCTGTTTTATTCCTCAGCAGGTCGCCGACCGCTACCGTTCCTGGGAAATGGTGATAGGGGAGCAAATTGACCAGTGTATTATTTATTATGACATTTTTTATATATGTTTCACTTATTTGATTGTGGAAACTCTTCAAAAACCTAATTTGTATTATTTTTCTTAAAATTCTTGAAGTAGGTGTCTTGGGAAGTAATACTTCTATGTAGTATTGTATCCCAATTGCATTCCCTGTTATAGAATATGTGCAAAATCTGCCTTTCAGATGTAGATCTTTTATATTCGATTGTCAATTGACAAAGAAAACATTCTTTGAAAAGAGCTGCACTTGGCTGCTGTTTTCGAAGACAGGAGAACACTAAAGGACATCCAGTGTTTTTTCACCCAGCCAGTCACAATGAAGGATACGCTGCTTTAGTGTTCAAAGAAGCGACAGTGGAGAAATTGGCCGCTTTAGTAAGCTATCATTGTTATGTAATCCAGCAACAAGCAAAGCGGGGCATCAGACATGAATGTGCAACAGATGAGGTGAAATGAGTCTGTTGCTATGGAAACAAGTTTTGATATATTCTTTTCTTCTGATAGCACACTAGGATTCAATATTTTCAGTACAAAAGTAATCATAGACCTAAATCTTAATTTTCAATGAATCAACAATGATCACAATGATCTACTTTTTTCCTTCCAACATTAATTAGTGTCAATTATTTTGCAAATGGGTAATCATTATATAATTATCAATATAAACGGTTTGTCTTCATTGTATGTCTGTCCCTGACCTTATTCATAGTTAGCTACCTAAGAAATGAGAGACAAAACAACTCAAATCAGCAGTGAGTAGAAAAATATGAGAAAGTGAGAAAAGTGTCAGCTCTGCTATAAAACTATAGTAGAGGTGCAGGGATGTATAATATATCATGAAATAGCGCAACTTTGATGTATAGAAAAGTTTTACCTGGGGATGACAATTTGATGTTATAAGAGCTCAGGTCACTGGTGTCAAAGCCCAACCCTTCTGTCAAAACAGAGGACCTGTAAACACACGCACACAGACACACAAGCTGAAGATATCAAGGAAACCAAATCACACAAAAGGGATAAAGGAGATAATGAACCTAAACAACAGAGAGCAGCGTTCCCTTACTAATTACTGTGAAAACCCTGAAACAAAAACACATCAAACAAGAAGGAAGTAAAAGCTGTACCAGTTTGAATGGACATTGTAGGATCTGGGGTCTCCGATGACAGCCTCGAAGAGGGCGTCGGTCAGTAAGGTTGTATTCGTCATCATATTCTCAACCAAGATTTGCAGGCTGGGTAGAAAAGTATGACACAGCTGACCGGGCTCGATGGAGAGGGCCCACATCAGCAGACGCACAGACTCGGTGTTCTCCAAGGCGCACACCTACAATGAATCAGTCACATAAGTACATGGTTGGCCAAATCCCACGATCAAACCATGGCAACATTGATTGGTTGGTTTGACTTATGGTTGTTTCGTTGGCTCCGCTGTGCGTCGGGCATAACAACCCCGAACTGTTACATTATTGGACGATAGAGTACAGCCTCTTTAATATATATACATATAAAAAAGAGAGCAACGGATGCCAGCTGGCGTTCAATAACGGTTGTTTCTCATGGTTTTCTCCTGCAATACCTGAATAAAGGTGTCAACTTAACCTAACGTTATCCCCCTACAAATAAATCCACTACCCAAACAAATCAATAAAGGATTTTCAAAAAGATAAATAAACACATCTCTGCTGTTGGAGTTACCTCTAGTACCAGGCAAACGATGGCCTTCTTGCACAAAGTGGTCTACACTTTAGCAACGTAACGCATACAAACTCTAATTACTTCTAATTCCAATGGCATCCTCACAGTAATTTGCAGTCATTCTGAATGACCATTTTTCCTATTTAGAGGATTGTTGCATGTGTTAAAGTGGCTGGGTGATTACAAAAACCTGGGATCGGAGGCTCCCGAGGTGCTCTGTGAACTGCGGGTCCGTCGTGTTGATCTGAAGGAGCTCAGCGGCTGTTTGGATTGTCTCTTGCAGGTTCTCTTTAGGCGGGAGGCAGAGTGAACCAGAGGACAGAAAATGAGGGTAAGAGGGAGGTTATTAGAGTTGGACAGCAAGATGGGAAAGGAACAGGAAAACGAGGCAATACGAGCTGTAAGGTGACAGAATAACATGACATCCCACAGGGTTTCATTACGGCTCGCACCATTACGGGGCGGCGTCGCCAGCCAGCGAGCAGCAAATGATGTACTTAGAGTGAAGCCTTGTGCGGGACTGATGGGGCCAGAAGGGCCAGGCAGTTCTAGCTGCCGCATTAAAAACATATCTGACAAGCCCAAAGAAATGCACCACCTCAAGCAGAAAGATGCGATGACAGAATATTTAATTAGGCCAAAATTAGACAACGGTGATGTTTAATCATAGGATGCTCAACGCCTAGAGGCCTTTACAATTACAACAGCTCACTCGGTATGTGTGGGTAAACAATAGGGTTGCGGTTGCAGAGACGGAAAGCTGCTTCAGCTGCTTCCAAAGTAATTCTATGCACTGAAAACATTATCACATGAGCACAGACGGCAATTAAAAGGAGGTCATAGATGTCCACTTGTGTGAGTGCGAGGGGAGACGTTTAGCGCGGGCGGACAGCATAAGTGATTGAATTCTACTTTGCTAATGAGATTTAAAAAGGTGCCGAGTGGCTTTCTGCTGGAGAAGGGCCATATGGCCTTGGGCTCTTTGGGAGCTCAAGCTAAGCTGATGTGAAGTCGTATTCCTCGTATCTCCAGCATGAATTATGCGGCACTATAATCATGTATACAATAACTACGACATTAACAAAAGTGGATGGCCTTCCAATGGTCCCCTAATGGCCATAAAGGTCAGGGAGAGGGGCTGGCACCCTTCCTTCCCCACAGACTTATTTTTAATGGCGCAGGCTGGCAGACTGTTCTCATAGATACATACTGTCACAGCAGGTGTGTAAACACAACCAGTGTGAGCTCTACATTTACAGCAGCACTCAGGCATGAGTAGGAGGGAATCCACTGTGGAGTCAGTGGGTAACGTTAATTTGGAAAAACCAAAAGGATAAAGCTTCATCCATTTGAGGATTCTCCATTTAACTAATGAGTACACATTTCTTATTATGATTCTGCCCTCGGTCAAAGAAGCCTTTAACTGTCCAGACTGAGTAAGAGAGGCAGTATATCTGAAACGGTGAGTTACCTTGAGATTCATGAGCAAGTGCTGCAGTGATATTTTTAATCACTGAGGAGAACGGAAAGCCACTGGGAAGCATATCGGCGGCATTTGTCAGTAGATCCATTGATGACCTGGGGAAGATTAAACAAAGGATGTTTTTGAAACAGGGGGCCAACAGAGCAACACAGCGGTGAGAAACTAGTTGTTTTTAGATGCAGCGAATTTATACCTGAAGGGAGAAACTGAATTCACACATCAAAACGTGCAACGGGGCTTCTTTTTTTTCTTCTTCTTTATTCCTAAAGCAATATATGGTATGGTGCAAATCAAACTTACATCTGAACCGCGCCAGGGAGAGTGAGGAAGGAAAGCGCTCCCAGAGCGGCATCAATGGTCTCCTCCCGAGCGGCACTCAAAGCCCACGGCATGTCCCTCGTCGCTCCCTTCGCCACGACACTCAGGTCCGGGTTGGCAAAGACCACGTGGGCCGTCTCCATGATATCTGCAGTGGTGGCGCCGGCGGCTATGGCTCTGAACATTGCCGGGTAATCAATGGAGAAGAGGTCCATGAAGTCATCCAAGGGATCCCTTGGCAGCATCAACGGGGCTTCGCGACGGTGTCGCACCCCGGTCGCTGTCGTATGATTACCGGCTGCCATTCCCTGGTGAAACATACTCGGGTGGTACCCCATTGGGGCCAGGGGACCACCGGTGCCTACCAACTGGCTCAGCAATGCACTCATGTTTCCGGCTAGACCTTGAAACAGCTCCATATCTGCCGACATGTCCACACTCAACTGGGTCGCAAAAGACAAGAGAGGGCTGAGGATGTCGTACACTTTGAGCAGAGCCTGAGTCAGCAGATCCAGTCCAGACACTTCGGTGGCGCTCCACCACGCAGACAGCGCGGCCGCCTCCGACGCAATCACGCTTGAGAAATTGGATGCCAGAAGTTGCTCCAGGGCCTGGTAAACCAAAGACACGTTCCCAAATATCTTCATGTCAACCAGCAGTTGTACCGCTTCCCTTGTTATCTTGCCGAGAGACGCGTCGCTGAAATTTCCCCACATCATGGGGAAGATGTTGTCTGTTGTGATGTTTGCGGAGGAGAGGAAGATCATTGCTGCCTCTTGGAAAAGGTCTTCACATAAGCTGTTGTTTTGAATGAGAGGGTAGTTGTCCAGGATGTGGTTCAGGGATTTTTCCATAGCTTCAATGTAAGGCTGGAGGCATGGGGCCATTTTTACCAGCTCGTCGGAAAGCATTTTGAATGAGGACCAGCTAAAGACAAGGGGAGAAATATAATTGTCAAGTTAATTGTACAGATTTAGAGTCATGTGTAAAAAATGAACAGGAAAACTATGAGGATTGTTTGATCCCTAAAGCACAACCACAGCCAATGAGCTGACTTCTAATTCTGACCTCTTGTTTTTAATTCATTTCCTGAACACAATGATTCCATAGAGTTTGAATTCTACAGCTTTGACCATTCTTGCTCATTTGCATAGTTTTCACATTTCCTTTTTGATATTAGACTGGGGAGTCTTTTCACTGTGATAAATTATCTATAGCTTGTGTATTAAAACCTGACGGTTTCCCTGCGATGTGCGAAATGTGATCCTTATCGCCATGTTCGCCTCGTTATTGCAGCTGGCAAAAAGGCAAATTATTTTTGAAAGCGTGTCGAAGCGAACTGAATCATGGTTAAGCTGCTATCAGTGCAGGCGTTTTTTAGGTAAAATCCCATTAAATTAACCAAGTTGAATGCAAATGTGATCACTCTAATTCCTTGTGAAATTAGGCATCAATCAACTTGGTCCGATTGTTTCATTTCAACCACTGTTGTAAGAACAAATGGAAAGGTGGTTTAATAAGTGAGTCTTGTAGCGCTTTGCATAAGTGAGTCTTGTAGGGATGCAACTGACTCTAAAAAGACTAATTTCAGGTCAGTTGAATGTTTTAAATGAATATTATCGACAGTGTGGCTGCACTATATGTCCATATTATTGTACCGTTGTCCTCATAACCTATGACATCAGTGTGGTTTGGATATATAAAAGTATACTGGTTATGGAAACAATCAGGAACAAAAGTATGCTAAGATGGATTTCTCTTCTTAAAAGGAAGCAGTTGCTCTTTCATTTTCACGCACTGATGCGGCAAATTGTTTTGTTTGGTTTGCGAGTCTACAGGGTTAATTTAATTTGGCGTCTCATCCATAATCACCTGCATGGATTTAGGATGCCAGATTCACTACCAATAACATTATCTACATGTTTTTTCACTGATGGATTTTCACGTTAAGTATAGTAAATAACAAAGGAAGTGACTGGTACATCTTGCCAACAATGACATCATCTTGTTATGGCTGTAAGTAGTTACCGGTTTTGCAACTGCATATCTTGGAGCTGCTGGTTCCAGTGAAGCTGTGCCTCAGGGCTCAGAGGCTGGCTCGTGAGCTGAGAGATCTGGCTGGAGAAAGCTGCTACGAGCTGCTCTGTCACAAGTGTGCTGTTAATGTTGACTTGGTAGAAAGACTGCACGACCCTGACAATCCGGCCAGATGTGGCACTCACAGACTCCGGTCCGGTACCCATGTCCTGCACAGAGAACATATAGCAGATGTGGACTGTTAGTAGTGTGGCAGCTTCTCCTCTGTATCAACACTGCCACCAAGTGGTTGACGGTAAATTCACCCGCAGACTGTTAATTGTACTCAGATTATAATAATCCTTCTATTAAATTAGTTTGTTTGCATTTTCACTTTTCCATCTGCGTACTTACACTCATGTTCATGTGTGTGAAGACAGTCTGGTCTGCAGCATAGGCCTCAAAAAGCGGCTGCAGGCTGATATTGTACCAGGTGGCCATGGTGGAATGGCTTAACCCTGCCGCCTCTCTCACTGGCTCCCATGCCTTCAGAACTCCACTGCACTCCAATGTGCCATTAGACTAAGGGGGAAATGGTCAATAATTCATATTCGCTGTTCAGGAAAGTCCAATTTAAAAAAACTTGGCGAGGCAAAGGGTAAAGGGATGAGAGAAATGTTATGACCTCTTTTGTTTAAGCAGTTTACTGAGAAACAAAGAAAACACACTGCTTCTCAGACTGACATGCCGACTACACACCCACACAGGCTGTATACGCGCCGCGCACAATGAGTCTGCAAATCGCTGGGTCCGCTGCTCAAAGTTATTGGTTATTATGAAATTCATGATCAATTTAAATAAAGTTAAATATTCCGCAGAAATGCCTTTTTGTTGTTATTTTTGTTTGCCTGTTTTAAAAAAAAATGGTATAAGAAGTCCTTTTATCAGTGTCAAAGGATGAAGAAAAAATAATTTAAGTAACAAATGGCAGCAGTAATGGAGTTGACAGCCGTGTCCTGGTAATGTAATTCAAAGTGCAAACCAGCCAAGTCACATGCACGTGTTATCTGTGACCTGAAAGAACAACATTGTCTGTAAAAAGCCTTTGAGAAAAGGGTAAATAAAAGTCCAAATGGATGAAGGAAAAATAAATATTCTAAATAAAGACACACCCCATATACACAGTCAAGTGTTTGAGATCTATCAATACATTAAGGTGCGACGCCTAGATTAGAACTACTGTATTGTTGATTGCAATATAGCATAAAGGGTCATGCTCTCCATTCACCTCGCTCCCACGCAAACCTACCTACTGAAAAGAGCCAGCAAATGGCGGTGAAAAGAGACAAAGAGACAGAGCCACACAAAGGCAATTCCAGAAAGTAGCTGTCTAACCTGTTCGGCTGCCTGCACCGTGCCTTCAATGGCAAGCTGCATTCTTTCCGAGATCTCCGAAAAGTTAAAATTGCTGGAGTTCACAGACTGTGCAATTTTGCTGATCAAAGTCACCACAGGCATCTGAAGGCTTTGAATCATCCCTGGCAGGGAGGAAGGACACATTTTTACCAACACGAATAGCTTTACAATACAAACGTTAGATAAAGATCAGGAAATTGGTGCTTTGTATGGAATGTTACAGGTGACACTTATGAAGAGCTGCTTAGTAGGTATGTTTTATAGTGAGAAAAGTGTTTTGAAAGAAAACAATCCCCCCTTCAGTCAATGAGTCGTTTACATTATCCCGACAATAGCTTTGCTGTTCAGTATCATCCTCACCGTTCTGTGCTTGCATGCTGTTTACCAGACTACCTATGCTTTTCTCAAACAGCAAGATTGCAGATGGGACACCGTCCCATTGATCTGCTGCGTCGAGGGTTGACAGTAGGGCACGTAGTATCTCTTCAAGTCTGTGATAACACACGCGGGAATGGGTTTAGGGAAATCACAAAGCAACAAAACAGGGGTTTCTTTTATTAAATGAAAGATCTATATATCATTTCTATGACAAATACAAGTCACACAATTTAATAGCAACTTGTTGCCTAACAAACATCAAGTAATTACGCCTTTCGTATGTTTTTCATTATAGGTGGTAATTAAGCGCACTTTTGCCACGTGTCTTGGTCGGCCTTCCCAGTCATCAGTTGCTCCAGGACCGGAGCGAGATGTGCAAAGCCCGCCAGAGACGGAGCAGTTGAATTTGAGAGTTGCCCGCCTGTGCCGAGGTCCCAAAGCATGCTCAAGGTCTGACAGCAAAAAAAAGGATGAAAAATTAGGAGGGAAAAGAGTGAAAACCTTGTTAACACACATTTATTTTATCGTAGTCAATGCCCGACTCAACTACAGGAGTAATTACGATCTATTGAACTGGCTAATATTTCCAGTCGTAAAACAGAGGGCATTGACAAGTTGTATCTGCATTACATTTTTAATTTTATGTAATGTTTAACTACCTATGAAATGTTTAATTTGTATTTTAAACAAATGGAAAAACACTTGAAAGGAGAAAAAACAATATATAACATTTGTTTTGACACTTACCTTGTCAAAAATCATTGGCCAATTGTCTACTGAAGCATTCGCAAAATATGCCCACAGACTCGAGTTGCCTGCAATAAAAAGATATAATAAAACAAAGTGGATTTCAATGTCAAACACAGACAAATGATCTTCCGTGTAAAACTGGGAGAGAAGCGTCTTCTTCTGACAGACAATAAAAATATTGTGCTACTTTGACTGGCAAATCCTGGGCGTTTGAACAATGAAGTGAAAGATGAGACCTCCGCTCCATCAGAGCTCATCGGGATTCCACACCTACAGTGGGAGGGAAAAGCTGACTTGCCTTGGCCAGACTCCAGGATGAAGTGAGTGATGTCAATGAGCACGGAGACGTAGGCCTGGGATGTGCAGTTTGCCGGTAGAAGGCTATGGATGGTTTTCATCTCATCCAGAAGGCTAAAAAAAACAAAACACGTCAACATTTTGTTTGAGTCATGAAAAAGGTCATCACGTCAAATCCAATGTCGTCAAACGATTACAGGACTGCAAGCACTCAATGTTTCTCCCCCTGGTTGTTAATCATTTTCTCCACAGTGGGGCTACTTATATCATGAATTTATTTTAATTTCAAATGAAGATGGTCTGAGATTTTGGAGAATGATTTTTGATATATGAACCACACAGACAAATGTGCTCTTCTTGTCTACCGCTCAATGCTCCTTTAGAACATCAGCATGTACCAGATTTACCAACCCGCCCATCATTCATTCACAGCCTTTCCCCTGTCTTTGCTTCAATAGTCTTGTGTGGCATCGTTTACATTTGTAGAGCCAAGGGCGTGTATAAATACCAGATTTTTTTTTCTCAGAAAGAACATAGATAACTAGCAGACCGTGAGATTAAAAACTCAACCTTTACTTAGAACCGCAGAACTCAAAGCACCATGAATACCAAGAATGTTTCCCCGAAATGCTTCAAGCTGCTATGAACTGATTTTGCGGCCACTAAACATTGACATTTTATCCCCATGTGAAGTGGAGATGGCAAATTCAAAATAATAGTTTTGAGAATTGGGTTTTTGAGCAAAAACAGCTAACCGCAGCATAGATCGGTGCGAGTGAACGAATACTGTAACATCCCGACTAGCCGATAGAAGATAAAATGTGCAAAAATGCTCAGTAGAACTGTAGGTAACTGCAGTGAGGTGATACGTTTCCTCACCACATGTGACCACTTTTCATGGAAAGCATCAAGTTATAATTGCTTTGCCACAGCTCATTTGTATCAACACCTGCCGATGGGGGCTAATTTTTATATATTTTTAATTTGGACCAAAGTTTTAAGGAGAAAGCGGAATTACTCACAGATTCAAGCTGTCTGATCCATTGGCCACAGGGTTGCTCTCAAAATATGTGGCTGCTACTTTGATCCCAGAAAGCAAGTATTGAGCAAACACTTCGGGCACCGTTTGTTGGATGATGCTCTCCGCCCGCTTGAGGATGAGGAGGGTGATGTTACGCGATGAGATAAAACTTGCATCTGGTCGGACAATGAGCTGAAGTGAGTTCTGCACAACTTCCAGGAGGTCCTGCTGCACAGAGGGCGCCAGGGGGCTCGCGGCTGAGGTCAGGATCTGCATTGCATATTGGAAGGCCTCCGCGATGGCCTCAAGGAAGTGGTCACTCTGTAGGCCGGCTGGCTGCTCCGCCACCATTAAGGCATTGCTCAGGGACTTGGTGATGTTGCCAATGATGGAGAGGTAGGCCTGCTGATCATCTCCGAGAAGGGTGTCCGTCGTCCCCAGCAGGTGCTGGAGGTCTGTCACTGGGGTGGAGATATTTCTGCCTGGGACTCCCCATCCGAGCATACTACTGAAAATCGACTGGACATTTGGTTGTTTCATCCACTTCTCTATCAGGTCGAGGTATTGCTCAACTTGGAGCTCAGTGAGATCAAGAATGGTGTTGTTTTGATACAACTGGTTAGCGAGTGTAAGGTTATTCTCAGCCTTTAGGTTGCTCATTACGAGTCCAAACTGACGCCGGAGAATCGCCACGGTTGTCAGGCCAATTTTAATCACCCCTGCACCATCTATTGGGTACTGCAGGTCGTTGATCAAGAACTCCACCTGCTTACTTGCAAACAAATCAAAATCCGCCTGTGCCAGCTGTAACGCCACTTGCATTTGTGTGAGGTAGTAGAAGGGTGAGAGCAGCTCTGAGACCGAGCTCGCGCTGGTGATATTTTCCAGCCTTTTCAGGTACCATTCCACAATTTTTAGATATTCTTCCTGAGCATACAACGGGTTCATCGTGTTGTTCAAATTGTTAAATGGTTCTGTGTTGGCGACCAGTTGTAGGAGGCCCTCCACTACGGTGATTTCATTCATGATCTCTGGAGTGTACAGTTGGTTGAGCATGAGGTTCATCTTGATATTGGCCAGGGTGCTGTTCAGGGTGTGTGCGAGAGCCATGTTAGGATTGGAGCTGAAGTTAACTTGAACAACATCCCTGACAGTGTTATTGACAATCATCGGAATGAGGGAGAGGATGGCGGACTCATTACGGAGAGCGGGTAGGCGTGCGAGGAAGCTGCCGACGCCGCTTATCAGTCCCATAACACACTGCGCTGTCATCATGTGGTCTTGCTGTTGTTCGTAGCACTGGCTAACATTGCTCACCTCCATCACGTTGGTTATCAGGATGTTGACGTTGGCAGCTCCAGCTAATGCAGCGATGTCATTCAGCTCCTCAAGGGTGAGGTTTGCCTGCCTCAGAGCATTCTGAACATCGGACACAGTGACACTTGGTGTAGCCACGATCGATCTGATGAAATGAAGAATCTGCTTGAATGTTTGCACGCAGCCCTTATCGTTGGAGGAGAGCAGTGAAAAGAACGAGGATGTAACTTCGTCATATTGCCATCCCTCCAGGATCGAGTTCGTCACGGTTAAATTCAAGGTTACATTGCCGTTGGCCGAGAGCATCATGTCTAGGATCTGATCCAGTAATGCAAAGGTTTCTGAGATCCCAGCAGAGCAGTTTCCACCTGCTGCACATTCCGTCATCTGACTCTGCAGCGCTTTGAAATCCCGGAGAAGGCGAGAAGCCTCCCGTTGGACCTCAGTTGGTAGGAACGCAACAAATCTCTGAGCAATAACGGTCTGAGCAGCGTCTGGTCCCGCCTGAGACAAGTTCTGCAGGCCTTCTGGGCTCAAAAGGTTGAGAAAGTCCTTGGCAATCAGGTGGAGGTCAATGACTTGTGCAGGGCTGAGCTGCCCATTTGGTAACCGAACCTGTTGGATTTGTTGGAGCCTGAACAGGGACACCACACATTCCTGAAGCTGGCCTAAGTACCCAAGGATGATGGTAGTTGGGTCACCGTTTGGAGAGTCCATCACTTTCTTCAGTTGCTCCATGGCACTGAGGATGGCTTCTACAAGGCCTGCTGAGGTCTGGTTGGTGAAAGGCTGGATGGCTTCTCTGAGACGCGCCACTTTGTCGGGTGTGAAGTAGTTGGAATAGGTGAGCACAGTGTGTCCCATGATGTAGGAGAGAGACATGGTGAGGTTACCTTCCGAGGAGAAGAACTGCATCATCAACCGTTCAAGTTCGGGCATCGTTGGGTCCGTTTCATTGAAGGTAAAAACGTGCTGGTTGAGCCTGCCGATCTTTGAGGCAACGTCGAACACAGCAGAGACATTCAGGGGACCGTCGCTGAAGAGCAAAGGCAGCAGAGGCGTCAGACCCGTGGACTGTAACAGGTTACCGACGAGCGGACGCATGACGTCGAGGTTGGTGATGTTTTCGTCGGGGAGCATGGAGATCGTGTTGACAAAGCCATTCAGGTTTTGGACCAGATTTATCAGGTAGTCAGAGAGCGCGTCTCCTCCTTCGATTTCTTTCAAGTGTGATCCCGCCAAACGCAGATACACGTCACCGTACACATGCTGCAACAGATTCACTGTTCCTTTGAGACAACTACAGAGAAAAGAGATGGGTGGCAAAATGTCATAATTTTAGAAACGTCCATCGGTAAGTGGTAAAAAACAGTAACAATAAATAATACATCTTTTGTTATGTTGAATTCAGTGTTTGTGCAAAGAGGCTGTCCATTTCATTATGTTGCAAATCAGTTAATGGTAATCATTTAAATCAGTGTTAAAAAGAAGAACTTAAAACATAAGTGTTCATTTTTTAATAAAAATAACAGGATACTGATTTCACTTCACATCAGAGCCCTCAATACTAAGCTGCTCGTCTGGCCTTCCCAGTACCTCTAGAACTCACAAATAAACACATAGATGTGTGTATAATTATTAGCATTATTATCTATTTTTTCATTATAGTCATAAAAGATAGTATTCATTAACGAGTACACAAATACAAGCACTTACTTCACCAGGAGGTCTTCGTTTGACGACATCAGAGCCTGAGTCATTGCTTGAACAAACTGTGGCCATTCCAAACCAGTATTGCAATGAATGGTTGAGGATGTGATGTTAATGTAGCCTAAAGTGTAAGATAATCATACAAAGACATACTTAAATTGGTTGTGTTTCTTTCAAGTAATAACTTGGATTTGGGTGAATTTGTTTTGGCACAAAATTAACAAAATAATTAATAAATATGCGTAGATGTTTATTGCATGTTTCATTGAATTCGCCCATCAACATCCTCTCTTACTTAATGTACACCGGACCACAGAAATTTACAGAAATTGCTGTCATTGTTTACTAGAGAGACATTAATTCACAATTCATACCATCACTGAATCTTTTGGTTTTCAAAAAAAATACAAATAAAAAATAGGAACCCCCTTTTGAGTGCTTAAGAAAAATCTTTTATAGATCATGACAACAAAGAAATACAAGAAATGTGTACTAGCCTAAATATCCAGCTCCTTAATCTAATTGAATTTCGATAATAATATAAAATTCTGAATCTGATGAGCCCTCATATGCACAGATGAATACTTTCGATAGTTAAAGAAAAAAATGAATTGTCCTCACAGTTTGCTGGCGGGGTTGTGACGTCTGGCCTGTAGTTCAAAATCCAGTACAGCATGTGGAAATAGTCCTTTACCTCGGGCCACAGTGGAGTCTTCTCAATCCTCTCTCCCAAACTCACCATGAACCAGGGAACACTACATGCAAAGAAAAGCACACTGTTGAGTGAAATCATAACCAACCGCATAAAATATATTATATTAATTTCCACTATATTGACTGAAAATGGGTCATTCACCCAAGGGTTACACTGGAACAAAATGTAGTTTGACCTTAAACATTTTAACTTATAAGACAAAATAGACTAAATGCATGTCGTAACTCTGGAATGAAGGCCTGCAGGTCAATCAACCAATCAATCAGCATCATCAGCGTTTTCTTCAAAACCTTTGTTGAAGAGTCGATGTAACATCATGAGTGCTGTTGTTTGGCATCCAGTCCGTCCAGTATTTTCCCATCAGCCGCGTGGCCAGTTTGTTGGAATGCACGCCAAACTGCACGCTGTTATTGTAGATCTGGTGCCACTGGGAGAGAACCATGGGGAGTGTCACGTTGTAGTCTCCTTGGCCTAGCAGGGCACCATATACGCCCTGTACCTGTGGAAAAGGACCATTAGTGTTTCTCTTTAACATTATATGCTAATGTGTGTTCATGTAGAGGTCGGTCGTTACAGACTTTAATATTGACTATTTAAATAGATGTAGCATATTTTTACATTACAGACTTATTATTCATTCGTATTCACTCATACCGTCTCAACGAATGGCTGCCAGTCCGTTAGTAGCGCTTGCTGTAGAGCAGAGATGTTCTGACAGATCGCTGACCTCCACAACTCCATCGTTATGCTTTTAGTGTTGAAGAGCCACTCAAAGGGACCCAAGATATCCTCACATTTGAAAGGTTCAGAGGACATGATCTAGTAAAACAAACGCATAATGCACCAACCAATGAGTGTTTGTTAATTTAATTGTTTTCCACGTTGTTATCAAAAACCATGTCTATCCCGGAAATAAGCGTTTGCCATAATGAAAACCATGTCACATATCAGGTATTACAAAAGGCACAAATGCTTTCAGCGGCTCATTCGTGAAAGACTGTAATCATGGCAGACAGGTGTTCATTTTCACCAAGGGATTCTTACACAAGGTTTCATAATAAGCTTTCAACAAGCCTCTGTTGCTCAACGTGTACTTTACAAGACAAGAAGTGAGTCAGCATAGTTAACTACAGTTCAAAATGTAATTTAATTGTGTTGACCTGGTGCTTGTTTTTTTTGTTTTAGAATTTTTTTTCTTGTTTCAGAAAACAATGTACACCAATTCCATCTTAACTCACTTTAACACGAGCCATTTAACCCATTACCTACATTTTTCTAAGGTCAAGGTTTATTTTAATTATGAATCGGGTTTAAATCGGTCTTTAAATTTGTCTGATTACTTGTGCTACTACCAAAACCTTCCATCTACATCTTGCTGCCAACTAACACTCTTGCTAAGCTAGTTATGAAAACAAAGATTGCTAAGCTGTTATGAAACTACCATGCTTGAAACTACAAAATGTTGGAAGAAAGCATGGTCATTTCTTAACATATTTTATATGGAAATGTGGTCAATTGGAATATTACTAAAATACCTTTGGAATCATTTGGATAATTTCCACCACGCTGTCCACGACATGACCAGTCCAGACGTTTGCCTCAGACTGGTTTGTCAGCAATGTTCGAAAGGTTGTTTGGAGTTGATCAGCATCTCTCAGGACATTGGCGATCATTTCTGCAAACCAATGAGAGTTTTTAGAACACAAGACATAAAATAATAAAAATAATTGACTACAGCTACGTTCTGTGACGTGACAAAAAACATTTTAAGCTCAATTCGAGAACGAAATTCACCTTCAAAGTCGTTAAGGAACACACTTATCAGAGAATTTCTAAAGAGTTTTTTGTGCGTTTCCCTTTGTGTGTGCGTATCCAATTCCATTTAATAACTCCTCTTGTCCTAGTTAGGTTCTATTTTCTTTCAACAGTCCCCTGAGAAAGGGTGTAAACGTGTTCCACCACTGGGTCATATGTTATGCAAACACCAGGAAGAGAAAACAATGGTGAATATGGCAGCATGTGACACGCAAGTAATACTACACTGAACGTCCTGTGAATGTTCTGAATGTTCTGTGAACTTTTAGATTTTGTCTTTGTGCTCTTTAGTCGATATACACTTTGTTGAGATAGAAAAAAGGATTACTAGGAGTAACAAAGCGCTTTGATTGGTTTTAAAAATGCAATATGCTTCTTGCAAGCAGGATGGGTTGTAGCTTTACCTTCAACAGTATCAAGGGCCACTGTTGCTGACTTCATGGACAGAAAGCCCGTTCTGAGGATGCTCTGGACCACCACATCCAGCTCTGGCACCATTTGTATGATCTCAAGCACCACTTGACCAACCTCTAGAAACCTGCAAAAGCAAAAAGCCAGACTCAAAACACCATACAAACTGATCATATCAAAGTGGACCAAAGACTTCTGTATATTTATCTGCTATTTAGAACAATGTGAACAAGAGGAAGTAAAAAACAGGTTTGGCTAACTTGTGCACAAAGCAACGGGCGAGAGAGATAAAGAGACAACACAAGGTGGTTTCCCGTTTGTATTTAGGTATAAAAACTTTTTCCTGATACATCCGATAAAATACTTCTCAGCAATTTCCTAGAAGAAAGGCCAACTTAGTTGTTTCTTAAGAAAAAGAAAAATCCGGTTGAGTAATACACATTTAAGCTTCTTCAGAAAATCAAATCAGTTTCTCTAAACAAATGTAAATTTTTATATTTTACAGCATTCCAAAAGAAAATCTTCTTGTGCATTTACTTGCCATCTTACGTTTAATGAACAGTGCTGTACTTACAACTCCTCATCAACGCTTTGTGGTTGTGTATCTAAGCTACGCCGGGCCCTCGGCATGTTGCCTCCTTGTCCTCCTGGGGATCCCCCTCCCATCAAAGTCTGCAGCAGCTCTCTGGCGAAGGATACATCATGTGGAGCAACATCCTTACTCCATACCAAGAGAGCCTGGAATACAGATTAAACGTGGGAAGAGAATGCAGGCCGAGTAAGATTTGCAGAATCAAGACTTTTCCATTTTTTTGCAAAAAAGAATTCCGATTGCAGGGCGATGTCCGGCTGTCTGTTTGAGCGGGTTCACGTACTGACGACGTTGTTAGCTAACAAGTCCTGATTGGAAATTCTCTCATCAAAACACATCTAGCATAGTGGCGGTGCTAATTGCATGTCTTCGGGGCTTATTTTCCCCCCGAGGTGCGACCTGGGAGTTGCAGTTGCTTGTTGCTATGGGCCAGCAGCTTTCTCACGGCTCTCTGAGGGGAGGCGGCCCAGGAGAATGCAAATTACAGGCAAGGGCAGGATACACACAGGGTGCATGAGAGAAAGTACGAGTGAGACTTTAAGAAGGAAAATGCCCCCCCCCTCCCCGCACAAGCATCAAGAAGGTGACTCATTTTTGATATCTTGGATTCTCACTCTTGACGACGATAACGTTCACTTTGTTCTAACCTACCTGCTTGGCCACCTTATCGGGGCTGATCCAGTCCAGCAGCATGTCCACGGTCCCTGTACTGCACGCTCCTGCTAACCACAATGTCTTACTGCTGTTACTGCCACACAAGTGCATGAGCACAATGTCTCTGTCCAATAATAGGCCGACGGCCTAGAGAAGGGAAGAACATTACAGTAAATAAACTGTGGTCAAATTACTGACAAAGTAGTAACTCATTTATGAAAACAATTTGTAAAAATTGTGAATGATAACAATTTCCCAGAATGATTCTTTTAGGTAATAATTGTGAGTTCATCTTCGCTTTCCCGTGTATGTACATGTAATATAATGATTCTTTGGTCATTGCCTTTAAGGCCTATAATGTTAAGAACGGCGTGCCGTGTTATCATGTCTATTTCTTGATGATCGTCAACACGTACCTTGTCCAGCGGTATTTTGACCTCTTGCAGAATGCGTTTTACCATTTCACTTAGTGAGTCATTCTCCAACGTGACGATCTCTCCGAGAGAAATGGTGACATCTGAGCAGAATCAAATAACAATGTCAAATATTAAAATAATGGCACGCTAGCTCGATAGTTGACCGGCAACATTGCTCTGGTGTTCTCCAACAGGGAATCGTATATGACATTGTGTGTACACCAGGATTTCATACCTTTATTGTGATTTTAAGAAACTAATTTAAAAATGGTGGTTGAATATTTGGAATGCTCAGCACATCTGAGAGAAAGTCACCTTTGCCAGGCCAGTTTTGAACATAATGGATCAGGTTGAGGCCTCCAGCGAGGAGCGGATCCACTGCGGAAAGTGATGCATTGGCTTCAGGGATAACGCTCCGGATGATATGCAAGGAGCTAGAGAGAAGAAGAAAAACATTTAGGGCCTAAAATAGAATGTGCAACAAACATTTAACAGAACAGTGACTTTTCTGTACCATGTGTCCAGTATTTCTAACCTAGAATCTGCCAAAGCAGAATGTAGAGTTTGGGGTTTCCTGCGTTTCACATAAATGTTCTCTTGCAGCTCTTAAAAATCCAGTGATTCACTTCACGTAGTCACTTATTAACTTACTGTTAACTTACTAATAATAAAGTAGTTTAAAGCTGTTTAAATGAGCCGGAGGACTATATACAGTACAATGTGCCGGCGCCTTTATCAAATATTTACTAGAGCAAACTTTTACTATTCTCATCGGATGTTTTTATTCTTACGCTTATTAAATAAATAAAAACCTTTACAGAGCTTCCCTTCATTCATTCATTTTTCGAACGTCTCCACCATTGAGAGTACATCACCTCTTTATGCTGCTGAGCAGGGCCTCCGCGCCGGCCAGCCCGCTCTCGTCTGAACCGGAGGAGAAGAGCTGGGGAACGGCCAGAAGGTTCTCCCACAGTGAGTTCTGGTTTTGCAGCCCATCGAAGACCAACACCGCAGCCGCGGCCACCGTCGCCATCTCATCTGGTTTTGTCAGCAGCAGATCCGTCAGTTTCTGACAAGAGGAGGTGATTTTAAGAGTCAACCCAACAAACGGGACTGCAGAAATTAAAAGTTTAAACTTGGCGTCATTCCACAGCTGATACGTGTATGCAAGCAGACGGAAACACCCACCTGGTTGAGTGCTTTGATGGAGACCTCTAACACGGTGTTGTTGGATTTGCAGAAAGTGACCGCGGCGTAGGAGAGGGGGTCCGGTGATGACGTCGCGTTTATCATGGGCAGTGCTACTTTGCAGATGGCGCTCTTCAACAGGTATACTGACCCCAGCATTTTGTCCATGGCCTCCTAGATGACAGTTGTGCGCAGCACGACGGAAATCGTTAAGAGAAGGTGAATCCGTACAATTTTATAAGATTACAACACCAGTTGCGATGTGGCTGCAAATCACCAGTATCCACTGTGGCAATGAACTGTTGAACGAATTACTCTACCTTGTACCATACGAACACTACGGTTCACTTTTGAAATCATTCTACTTACTGATTTTAGCGAAATTGTGACACTTTCAGAATATTTATCGGATACTGCATCTGTAACAAACTATTCGACAGCATAATGTCCTTTCGCAGAGAAAGTTGAAAATTATAAAACTTAAATCAAGTCTTTCCACAGCGCCACTCGTGAAAGCAGACAAAATAAAAGGGTAATTCTTTTGTCACAGAATACTAATGATATTTGTTTTCTTTTAACAACAAGCAGTTCGAAAGAGACCAAACAAAGATGCAGTTTTATGCACTTGATTGAGTAAACAGGCCGATCCTTATTGTCAACAGTTTTCTTCTCTCCATTACAAACCCCACCTGATTTCCAGGGAAAGTGACATTCATGGCGTTCATGAAAGAGGCATTATAGGATCTTCCTTGGTTAGCTGGACCTTTAATACAAGAACACAAGGTTGAAAAACGTTAAAGTAATACCCAACATCAGCTAACAATGCAAACATGAGAATGGATTGGAGTAAACAAAGTCCAACTTTGGGGAGCCGGTGTCAAGATAAGGGTGGTTCTTAAAATAGTTCAACATTTGCTTTGTACCAGACTTTGAAGAACAGCCTCTAACCCCTCCCATATATGTCCTTCAATTTTGAAGCTAGCAGGAGGCAGTTAGCTTAGCTTAGCATAAAGACAGCTAGCTTCACTTTGTTTCCAAGGCGGAACTATCAAAAAACGCTTTACCCCGGTTTCTAGTCTTTATGATTCTCCTTTGTATAATGGCTCCAGCATCCTATTGAACATATCGGGACGTTAAATACCACTTCTCCTGTTTGTTTCATTATATTGAAGCGGATCTAAACGTTTTGGCATTCTGAGAACATGAAATCGTTATTTGGGCATCGTACACGGAAAGAAGAAGTGTGAGTGAGAACAGCATACCCAAAAGGTTCTTCAAGGCCTTAATCAATGCGGCGGGATCATTTCTGGAGTCTTTGGGGAAGGCGAAGTTCAAGAAATCGGCCTCCTGCATCAGTGGGGATGACCTGTAACAAAATAGTCAAAGGGACTAGAGGAGGGCTCATTTAAAAGGCTCAACCAAGTACAATATGCTATTTCAAACAGCATTCTCTCTTCAGGGATTTTTCCATAGACGATGGGTGGGGTGGACATTTGCTTAATCCATCATTCATCAGTAGGTTCAGGGTCAAACAAACTTATCTGACACAACCTTTTAAGTGTCAGAAGTGCATATTTCAGTGACAGCACATCATCTTAAGAATCAAAAGTAGAGAAAACAGTTCTTCACAGAACGAGTCGCTAATACAACAAAGACAACAGGTTTCCATGGTTCAAGCTGCCTGTCGTTCCCTTAGATTTAACTCCTACAGGTGTCTACAGATTTGTTTTAAAGAAATAAATCTCAACGGTTGTCTACTACTTTATAGAATCTAAAAGAAAATATTACCGATTATAAATAAAATTAGATTCAGTTTTTTGCCTCGTATTCCTCTAGAGGAGAATGAAACTCACTAATCCTCTCATGGGATTCTGCTACGGTGACAAATGTCCCTCCTGATTCAATAGCCTTCTGCACACCCTTTTCATCATATGACACCAATAGAGACACTAGAAACATTCACAATGTTCAAGATGCGGACGTATAATCCCGCACCATGAATATTATGAATTTCAAAGCACAGGCCCGATCACAGATCACATTTCTACGGTGGCCCTGAAGTGCAAAACACAACGGCAAATAGGAAAACACAAAGAAATTAACTCCTTACGGAAAGGGTAGGGCCTTACAGCAGAGGACGGACCCTTCTGATTGGACGGACGGACTGTCTGTCTTTTAACAGGAAATGATACAGGGCTCTCAAGTGTCACGCACTGAGCGAGACAGTCACGCACTCCCGCCACGCATCCAATTCCTCACGACAAGGAATCGGACTCCGGTCCACCGGCCGTAGCGTCCGCGGCACTCCCCCCCCCTTTTATTTACAACACCTTAATATAATTGGAGAACAAAACACTGGTAAAACAATGGTGAAACACTAGTAGGACATTTTTAAGAGACTCGTAAAACATCGACATCTCTCCGTGACTTTCTGCTACGGCTCTGCTGCTGCGTCACTTCCCCCCCACATCACAGGCTCTCAGTCCCGCCACTGATTTATTGATTGACAGAATATCTAGAAAGCGGCATTTCTCAGCTTTCAGAATCCGATTGTGCAAATAGTTAAGGAGTCACGGTAATTTGAATCCTCCATGTCACTTTCCGTCGCCGGCGAAAGGCTTCGAATTAAGAAGACAGACAGTCCGTCTGTCCAATCGGAAGGGTCCGTCCTCTGCTTCCTGCTATAAGGCCCTACCCTTTCCGTAAGAAGTTAATGCCGTTGTGTTTTCCTATTTGCCGTTGTGTTTTGCACTTCAGGGCCACCGTACATTTCCCTGTGTGGACAGCCTAATGAAAGTACCTGGTTTCACGTAAGGGGGCCCTCGCGGCCCTTGATGCAGCCTGGTCCTCAAGGCTCGTGTTTTGACAGTTGCTGTCTGTGTTGCACATGAGCGTCTGCAGGAAAGGGAAGACGCCCGCGCTGGGCAGGTTTCGGGGTCTCACAAAACCTGAAGGAGACAATAGTAAAGTTATTGTTGTGAGGAGGACGCTTGAAAACACAACTTCCATTATGAATTGTTTCAAAATACCAAACCGTGGTCCTAATTATTTGCAGTTGGCAAACAAAAGTATGTCATCTTAACTATAGTCAAGACATTAATACCAGAAATGAGTACATTAATTGTGTTGCACTAAATGAAAGGGATATCAGACATTAAGTATGAATGTGCAACCTATTTGATTAAGAAGCCGAGTGGTTAGGGAAAGGCTTGTGTTGTTTTTTCTAAACCAAGTGGATTCAGTCTCAGCCCCTCCCTCTACAATCAAATACTCAACGCTCATTCTTTCTTGTGGATCGTGACACAAAAGGTATGAATATGTGTTTAAGGCTCCCTCCATAACCACTTTTACCCACATACATTGCATTTCAATGAGTCAACTCCATTTAACAGAGGCGTACAAACACAGTGCGAGCGTGGGCTCTGATCTGAGGAACTATTCATGTGTCAGTTGGAAATTCTATTCGTATACTCGGATTTTTGAAAAGGGAATACCCGAATGCTTGGCTGCATTCCTTTACGATGTATGCATATTGCGTTAATGCAAACTTTAAAGGGTTTTTTTTCAGATTTTGCTTTCCTATCAATGAAAAGAAAGTGAGCCTTAGACGTCTTTAACGATCTGATTAAATTTTAAATCAGTAACATCGTTACATTGTAGGGCAGCTTAATGGCTAACGTATTAAACGTATTTAAAGTAGTTGCTTATATATTTATTCTGTTGGTTGCAGTTTACAAAGCATCGTCAAATTTCAATCGATTGCATTATAGAAAGACTTTTGAAATATTGTCACGAACAAAACTATAAAATATTAAAAACCAGCATTTTCTGTGCTGTTTTACACTTACATGTATCTTTTTGTACTGGAGGGAAGCTTTTGCGGGCCACAGCAATGATGATGAAGATGACCAGAGGCCATAAAAGCAGAGTCACCGACCATAACTACAACACAGGATATCATGAAACAATTATCATGAATTAATAAAGAGTGTGTAAATATAATATATATGTATATTTTGAGCATCTTATTGTTCAATATATCCTAAATATGGAGGGTCATGTCAGTACAGGGGCTGATATTTATGTAATATATTTATTCTATGCACCATTCTATATGGAAATATAATTATATTATTATTATTATCACACGTAAATGTCACTCACTGGCTGCCTGATGACCCCAAGCCAATTCTTCCAGAGAAGGAGTTTCAGTTGCCGGAAGAAAGCCATCAGTAGAGGATTTTGTCTGAAATGAAGACAAAATATTTAAGAAGGATCACTTGCGAAGTGGTTCCATCACATAACGCGCATCAGATTGTTATTAAAGCCACCATGTTTATGATGTCTTGTAGGTACTCGAAGGAATACAAAATAAAAGAAATTTCCGGGAAAGTTAATCTGCTGTCAGATGTCATCGATAGCCGAACTGAGTAAAAGTACAACGGAAGTACAACGGAACAGACCTGTAATACGAGGTATTTGTCTTTGTATTTAGGGTAACTACCGTTTCTTTTACTTGATTCTTTTTTTCAGTATTCTATTATCCACATATAAGAGATGGAGATCTACAGTTATAACAGACATGTGAATTAACATAAGAAATGTACTTTATTAATTACGGACATGAATTGTAGTTATTCGAGTCGCTTAATTCGAGTTCGCTTAATTCAAGTTTAGTAGTTTATTTATTTTTTTAAATGATTATAAAACCATTTATCCTACCTGGCGGCGTCCCTCCCGACAATTGGTGAATCGATTTGTTATCTGACAGTGGCTCGAAGGCTGAGAAAGGACATGGCGAGGTGGCCCCTAGCAGGACGCCCTCTCCATCGACGTCGGTCGCTAGACTTAATTAAAAAAAATAAAAATAAAATAAAAACAAAGATTCAATTCCCGCACACGAACAATTAAAAACAGAACAACTCCGGAGACACACGCGACCGACAGCTCTCTGTTCCGTGTCTCGCGCCTGTTGATGCCAAAACACCTGCGAGGGGGAAGTTAAATGTGCGGTGAAGGGCGTGTGCTCCACGCAGGGGAGGAGGAGGAGGGGGGGGAGGGGGCGGGCACACCTCGTGACGACGGCAGGCCTGCACATAAAAACCTCCAGGTACAGGTACAGTGTTCGGCTGATGTCGAACACTGTACCTGGCAGCAACGGTGGGAGTGAATTCAAGGAAAGGGCACCAAGCTTCACGTTACAAAGCAAATTACCCAGGGGTCTATAATGTTGTTCAGGATCAGTAATCAGGAATCAGGAAACATTTATTGCCAAAATATGTCAAACATACAAGGAAATTGTCTTGGCGGTTGGTGCGTAACAGTAGACAGTGCAACAGTGTTGCAGAAGGTTTAAACAAATTTAAAAATCTAAATGGATACATTTAAACACAACTACAGAAGATGGGTCAAGAATTCAGAGGGGAAAAAACTGCTCTTTCTGCCACACAAATGTAATTTAGCTGAAGCGAAAGTTATTTTCTCCTACCCCGTTTAACACATACCCCGTGTGACTTCATAAATACCACTGTTTTCTACCGATACTGCTGAATGACACGACATTTTCCATTTACAGTGGAACCTGAACTAGGAGACGCAACTGTGACTTAAGTCTCTGAACTCCTTTTACAATAGTACCATAAAGTAAAGTAGATCTGTTACCATTAGCACGCTATATGCAGAACAATAGAGGTTTTAGGGTTGGTCCAAATGAGTTTGACACTTGACACTGTTGTAACAAGCATCAATGAAGATTGCATTAACAAGGTTGTTCTACTGGTTGAATGGAATGGGTGAGTTGCTGGTACTAAACCGTGTGAAACACTGACACAGGGGAATAGAATGGACTATAGGAGAGCATAACAGATTATGTAAAAGGATGACTACTAAACCATATGGAGTGGTTTAAGAAATCTCTGATAATGTGCTCAATGACTATATCTTAATATTAAATCCGGGGTTGGAGTTATGTAAAAGGTTCATGTTTGTAAACTGCCTTGAGCACACTCGTATTTGGTATCTGACCTCTTTAAGACACTGTTATATTTGCATGATAAACACACCTCCATTGCTGGGAATTATACATTTCATACATATTTTAATGACAGAGATATAAATCATCCCAATCTATTCAAATGGTCTTGTGACTTTTCTCTCATTCTTTAAAAGTGCTCTTTGGTGAAGTTTCCACATAATTCCTAAATTTCAGATGTTGACTAAATTTGGTTGGGATTAAGAAAGATGTACAAAAATATAATAGCAAACAGAATTGGTATTCTGCGTTCTATTCTGCTAAAGCTGTTTTATTCAACATCAAAACAACTACTGTACAAAGAAAGTCCTGAGACAACGGCACATGCCACACAGATTTTAATCAAAATCCAGGCATCTGCAGAAATGAAAAAAAAAAAAAAAAGTGTCATCCATAAATCACAGGGGTTGCTTTGTGGCTTCTCAAATCCTTTCAAACAATAACACTATTATGGTCAATCTCACATACAATAACAATGGGCTGACTTGATATTGTTATTTACAGTATCCATCATATTTCCTATTTTCCCAAAACCATAATATTGTAGTGTAGTTGAACAAAACTATTCTCAATACTGGTACAACATACAAGTATGAAACACAAACACAGATACGTTGGAAGCACAAGTATAATGTGGACTGGTAATTGCCTGCTTTTTTATTTGTATCTTCAACCATTGGTGACACTATTGCTTAGTGTTTTAGTAAACCGACCTACTTGATTTGTGTATATTGTGCAAAGGCACGGGGACACATATGCAAGTGCACAAGAGGGAGGTGACGTGCTTAAAAAGACTGAACAAAACTGCGAGCAAACGAAAATAAAAACATTAAATGGATTTAAAGTACCTAGAAAATAAGCTTTGGGCATGACCTCTGAAAGCTCCTTTATACTCATGTGGTGTCATCTTTGATAAACCAAATTGTATATTAAAAAAAGAAGACGCAGTGCTGGTTTCCAAATTCAGAGCAAATCTAATGTGCTAATCTAATCTGAATGAGCACAGTGATGGCAATGTGATAACTTCTAGTCTGGTTTGAGAACACAAACATGCACGTCAGGCCAAACTGGCTATATAAAAAAAAGCACAGAGAAGCTCGGGATGAACTCCTTTAAATACCTGCTGAGTAACCCATAACGTCACTTTCAATGTTTAGATGCTTAGATGTTTGGATTAGAACATCTTCTAATATCCCACAAATTATATTAAAATGAGAATACTGGAATACAACATTTTTTTACAGCAGTCATTATACAACACTTTCTCATCATAGTGCTGATAATAAATATATTTTGTAAAACACCAGGCTGTCATGAAGGATCCACATTCAACCCCAAAAACACTTCATTGAATGTTGCAGTCTTGAGGTTGAGGCTGGTTGATTGCACAACTCTGACACCTCAAAAAGTGAAAAAATACACCATAAAACAGTTCAAATATGTTGTATATCCCATACAAATATAAGTCACTTTTAACACTGTGTTTGGCACTTGTGTGTGTCAGGAAAGTAATTCAACACATCAAAACACTATTTTCCAGTGTGTGGGTTGTTCACAATCTTTTTCCGTGTCCCCACAGAAACGATTGTATGTAGCTTTGGGGTCAAAACCCAAGATCTCCCTCTCTTCATGGATCCGAAAAGAGAAGGTGGACACTGACGTTCCTATGAAGAACCTGAAATAAATAAGTGAAGAAATTTAAAAAAGCGAAACTGTGATGCAAGAGACGTGAACCGTGGAGGAACAAGTGAGCATAACACCGGTTTTCACAGAATGTCACGGAGCAGCATAGTTTCCATGGGTAGGTACACTAATGACAAAGCTGTGAGTTATTTGGTGTTGCCTTTCTAATAAGCCACGGGGTAAAAGACGATGAGTATTCACAATAGTGACTTAATTAAGATAACATTAATCAATAACAGAACATTCCAGTGAGGTAAATCATACAGCAGAATTTCGGCACTGTGGTGATTTTAGCTAAATGCTAACATCAGCCTGCCAGCCTGGTGTCTGTCTTAGTTTATTGTGTATTATTGTTAACATATCTTACTTAGTATCAAAGAAAAGGTAGATCTGAGTGTTAGTTTTTTCAGGTATTTTGTCAAAAGCAAAGCACTGGACAGATGTATTTTAATCTGATGATTGTATTAGATGAGTCTGGAGTTTAGCGAGTGGCCACCGGCAACTGACAAATAAAATGTCATGTTAATCAAAATTCAAAAGTCATGTTAACCATCATGTAATAAATGCATGTTAAAAACGATGCCGACTAACTTACCTCGCATGGGCACATATCCATTGGTCAATGATGGCCACGCCTCCATCTTTCAAGAGCTCCAGGTCCTCTCTGGAAGGCTCAAACCGCACCATGTCTGGCAACAACCCCTTCAGCTCCCTCAATTCTACAAAATGGTATTGATTAAACTGGGTGTAGAAGCATTTATTGTGACTATAATTGTATTGTACATGTTACAAATACTTATTGATAGTATTTCTAATAATAGGTTGTCTTATTACAGTATTATTGTGATTGTAATACACATAATTATTTGGTTATTGTGTCCCTGTTTTAAATCAAAAAACCTTTCCCCTAATTAAATGAAGAAAAAAAACAATATAAAAAAGACATTTAAATGAACATTAAATGGTAAGTTGTCTCCGAATGTCATTACCTTCCTCATCTGCATCTGTCGCAACAAACACAGTGTCGAGTTTATGCTTCTTCATCAAGCTGCGCATTTTTTTCACTGCCCCCTTAAGGCTTGGTACATCTTCTCTGTGACCCCAGATGAAGTCTTTCCTGCGTAGGTGGACTCCCAGATATGGGCCACCTTTAGCTGATCCTAGCTTGGCCTGAGGAGAGAATAAAGACACAACAGACCCATGTTTACTTACGGCTTAAAATGTCCAAAATCACCAAAAAGGCTGAAATTTCTCATTTCAGAATTAGCAGATCGCAATATTTATCAATAAAAATTGTCAAGAAGTACCCACTCAAACAGCAAACACAAATAAACCAAAGAGAAGTAAATTGTGTGATTGTGCGATCTGGTTACATTTTAGTCAAATACCTAAGAGCCAGGTCTTTAATCACACTCATATATTTCACTGTGCCACAGTCTCATTTCCACCTGTATATATGTATGCCACACTCCGGTAAGATGACTCACCTTCATGCGGGTCCAGTCCTCACTGTAAATGGTATGGTCTCTGTCATCTGTAGAGTTCAGGTACTTTTCTCTGAACCCATCTCCAATAAGTCTCAGGTGCTTGGCAAAAACCATGCTGCGACGGGTCTACATTAAACAAAGACAGTAGCAAAGATATGCCATCTAATACCGGCACCAACATCACTAAACAGGTGTGATACTAGCCCGTTGACTTACATCCCAGTAATCCTTTCCGGCGTAGTGATCATGGAGAAGCGTCTCTGCTCGGTCAAGCATAACGGATCTACAAGAAATCACAGTAAAAAAACACAACTCTTATCCATGACAGGGTCATCTAGATCTATGAGAAGTTCAAGGTGTGAGCACTGCCGCACCTAGAGAACTCTGGCTCTGCTGTCTTTTTGAGGACGTAAGCTTGATACGCTGGTGGGTTCAGATTGATGAGGTTAGTAGCTCCAGATTACATTTCATTTCACTAGCGAAAAAACAGCAGGTCTCGATAAAGACGGAAACCAATTGTAGGTTTTTGTAAAAGCAGGTGCTTGTTCTAATGCTATAATTCAAGACAAAAAAAGCAAGTAAGGTTTTAATGATATTTATCAATCACAGAACAAACAACAAAAGGTGAATTTAGACAAATCCCCAAAAGACACATTTTACACTGTTCATGTGTGTGTTAATCATGCATTTTATATCAACATGTTGCTCTATAGACTCACGTCACTGTAATGTTTTTCTGAAGGACCGGGGCCATGATCGAGGCGTGGCCTTGGGCTGATATGCACGTTACGTTTCGAGCTCTTGTCTCCTCGTAGCCCCAAAACCAGCCCCTTGGATACGCAACAAGAACAATGCAAACAGTTGGTGATGGATGGAGAGGAGTGCGAAAAAAGATAATATTATTCATACAAAAAAAAAGAGCAAATTAAAGTGAATCACTCCCAGAGGGTCCACAAAGTTATTCTATTTACAAATACTTTCTCTAGACTCAATCTATAAGAATGTCCCATACTACATCGCATTGCTACTGTAAATTAGTGAGATAAATTGTGTTACAGTGTTTTAATTTTAATAATAAATAAAAAAAACTAAATAAATCTTGTTGCATTTACCTGTAGTAACCCTGTTTATCTTTGGAGTACATCAACTTGTCAACACACGGCCGCTCATCAACCTTTTCCTCCCATTTCCCATCGGTCCATCCCTCCGCATAGTTTTGCAGTACCAGAACCTGGTCTATAAATGGGCCTCCGTTTTCTACATTAAAGGGAGGGAAGAAAGGAAGCATACTGACTTTGAGGTCATTAAAAAGTGGTGTATGTGCATTGTAAAGAATAAACAATATTTATTGAAAAAGTAAATTACAGTTATTATAGAAAAAAATACATAGAAATGGCGAGGTTTCAACTGTAAATTTGTGCCCCCAAGCTCACCCGCAATGAATTCCTCATACTCAATGACAGGCACATTGGCCTGCAGGCTGGTGAGGCTGAAGAACTCCCCCCACGGGATGTGAACCTGGTGGACATTGGGACTCTGCCAGTGATAGAGACGACCCCATGGCGGCAGAACCAACACCCAGTCATCCCCCTCCTTCCTCAAAGTCTTCACCATGGAGGCCATGCGGATGTAGACATCCCTCCGCAGATTGAAACCCTCCGGGGGGTTTACATCATACAAAAGGTACCTGAGATCACAGACGATACACCAGGGGTTTTTAAAAGGTTTTGGAGGAATACGTCAATCAAGCTCCCTGGTCAGAGAACCCGAGCATAAAGGCTGTGAAACCTACCACATAAACCTGGATCCAATTTATAATGGATCATGATAAACAACATAACAAAGGACTATATTTGTCATAGCTGATACTTTATCCATCCATCCATTGTCAAACCGCTTATCCTGCACACAGGGTCGCGGGGGGGCTGGAGTCCATCCCAGCCAACTTCGGGCGATAGACAGGGTACATCCTGGATTGGTCGCCAGCCAATCGCAGGGCTAACACAGAGACATACAACCATTCACACTCACATTCACACATCTACAGGCAATTTAAAGTCCCCAATTAACCTGATCCCCAGAGCATGTCTTTGGACTGTGGGAGGAAGCCGGAGAACCCGGAGAGAACCCACGCAGACACGGGGAGAACATGCAGACTCCACACAGAAAGGCCACTGGGTGGAATCGAACCCAGGACCTTCTTGCTGTGAGGCAACAGTGCTAACTACCACGCCACCGTGCCGCAGCTGATACTTTACATTTTTTATATTTTTAAATATCTAGGGAGTATGTGGTCCCTGATGAATAATGCAACAACTCCACAAAAAATAGTGCCAAGACAAAATAGGCTATACGGAGATGTCAAAGACGAGGAGATGTATTGTAAATGTTTAAATTATTGGTGTGTTTTTTTTCTGCACACCGAAAAACAGAAATTCTGTTTTTTATAAATAACCATTTATACGCTGAAATTGAACACTACACTACACTATAGGGTCTTGCCAATTGTAGTACGATATAGTTTTACTCAAAGTGTGTTTCTAATACGGAAGAATCCCTTTAACTGACTTCTTTTTGAAAGGAGTCAGGTGACGTCGCACCTCTTTGCACCGCTTTACGGCAGCGTGGCTTTTCTAGCTAGCGGCTAAGTTAAATGGGATGGAGAAGACATTCCTTGACGGGAGTACCTGCGTGGCCTGAGTTAAAGCTGTAACGTACAAACGGAGACCACCATTCCAACAGTTAGCATGAGGTCATTTCGCTAGCTAACAGCGACGTGAAAACTCACCGTAGATCCCTCGCGGCAGCGACGGGCGCTGTAGCCGCGCGGCTTGCGCTGAACGCGTTGTCGGCGTTTACTGTTTCAAGAGCTGCAAACGCGACCAAAATCGAACTACAAAATGCAGTGAACGAATAGATTGAAGCGATGCACACGTCTGGCGTGTGCACTGCCCCGTGCGCCATATTTCCTCAGAGCCACGCACTTCCGGAAGGGTCGCGTAGCGTCTGTCTAGTTGCCCAGCAACCAGAAGGAACAGGCTCGCTGAAAAAAATGTAATAGCCAACATACTTAAATCCATGAGAAACAAACCCGGAACCTAGATTTTCACGTGTTTATTATTATAAGAAAACATCAAGGGACTAGCCTTTCATATAGACGGCATTATGACACGTCACAGCAGCAGCTTTGGTTTTAGGGTCCTATGCTGGCTGGTCGCCATCAAATGGGTCCACAAAAACAATGATCCTATTTGACCTGACTTTCAAAAGGACACAGATCGGGATGGTGAAGTTTCAAGACTGCTCCTTAGACGTGATCCCGACAACGTCCCTGAGAACCCGTCACTGGATGTTGTCCTGATCATACGTCACTCCCAGTTGTCTTCTGGCCTCATCCATCATTTCTGCCAATATGCTGGAGTGAGCCCACGGCATTCCTGGACTCTCCTTTAGCCCTGGGGAACAAGCAATCACAAATAAGAAGCCACATATTTTCATTTTTTTCACTGGTGAAATAGATCTAATAAATAAATAGGATCAAATAAATCAAAATCAAATCAATTGTAAATACTATAGCTGGTCTTTTTTCATGCATTAAAGCAGCTCACCTTGCAGCAGACAGTGGCGCACCTCATCGGCTTCATACCGTAGCCCGGTGCTGTTGGTGAAGTTTAGTGGCATGCCGGGCTCTGGGAGGGGGAACAGCGTCCCCTTCCCATTCACTTCCAAGGTTGTAGGGCACCACATATGGTCAGGTACCTGATGTTGAAATATATATATGGTTAGGTACCTGATGTTGAAATCAATATCACCCATTCAATGGATAAATATGTATTCATTCATCTGTTTATTTATTAGATTAGATTCAACTTATTCATTCAACTACTGTCATTTTCACAGAGTACAGGTGCTGAGACAACAAAATGCAGTTTGTCATCCAACAGGAGAGCAGATAAAGTGCAGAGTATATATAAATAAATCTATAGTGTGACATATACATGGAGCAGTATATACGTTAAGCAGCAGGGTTGTAAATATGAATGACAAGGTAGTGCAAATGTAGGATAACTGTGCAAATACAGCAGCATTGAAGTGCAGAATGCTCAGTAGCTGGACGGTCATGTGTCAATGGGAGAGGTGTAGGGGGGGACTAGGGTCTGTCACCGTGGTGCAGAGTTCAGCAGGGTGACAACAGCAGCTGTTCCTGAACCTGCTGGTCCGGGAACGGAGGCCCCTGCCTCCTAGAGGGCAGGAGGGCAAACAGTCCCTGTGGGACACCGGTGTTAAGGATGAAGGTTGAGGAGGTGATGTTCTCTAATCTGACAGATTGGAGTCAGATTTGTTTGTTACTTTGCTTGGATTCTGTATTTTTATTGTGGAGCATTTCATAAATTCAAATCAGCCTCAGAAAAAAAGCTATTTTCCTATGTCAATACTATACTTCACCTGGGTTTAACAGGTTTAAGGGGGAATTTAAACGCACATACAGAGGCACGATTCATAAGATTGTCTTGTGAAGACAATCAGCTTTATAGGTTGCAAAACTCTTTAGGACAAAACTGTATTAAAAGAATAGTTGTGTGGTATAAATATTTTGCTCTAGTTCAAGTAAAATAGTATTAAGTGTGGTATTTTCTTCGGTCCAGAGAGGTTTCTACTTTTCTTACCACCAGCCGTTACCTTAATCGTGCCTTTGGTCCCAGTGATAACCGCATCACAAGTCAGCATCATGGTGATCGAACACGTGCAAATGGCCAGTCTGTTTCCGGAGAACTTAAGGACCAAAACCGCTGTTCCATCAACACCTGCCCCAAAGAGGAAGAAAGATAAATAAATGTGTACATAAAAAAACGTCCAGATTTATATTAGAGTAGGTATCAGGGCCCTGGTTGAAGATTCTAGAAAATATAGCATGGAAAACAGACTTCTTTTAGACTATTACCTGTGTCTATGCAATGGCCCGTGGCTTGGATGGACTTGGGCTTCTCTCCATTGAAAACCATCAGTACAAACTGCAGACAGTAGATGCCCAGGTCCAGCAGTGCGCCTCCTCCCAGCTTCCTCTCAGCCAAGCGAGGAATGTGGGTAAGTGGAGCCCCCAGATCAGCCCTCACCATCTGAACATCACCCAGCTCCCTCTGGGCTAGAAGTCTCCTCACTTCTCGAGATACGGGAAAGAATCGTGTCCAAACTGCCTAAAACCAAGAGATGGAATGGTTCAAACAGGTACATGTCCCTTTGGTTTTAAAAACATATATATTTGGTCACCTCCATGAGAAAGACTGTGTTTTCTTCAGCTGTAGCAATGAGTTCCTGCACCTCCCTTGAATTCATGGCCAGAGGCTTCTCAATGAGCACATTCTTATTGGACTTCATGAAAAGTTTGCCAGTAGTCAGGTGATGAGGGTGGATGTTGCCAATGTACACCACATCTAAAGAGAAGGGATAGACAGAATAGTGTGTAGAAACATTACTAATGCTTAATTCAAAATGTAATGTAGAATCCACCAATAGTATTTGATTGCATGTAGACCGTTATGGAAAAAGGGGCAGAAGAACCCACCGATGTCTGGATCTTTTGCCAACTCATCATAACTGCCATATGTTCGAGGGATATTGTGCTTTTTGGCAAATTCTTTGGCATGGTGCAGGTCCCTTGCTGCGACAGCCAATATCTGAGGAACAACACAGTTTTAGTAATTGTGGGATATTAGAAACAAATATACGACCCGGTTCATAAAATTCATAAAAATGCATATAGTGTACACCAGAATACAGCCATGATTCTGAATTCTGATTCTGATGTACAGTTATGATTGTATTTGATGTAATGTAATCAACTGGAATGCATGCATGTAATACTTGCGCAACAACTGATATTAACTAAGGGCCATTCGAAATCCGAGTTACATTGAATTCACGAGAAGACCACTCCCAGAGGTGTGGACACGAACTTTCTCACTTTTAAGCATTGTTATAAATACCTGTAGGAACCATTGTTCTCGAGTTCGCTGGTGGAGACAACAAATGGCCCCTAGAGATGGTCAAAAGGACTGACCTGGGGCCTGTTGGTTGCTGAGACCAGCAGCGCCTCAGCTGAGATGTTCTTTTCACCACAACACCATCTCTTTTATTAAATACATTTGATTTTAACCTTTTGATCAGCGATGCCCTCTGTCCGTCCGGCGTTTCTTCATTTTTGAATACAACATAATGCAGTAGTTATGTATAGCAATTTGAGCTGAATGCATATTTACCACAATATAAATGACAATCCAATATAATAAATAGATGCACAACCATAATATGAGTTGAGTAAAGCAACATGAAACGATCAGTACATTTCAGTACTTATGCTAATAAAAAAGCTTAAGAAATGTGTCAAGATTACAAGTGCATGCAATTGGAAAAGAATCCGGTCATTTTTCAAAATAAAATATTTTTCAGAACAAATGGTTGCGCACCACTGGCATATGTAACATGACGTTATTGACGCTTTATTCAAGGGCCCTTGACACATTTCCCAACGGGCGACTACTACCGGCCGTTGGCCGGCTATTTCGTCGTGTTTATCCGCCACACCTTCAAGACCGGTCCGCGGAGTAACCGGTCCGTGGTGCAAAAATAGATTTGGGACCACTGACGTAACATATTCATAAGAAGCGTGACTCGGCGTGCGCCTTCTTTTCATGTTGTGCAACATGTGCGTGGGCCGTAACATCAGCTGAAATACAACGTTACTTCGTTAAAACGTTACCTCGTGGTCACCGGGATTCAGGGTCCGTAAAGCAACCGAGAAGTCGTGACTAATTTTGCCCGCACTGCATATTCCCCAGCGTGTGGCCATCGCGAGCTTGTTCTCATACACAAAACCAGCGGAGTCGTAGCCCCTCCCCCTAAGAACGCCCCCTCAGCGGTGTCATAGCTCCTCCCCCTGGGAACGCCCCCTCAGCGGAGAACACGGGATTTCCACAGAGGCTCGATATATTTACAACTTTTTTCGCTGTGCCGTTATCAAAAGTCGGGACATGGAGTATGCTAATATTAACTTAAAATCTGTTTATAGTCGAAGCTTAAAGATCAGTCTTTTGACGTTGATTTTCTCAGTAGTCCACTTCCAAGGAAGAGGTTACTTTCAGTAGAGGTGGTTTGATGAAGTGGATTTCACTGAACCCTTGTGGGTGCGCTGTAAAACTACAGAGATAACAAATAACTCACAACTCAACTGTTCCTTATGAATGTGGTCTATGTGGTACAAAAATCCTTAATAGATGTTGAAAACGATAACAAAAAAGTCCTTCATTAAAATATTCATTATTGTGCAGACTAAAAGAAAATGGAACAAAATATGTGTTTTGGGGACACATTTATTAAGTAACCACACTGTTTTCAAACTTTCCGAACAGGTTATTGAACAACGTTTCGTCATTTTGCTAAAACAAATGCGTAAAACCACTCTAAATGTACACAAAAACTATTAAAAGTAAATTTGATTGTACAACAAAAGGGAACCTCACAGGTAAGATGGTTTTTAATTAAAATTTGAAGAAAAAATATTCTTCTAAAATTCAAAAGAAAAATGTGTGGTGTTTCTTAAATATTGTCTATATAATAAAGAATGATTTCCCCCCGGATATAATTGCAAATTGCCGAATCTATCTAATATTCCTCTCCCTCCTCATCCTCTTCAAAGGAGTCGATCCCAACCTCTTCATAATCCTTCTCCAGGGCAGCCATATCTTCTCTGGCCTCTGAGAACTCTCCCTCCTCCATGCCCTCCCCAACATACCAGTGCACAAAGGCCCTCTTGGCGTACATGAGGTCAAACTTGTGGTCGAGACGGGCCCAGGCCTCAGCGATGGCTGTGGTGTTGCTCAGCATGCACACGGCCCTCTGCACCTTGGCCAGGTCTCCTCCTGGAACCACCGTTGGAGGCTGATAGTTGATGCCCACCTTGAAGCCTGTGGGACACCAGTCCACGAACTGGATGGTGCGTTTGGTCTTGATGGCGGCGATGGCGGAGTTGACATCTTTGGGCATTACATCACCACGATAGAGCAGACAGCAGGCCATGTATTTACCGTGACGGGGATCACACTTCACCATCTGGTTGGCCGGCTCAAAGCAGGCGTTGGTGATCTCAGCAACAGACAGCTGCTCATGGTAGGCTTTCTCTGCAGAGATGACCGGAGCGTAGGTGGCCAGAGGGAAGTGGATACGAGGGTAAGGCACCAAGTTGGTCTGGAACTCCGTCAGGTCAACATTCAGGGCACCATCAAAGCGAAGCGAGGCCGTGATTGAAGACACAATCTGGCTGATCAGCCTGTTCAGGTTGGTGTATGATGGCCGTTCAATATCGAGGTTCCTGCGGCAGATGTCGTAGATGGCCTCGTTGTCCACCATGAAGGCACAGTCGGAGTGCTCCAGGGTGGTGTGGGTGGTCAGGATGGAGTTGTAAGGTTCCACTACGGCTGTGGAAACCTGAGGGGCCGGGTAGATGGCGAACTCAAGCTTTGACTTTTTGCCAAAGTCAACAGAAAGTCTCTCCATCAGCAGGGAAGTGAAACCTGAGCCTGTTCCTCCACCAAAGGAGTGGAAGACCAGGAAACCTTGAAGACCTGTGCACTGATCCGCCTGCAGGTACAGAGAAACAATTAGGATGGCAAAAGACAGGAATACGAGGAAATTGTTCCTTTACACTGCCGCAAATGATCATAAAGAAAAGAAAATAAACTGTTATTTTTTGTCCCCTTTTTTGTAATACAAACACAGAGCTCACACAACATCACAAACTAAAAACAAAAAAAAACAGCTTAAGTGTCTTACCAGTTTGCGGATTCTGTCTAGGACAGAGTCAATGATCTCTTTGCCGATGGTGTAGTGTCCACGGGCGTAGTTGTTGGCTGCATCTTCCTTGCCAGAGATCAGCTGTTCCGGGTGAAATAGTTGGCGGTACGTGCCTGTGCGCACCTCATCTGGATAATTCAAAAACAAAAAATAAGAAAACTAATCCGCAAATTTAATACAACCTTAGTGTTGCAGACTATGACAACAGGAGGGATCGAAGAATGATGGACAATAACTTCTCTCTGAGAGTTAAAAAGCCATCTTCTTAAATGGCCCACTTCTGATATACTGACCAATACAGATACTGACCAATGACAGTTGGCTCCAGGTCAACAAAGATCGCCCTGGGGACGTACTTCCCGGCCCCAGTCTCACTGAAGAAGGTAGTGAAGGAGTCGTCGTGGCCTCCCACGGGCTTGTGGTCGGGCATCTGTCCGTCCGGCTGGATGCCGTGTTCCAGACAGTAGAGCTCCCAGCAGGTGTTTCCCATCTGGACACCAGCCTGGCCCACGTGGACGGAGATGCATTCACGCTGGATGAAAAGGAAGAGGAAGTTAAAAGAAAGGGAGGCGGAGAAAAGGAGAGAGGGGAAATACAGGGGAACAATAAAGTGGCAAGTGTAAGGATTGCATGGCCTTTGCTACTGTGTGGTTCCATTTAGCTAAGCGAACCGTAACAATCCGCACTGGTCAATTAGAACATCAGCCACCAGGTGGAAGCAAATAGATTCACGGGGGAATGAAGGCTGAAGTGGAAGGAAAGAGTAAAACAGATTCACAACAGCTGTCGCTGGGTGTCATGTGACTCTCATGGCTCACCAGCTGAAAGGGGGGTTGACTTTAGAGAACAACTGTCGTTAGCATTCATACCACAAAGTATGTATATATATATATATATATGAATGATTAGTTCATGAAAACTAAATTCACTGTACTTCTTTTCCCCCCCGCAAACAACAGATTCATTTGGAACCATACCATTCATAATATGGTAGCTATCAATTGTTATTTATTTTTATGGCAACACAAGATCAGTTTGATGGAACACACTTATCAGTTATTGTTTCCCGCTGGGTCAGCCAGAAAAAAAGGCCTACCTTCCTACTAGTCCACACCATACAACAGTGACATACTATATATCGCGACCTTGCTTCAAGTCAACTACTATTTTCATCCCTTCCCCAACGTTCCCCTTCGCAATGGCCGGACGGACAAAGGGAGGCGCCGGTTGGTGAGAGCTGGGGAACACATTTCAGAGTCTTAAAGAGGGTTTCCAGGTTAGCGGAGCTGTGTGCCGAAGCTATTTTAGGTTCCTCATACTAACCTGACACCTAGCAGCAAAGGCTCACTGTTTAGGTAAACACAGACTGGCAGTCCCCAAAGTACATGCAAAAGGCCAAATGTGTTTTGTTTGTCGAAATTATGTTATTTAAAAGTTGGAAGAGTGCTTTTCGAAGACACACATAAAAAAGTAACAGTAGGTTACAGTTTGGTTGAAGGACAGGACTCATGAATAAAAGGAATACACTGCCTCAACGTAGAGAGCATAACAAGAGAAAAACAAAAAGTCAACAGGATAGAAAAAGAGCGATACCGTTGGTAAAAGCTTATTCAGGTCAGTCGACATGGCAGCACAGATCCCTTAATACACCCTCTGCACCACCCATTCTGCCCCTATGAACAGACAAAAGGCCCTAATGCACCAGGAACACAAGGTGAGGCTGGGTGGCGTTTTAATGGAGTCTTGTCACGATCCGAGCTGCTTATTATCATTATTACTGTGTGCATGTGTGTGTGCTCACATGAGTTCCTTTTACCATGCCGCCTTGGATAGAATCTGTAAGTTAATGTCCAACAAACATTGATTCTGATAAAAAATAAATAAACCATGGGGCTTTTCTTTGGTGATGGACGAGTCTTAATCAAAGTGGACCACGCTGATAAGCCACCATTGACTAGATATTCTTTTCCTAAATGTTGTTGTTGTGCCATAAATGGCTAAGTCAGGCACTAGACTAGACTAGAACCATCATTAAGCGCAGCATGGTGGCACCGCTGGCTGTCATGACATTTCAGAAGACATTCATGCTCCTCAAAGGTAATGAAGTGTTCTGATGAGTCAATCGGAAATCAACTTTGCTTCAGCAGGCATAAATAATGGCAATCTTAAAAGACAAACATCTTAAACAATGCGTGGGAGAGACACCGGAGATCACTTACAGGAAAACTAAAGCTCCAGACAAAGCATAGTGTAGCCACTAAGTGTGGTCCAAAGATTTGAATGGTCAGTTAAAACAAATATATAACATCAGCGGAAATTACACTTTACGGATCGGGAATATTTGATCAGAGCGGGTAGAGCATTCAGTACAAAATGATTCAGTTTGGCTTCTGTAATCAGACCTGACAATGCTGACACGCAGTGTTTGTACTGCACTGTACAAACAGGACACAACGTTTTCCTGTGCTTGCTAAATTACCACCTGACATAGATACGATATGTATATATATATATATATATATATATATATATATATATATATATATATATATATATATATAATGTGTCTTTGCGGGCGTCTTTCAAATCTCGTTGTTGAAGTGGAAGAAGCCCAGCCCACAGTCACAACTCAACCATAGCTGCTCTATCATTTGGAGGGAAAAGATGATGTCTGCCCTGCAGAGACAACGTCTCAAACTGAGCTGACTTATTAGACACACCTAAATTCCTGAGTGACGAGTCTAACTCACATATATACTTATATACATAATATATATATATATATATATATATATATATATATATATATATATAGCATTTGTAATCATTTTGGACTCTTAAGTCATTAAGTCAATGAGAAAGTGTGATCATACTTTTGACTGGTACTGTGTATGTACATGTACACACACACACACACACACACACACACACACACACACACACACACACACACACGTCATCTGTGTTTAATGTTTGTCTCTCCTGATGTGCTGGAAATGTCGCCCGATCATCACCAGCTGCTCATCCAGGCCAGCA